TCGACACTGGAATTAGTAAAAATGCATCAGTCAAATCTAAAGTGGCTAAAAAGGCATCTTGAAAAAGAATTCTAGCGACAGTTTTTCTGTCCTCTAATTTGAAATGGGGTGGGTTTATAAATTTATTTAATTTTTTCAAGTTGAGTATAAAACGTTTTTCGCCATTCGATTTTTCTGCCAAAAAATAGGTTGACAGGAATTGACCTTTAACGGGTGGACATTCTGATATTGCCCCCTTTTTGAGCAAAATATTAATTGCCGAAAAATAATCACTTTCGTCCTGAGACGAAATTATTGACTCCTTAGGAGATTCAGTTTGCCAGGGTTCACTTACGAACGGGATTTCGTACCCTGTGACGTACTGATAAATTATTTTATCGGATGTCAATTTTGACCAATTATGAGCGAACAGTCTCAGTCTACCAGCGATTATACTTACTTCAATTACCGTTGAGTCTTCTTCTGCGTGTTGTACCGAGTGAATTTGTTGATCTGACCCCCCCTCGTCCTGTAATTCCTTTTGGGGGGGCCCCTGTAGTTTAAATGTTTCGACGAATCCTCTTTAGAAAAAGTGCGCTTCTTAAAATCGTTTGTCCTCCTAGTTGACGAGCCTACAGGCACTGTTTTAGCAATATCTTTGCTCGATCTTTCGGCTGCTTTTGCCAATTTTAATTTTTCGGCGAAATTTTCTCCGTATAAAAGCGTATCGACTGGGCATTCATCTGCGATTTTTTTGACTATTAAACTTAAACCAGGAGTAATAAATGATCTTCTTGTCATTGACATCCTATAGTGGAGGTCTGTCAGAAGTCCTCCTGAGTCTGCTAGATCACCAATGAGTGGTAAAAGGGTAGGGTCATTTTTGGATCTTATTATTAATTCGGTTAAACACTTTCCCATTGCGGAGATACCAGATCCTAACTGGTTTTGCGTTATCACTTGGAAGCTGTCTTTTTTTAATGACAGGTCTCCGGTGGAGCATTTAATTTCCGAATTTAATGGTGGAGCTTGTAGTGTTTTGCAATTTCCGGGAAAGGGATGTTTTTCTATCAGTCCTTTTTTCATTTCTTTGGAAATTCCTAACCCCAGATTTTTTATCCATACTTCTGATACAGAAGTGTAAATGTCCGGACCTAATTTAGCGTTTTCGTTAACATTACCGAGTAAGCTGAGAATTTCAGCATCGATTTGGGAAATTTCTTGATCGTTTGTGGTCGAGTTTTTTCGTTTTTGCTCGGTCGATGTCGCGTTTGTGTTTGACTTTGAACGATGGTTTCGCCGAGAAGTATTAGGCGATCGAGAGGTCCGTGATTTCCTCGAGTAAGAACTTGACGATGATGATCGAGATGACCCTGAAGATGAGGAATTATATCGACTAAGACGTGGCGCGCCTCGCGGACTACGCTCGCCGCTATTTTTGTCGCGTTTTGGTGTGTGAGCCATGGACCGAGAACGATTTCGAGACTGACGTGACGTACCTCGCGGGCTACGCCCGCCGTCATAATTGTCACGTTTGTGTGTAGAAGATGTGGAACGAGAACGATTTCGATTCTGACGTGACGTACCTCGCGGGCTACGCTCGCCGTCATGATTGTCATGTTTATGTGGAGAAGATGTAGAACGAGAACGATTTCGACTCTGTCGTGGCGCACCTCGCGGGCTACGCTCGCCGCCAGCTTTGTCGCGTTTATGTGTAGATGTGGAACGAGAACGATTTCGACTTCGGCGTGTCGCGCCTCGCGGGCTACGATCGCCGCCTTTTTTGTCTCCTTTTGATCTTTGGTGATTCTTTTCTCTTGATTTTGACCGAGATCGGTGTTGCCTGTAACGTGACGAATCTCTCGGACTTCGCTCGCCGTTGCTATCGTTTCTTTTATGCAAAGACGACGACGCGTCTCGCCTTGGCCTCTTAAGTCGTTCCAATTCTTGATAAATCCGCTCTATATCCTTATCTCGTTGCCTTTTCCGGGAACCTCTTGGACTACGGGACTTCGATTTCTGACGTCCCATCACTTATAATTTATCAAAACTTTATACACTTTTATTTTTATTCTAATTAATTTCTGACACGTGTGGAATGGATCGCACAGAAAAGCGTAATGGCGATATAATGGAAGGATGCCCTCTAGTAAGGTAATGCGAAACTTTTAGCGCGAATATTTAAAAAAAAAAAACTGTGGCATGGATCAAGCAACTTGCGTTACTACATTTGATCTAGAGGACGAGATCACGTAGCATAATAATCGTCGTATTCATTCATTCATTCTGTCCAGTCTGTCCACACCTGAAGTTAGTCATGGTTTTTCTTTTGTTTTTTATTCGTTTTGATAGAAAATAGAAATAAAATATAAAATAACGATTTTTTAACAAAATTCATGCTTTTGTTTTTTATATCTTTTGATAGATAATATTACATTTCATTATTTTGTTATTTTTTTTTTAATTTAATAATATTATTTTTATTTCTCAAATAATTCAAAAATATTTTCATTAATCTAAAAAAATTATTAATATTATTATATTATTCATTATTTCCTTTGTTTTTAAAAACTTAGCATTTTGTAACAAACATTTTAGAAAATTAACAAATGTAAATCCTGTGAAATATTTTCTTTTTTTTAATATGAAAAACTTTATTACTTGACAAAATTTTGACTTCTTCCTTGACTCTAAAGAATATTCTGATTCACTCTAAAAATGATTAGATACTCCAAAAAATGTTCCATTACATTTATTTACGAATTTCTTTAATTCTAAAATTATTTGAAAACATCAATAACTTCTTTTCTAAATAAATTTTAATCATTATTATTTTCCCACAAGAATAAATTATTTTTAATAATTTTTGAAAAAAGTTCTTTGAGAATTTTAAAATCCATTTGTTTACGAAATTTAAATTATTCAGAAATTCTTCAACTAAATACGAATTAAAAAATAAATACTTCAAATAATTTCAGAAAAAAATTCAATTAAACTTTTTAAAAATAATTAATTCTACAGAATTGTTAGTTATAAGTATGAAAAATACAAATTTTTAAAGAATTTGATTTGGAACCATTTTAAAATTTAATTATTTCTTAAAATTCATGCTATAATGCTTTTAATATTCAATTATTATGTAGAACTTTAACTGAAATTAATTTTTAAATAAATTTTTATTAGATAATTTAATAATTTGAATGCAAAAATAAATAATTTATTGAATAATTAAAATTTCTTAAAATTTAAGTCTGATAAAAAATTTTATCAAAACATTTTTAAATTAATTTTTTGAAGGCACAAATATGAAATTTTATGCAAAGTTAGCAAAGCAGTGATATATTTTGTAAATTTCAATTTTTAACGAAATTCATTTTTCTTACCAAATGAAAAAATATGCATAATTTCTATTTTATAATCATAATTTTTGCACAAAATTTTTTTTTTAATTTTTGAATTATTTTTTGTGATTAAGTACCAGTTTTTATTGTTAATAGGCATTATTATTAATTATCTATTAATACTAGGAGAAACTACACGCGAGCTTTAGCGCGCGTTTTTTTAGCTGTCACCTGTAATAATTTCAAAAGATAACATTTTTGTAATTATACATAAATTTTTCGAAGAATTTTTTATTGAAATTTTGTAAAGATAATCGAATTTCTTTTGAGTAATGACAATAATAATAATAAATTAAATACTTTGTTTGGCGGGCGTGACATTTACTACTTATTTATATTATTTATAAAAAAATTTTAAATAGGTACAAATTTAATAAAATTCAATTATTTTTTTAATTTTGAAATAAAAAATTATTCTAAAATAATTAATAAAAAATAATTTTTTCTCGATAGTTTTTCAAAAATTGAATTATTTAAAAAAATCAATTTTAAATATGTGAAGTCTAATTATTGTTAAAAACAGGAAGAGTTTGAAATATATAAAATATTTTCAATGCTGAAGAATAACATTCCGAATTTTCTTATGAATTCTTCTGAATAATTGAATTTTTGAATGTTAATGACATGAAAATAATATTAATTAATTTTGACTAGAAAACTATTAGAAAGAAAATAACAAATAAATAATTAATTGTAATTTATTTTTGATAATTAATAAGTCAAATATAATGTAATGAACATATTTTTCATTATCGTCTCATTGGCATTCACGCTTTCATTAATTTTTATGTGACATACATGTAATGTAAAAATTACATTATTGTTATATATATTTTAAAAGTGAAACAAGAAACTTCACGCGCGCGTTATTTGTGCTAGTTTTCTAATAAAAATTGATTTAAAAATGAATTTCAGTTAAAATTTTAGATAATAATTGAATATTAAAAGCAATATAGCTTAAATTTTTAGAAATAATTGAATTTTAAAATTATAATTTTTTTAAAAAAGTTTAATTGAATTTTTTAAATATTATTTTAAGTTTTTATTTTCTAATATTTATTTAATTGAAGAATTTACGAATAATTGAAATTTCATAAAATTGAAAATTGTTAACAAATGGATTTGAAAATTATCAAAGAACTTTTTCGAAAATTATTAAAAATAATCGATTTAAAGAAGAATTTTAGTTAAAAATGATTGAAAATAATAATTGAATTGATAATGATTTTATCACTCAGTCATCTTTAATTATTATAAAACATGAAGAAATCGATCACTTCGAGTCGAAGACTCGGAGTTATCGACATCTTCATGTTTTATAGTTATGAAAAATTTAATTTACAATTTTAAGTAAAATGTTCTCTTATTTGACTCGGACTAATTATATTTTTGTCAGTAATTGATCCGTAATTTGTCATTTTTGGTTCGTAAAGTCCGCATTTTTAAATACTTTCACTGGTTCGAGCCCTGTAAACTTTCATATTTTCCTGTAAAAAGAATTTTGCCAGGGAAAATAATTTTAATGTCAGTAAATTGTCAGGGAAATTGATAAACTGAAACTTGTGACCACCCTGAAAGAGAATATGTATCTATTTTTACGAATTTGTTTTTCTATTGTAGATTTCAAAATTTCCCAGACGATCGGGATATATGGAAAGAAATTGAAACCGTAACGGCATGCCTTCGTTCAGAGCAAAATGATCCGGAATCGGAATTATTATGTCAAATGTTTCAACACATTCCCCAAGATTTACAGCACCGTCTTTTAATAATGACTGCCGATCACAGCGAAGACACGATGGAACACTGCAAATTGCTTCTTCTACTTCTACGAAAATTTCCCCAAACAATTTCCACTCATGGCGTAAAAATATATTTATTTCTCTACCAATTAATTAAATATTTTGAATTTAAATTACAAATTAAGTAAATTCTCTTTAAAAAGTGAATAAATAAATAATCGTGATAATAAGAGAAATAATTAATATTGTTTTTGAAATTAAATTTCAGCCTCGCTTGGTTGAGACTCTATTAACAGCGGAGAAACACAGTCATCCAGGTCGGGCTGTGAATGGATTTCGTCGTTTATTAACGTGCGAGGCACTACCGCTTTTGGGTGCAGCGCCTGTTGAATTAAATCCCCGTCTAAGTCTTCGATTACTCTATAAAGCAGTGGAATTTTATTTGGCCTTCATTCAGCAGCCTCAGGATTTTCAAATAATTCAACCATGGGAGCGATTGTTTCAAGTTGTTGAATTAATTGGGAAGAAATTGGGCTGGGAATTGAGTACATTCTTTACAACACCATGGAATCGGGAATCATATTGCGAACGATTGCATCAATACGCTGTAACGCACAGTCTTGGAATGTGCGATGAAGTTATTGCAAGACAACTTCTTGTTTGTACTGTTGTTGTTTTATTGAGGATATGGAATGAGCATTCAACTTTGATGAATGGTGGCGAAACAACTTATTGCCTCATTGAAGCATTCGGCGAACCGAATTTATCTGCTTCAGGTAAAATTTGAAAATTTTAGAACATTAAATTTGTTTTATTAAAATTTTCCATTAATTCCATTAATAATAGAGAATTGAATCGATTAAACTTTGGATAAACTTAATTTTCTTTCATTTCTTTTTAATATTGAAATGATTTGAATTTGTGGCATTTTTTTACTTTATAATTAATTAACTATAATAATCGTCTTATTCATTCTTTCATTCTGTCCACACCTGAAGTTAGTTTTTGTGTATTCTTTTGTTTTTCTTCTTTAAAAAAAATTTGTTTTGACAAATCGAAAATATGCAGGTATTTTTTCATAATTCATCCTAATAAAATAATATTCAAAATTAGAAAATTTAAAAAAAATGATGATTAACAAATGAAAAATTTACCCATTTTGTTTATTAAATGCTTTATTTTATAACAAATTTCGTTTGACTGATCTAAATTATGCAAATTTTTCTCTTGTTTATTTATAAAAAATAGAAAATTTGTTAAAAAATTTTGATTGAGAAATAGTAAATAAATACCCATTTTATGCATAATTTTTCTTTCTCAATAACAATATTGTTCACAAACTCATTCTTTTATTTTTGAAAAAAAAACATTACATAATAATGTAATGTAAATAATTTACATTATTTCAATTTTTTAATTACAATTGTTTTAATAAAATTCAAAGTTTTTTTTAAAAATGAACGAAACAAATGTTTAGAAATTCTATTTGTCAATTACAAATTTTACTCAAAAAAAAAATGGTCCGTTACATTTTTACGAATTTCTTTAATTGTAAAATTATTCAAAAACATCAATAATTTCTTTTAGAGTCATTCCATTATATTTCGACTAAAGTCGTTGCCGACTAATTTTGAAAAATTGTAATATTTTGCAGGAATGATTTTAAAGACATTAGAATCACTGAACAAAAAGAATTTTTAAAATATTTTTTATATTTATTGTAAAATAAGCATCTAAAGTATACGAAGTCGTAAAAAATGTCACTTTTCCATCTATTAGAAAATATTAAAAACAAATAATTTACTATTGTTACGGTCTAATTTATAAAATAGACACAGTTTACTTTTTATCACTTCTGAGAGTGACAATTTATTATAATACTCAATATTACACTTTAAAGGCAGGAATAAGACTGAGTTGCAAAAACGTTTGCAGCTCATGTCGAATATGAAACAATACAGGTGGGGATATATATTTTTGCTGACTATAACACTATGAAAACGTAAAAAAATTATTAGAATTTATTTAAATGAATTGGTTTAGTATTATAAATTGAAAAAAACAATTATTAATAAAAAATATTAAATGAAAAATGATTTTAAAGTTCACCTGGCAAATAACCTAATTTTGCAAATTTCATTCACTAAATGTGAGAAAGAGAAATCATTAAATTGAATAAAACCTTATGAAATATAAAGTACCTGTGATTAACTTTTAATTTTTCTTATCATTTTCTTCCTTTTTTCTTCACAAATGTGAAAAAATAAGCAATTAATATTGACACTTTGCTTATTTTCACGATTTTCATTTGTAGATAACTTTCACCCAGAAAAATGAAAAATGTCGAAAATTGGATAGTAATTACTTGATCACTAAATACACACACTGGAAAAAAATTTTCTTTGGTCCCGAAGCTATTTTTGGAAATAATTAATTTTAAACTTTTCGCTATTTTTATCAGGTTAATACATGTGCTTTTTTTAAACTGAAGTTGGTTCAAAACGATTAAACAAGAAGAGCTGACTTCGTCCTTTAGAAAACACATGTATTAACCTGATAAAAATAGTGAAAAGTTTAAAATTCATTATTTTCAAAAATAGCTTCGGGACCAAAGAAAATTTTTTTCCAGTGTGTGTATTTAGTGATCAAGTAATTACTGTCAAATTTTCGACATTTTTCATTTTTCTGGGTAAAAGTTATGTACATATGAAAATCGTGAAAATAAGCTAAGTGCCAATTTTAATTGCTTATTTTTTCACATTTGTGAAGAAAAAAGGAAGAAAATGATAAGAAAAATTAAAAGTTAATCACAGGTACTTTATATTTCATAAGGTTTTATTCAATTTAATGATTTCTCTTTCTCACATTTAGTGAATGAAATTTGCAAAATTAGGTTATTTGCCAGGTGAACTTTAAAATCATTTTTCATTTAATATTTTTTATTAATAATTGTTTTTTTCAATTTATAATACTAAACCAATTCATTCTCAATAAATTTTAAAATTTTTTTACGTTTTCATAGTAAATTCTTTGTTTTTTTTAATATTTTCTAATAGATGGAAAAGTGGCAATTTTTACGACTTCATATACTTTAGATGCTTATTTTACAATAAATATAAAAAATATTTTAAAAATTCTTTTTGTTCAGTGATTCTAATGTCTTTAAAATCATTCCTGCAAAATATTACAATTTTTTAAAATTAGTCGGCAACGACTTTAGTCGAAATATAATGGAATGACTCTTTTTAAAAATAATTGAATTGCTTGAAGGAATTTTATTAAAAATTTTGAAAATAATGTTTTTTAAAAGAAGTTAATCAAAATTGAGCGTGTCGCTGCAATAATCGGTCGAGCGCTCGGTTGTTGCATTTATGTTTATGTAATGTTTATTTATGTTGTTTATTTATGCTTATGTTTTCGTCCTATAAAAAATCTCAAAGACAAAAAAGGCGACACGCTCAATTGTTGAAAATAATTGAATTTATATTAAAATTCTTGAAAATAATTGAATTTAATTAATATTTTTAAAAATAATTATTGTATTCTTTCGAGAAATTTTATTAAATTTTTATTAAAAATAATTGAATTCTTGGGAAGAATTTATTCATTTATGAGAAAAATGAAATTCTTGAGATAAATTTTATTAAAATTATTGAATTAATAATAAACAAGAATATTTAATATTATGTACTCAATAAATGAATTCTTTAAATTTTAAATCTGTAATCATTCAAAAATTTATATTTATTCTTGAAAGTATTATGAAATTTTTTAATTTAAAAAATAATATTTAATAGGTACAGTATTTAATAGACTAATTTTTTTTAGAGCCAAAGTTGAAAAAACGAAAACGTGAAGATGCAATGAGTATTGCGATTACAAGTGACAGTGATTATAATGGAAATGGGCTCGCGTTGGCAGTGAGATTATGGGATTTGCTTCACAGTACGGAATACTTGCAGAGGGAAATTATAAAACTTAGTGCACAATTTCGTCTTGATCCATGGTTAAATTTTTTCCTCACCGATTTGGCAATGTATAAAGGTTTGCATCATGAAGTTCTAGCCAGACTTCCACAGGAGCCAATTACACTGTGCTCACATTTACGTATGGCGAGTACATGCTTCTTCGTTAAAGATTTTAAGGTATTTTTTCTTGCTTCTCGATTATGTACCTATATTATTAATTTTTCAAAGAGATTTCATTTCATCGATGAATAAATATTTATTTAATAATTTATTCTTGAGGCCTCAGATATTATGACATTTTCGACTTTTTTTCAATTATTTTCAGAAAAATACGACTTTTTTCGACTTATTTTTAAAAATTGTAATTAAATTTTTAAAATGTACCTATAATTAAAAAACTTTGAAATAATTGAAATTCTGTAAAATTTAACTGAAAATAATTGATTTCTTTCAATTATTTTATTACAATTTTTGAAAATCAACTTTTTGATAAATTTTAATTGCAAATTTTTAAAATAATTGAATTCTCAAAAATGTTCATGAAAAATTTTAAAGTGTAAATTTAAAAATGAAAATTAATGAAAATCAGGTTCTAAAAATTAGAGTGAAATATTTTTGAAAAAAGTAATTATTAGAATATTTTTATTCTAATTTTTAAAATAATTCAATTATTTTCAATATAATTGCAAATTTTTAAAAATCAACTTTCTGAAGAATTTTAATTGCAAATTTTCAATATAATTGAATTGTAAATAATTTTAATGAAAAGTCTTCAAATGTAAATTTAAGACAACTAAAAATTAATGAAAATCAGCTTCTAAAAATTATATTAAAATATTTTTGAAAAAAGTAATTCTTAGAATTTTTCCATTCAATTTTTTTTAAATTCAATTCTTTTCAATAACATATTTCCGAAAATTTAAATACAAAAAATAATAACATTAAAATTGTTTAGAATTATTTTTAACATTTTGGAGAAGACAATTATGTTCAAAATTTTTAATTAAAATTTTTCAAAAAATTATTTTTTTTTTAAATTATTCAAAAATTCTTTTAAGAAATTCAATTCTTTTCGAAAAATTACATTATAATATTTTTAAAAAACTAATTCCAACAAAGTAAATTAAAATGTTCATATTTATAATTACAATATTCTTAAAAAATGTGATTACTTTATTTTTTCAAAAATTCAATTATTTGGAGAATATTTTACCAAATTACAACTGTTTGGAAATTTTTCAATTCTATATACCTAATTGAATTTTGGAAGAGTTATACTTGTAACTTTTAGAAATTATTAAATTTCAGAAGGTTTTAAATTGAAATTTTTAAAATTTTATTTCCCGTGAATAAACAAATAAAAAGTAGGTACTTATTTAGATTTTTATTTAACAAAATTATTGGAGTTTTAAATATGAATTTTTCGATTTTTTTGTGTTCTCAATTGACTAAAGAGACTTTTTGCTCTTTAAAGTCGATCCGTTTATTATTATTTTTTAATAATAAAGCATATTACAACCTAACATATTTTTTACCTATGTATGAATTTATTTTTTTTATTCCTTATTGTATTACAGGGAATGTTGGAATATATTTCAATGATTGCGAATCTTTTGCCATCTATCCGTGGAAAAGTTTCAAATAGTTTAACAGTTCCGTCAATTCGTCATTTACATTATATTACGATCGCTCGATTTCCAATTCTGCAATATTGCTGTAGATTATTGTTGGCTACTTTAAAGGTAAAAATCATTTAATAAAACATTAATTCTTTCTTTTTTTAAGTTAGTTTTGTTTTAATATTATTGTTATTCGTATCTTCTGGAAGAACAAATATAAGTTTTCAAGAAAAAAAATTGAAACCTACAAAAATTGTTTATTTAGACATTTTACATATGATGAAAGTTTTCTTCATATCAAAAGGTTAAACTTTTTCAAAACTGATTCGATTTAAGTCAATAATGACTTATTTTCTTCAGAAAATGATTCTCTATAACTTGACCGTTCAGATTTTTAAACAAATACACAGTTTTGAAAATACGCTTATTTGTTTAAAAAAATTTTTGCACTTAAAATTTTTATGGTAATTTTTTGTGAAAGATTCAGTGGCCATAAAATAAAATGGGTCAGATTAAATGTTTCATTCGGCAATTTTTTTGTAAGTAGATACAAAAACGTTTGCTACAAAATTACGCATAGATTTCAAAATTTACCAATTTTTAAGAAAAACGAAACTTCAAAAATGGTAAAAATATTTTGTGACCCATTTTATTTCATGATCATTGAATTTTTCACAAAAAATTATCATAAAAAATATTTTATGAAACATTTGGAATATTAACATTTAAAATATAGTTAAAAATATATGTGTACTCTCCTCTTAACAATATAATTAACAATTAATATCTGAAAATTTTCAGCATTTATTAATTAAATTAATTTTTTTAGGAACATTTCACGATTCCAGGTGGAGTCGGAGACCTAGCGATAGGTCACGCTTTAGTTCTTATGCAAATTGATTGGCCGCAGGAGTCAGAAATTTTATCCACTATCACAGAAAGAATAAGAACGCGAGGATCATTTTGTTATCCTCTTTTTCAAGCTTACATAATAAACGTCGATATTTTAGAAGAATTGACATATCTCTGGACCGAACACGGAGGCGGCGTTTCTCTTGATATTGGAAGTAATTCCGGAATGCTCCAAAGTATGTCGAAAACTTTTTATTAAAAAAAATTCTTTTCAATGTTAATTACTTTTTTTTTAATTATTTAACAATTTTTAATTTAATTTAAGGGGACATTCCAGTTCAAAATGTCAAAAAAATCGATTTTTTTGTTTTTATTTTTGGATTTCTTATAGTGTCAAGAATACTCTCCTAAAATATTATTGCAAAATTCGAAGTAAAACAAAAGTTATACATCCTTATTCTTCGCCATGTCAAAGATGTTTTTGTATGCGGATAAGCAATCGAATGATTTAAATGTTTTCTCATTTGCATTTTTTAAAAAAGACAAACAAAAATGTATTTGGTGTTGCTGACCACAAATTAGATATCAAATTTTCAAAATTAAAAATGGCGGATCCAATATAGCGGAAAAGAAAATTTTTTTCGTTTAATTTTTTTTTCGTCTACCATATTGCATCCGCCATTTTTAATTTTGAAAAAATGATGTCATATTCGTAATCAGCGACCCCAAAAACCCCCCCGTAGCGCTTTTCAAGCAAATCCAATGATTTTGAAAAAAATGTCCGCCATATTGGATCCGCCATTTTGAATTTTAAAAATCTGATTCCATATTCGTAATTAGCGACCTCAAAAACCCCCGAGTAACGATTTTCAAGCAAATCCGATGATTTTTTTAAAAAAATTTCGAAACTTATGAACAAAAACTTTAAATGCATTTTTCTCAAAATGTCTTTTTTTGATCTGGTAAGAGTGATATGTCGAGTTCTTCTGAAGCGATTTTAAAAAATCAAACGGCTTTTGATTCAGCGTCATCATGCCTATAAGTGGAACCTCAAAAACTGGAAAATTTCAAACTCCCTCTTTTTTTATAAGAGAAATTCTGAATAAAAACACCTTTTTTTTGCTTATTTTTGGGAAAAAGTACTCTAAAAAAAAGGGGGGGGAAGAAAATTCGACTTTTTTGAGGTTCCACACCTGAAGAAATATCTAACGAAGAGAATGTCACTTCGTTTTTGGTTTTATCTGTTTTAGAAAGTTTGGAATCGATCTTACCACCGAAAATGGGCATTTTCGAAAATGGCGTATATCGCCGCCATTTTGAAATAAAAATGAAAAAAATTTTTTTTTTACAAATTCTTAAATAAATTATTTATTACATGTAAAAGAAATTTTTTAAATAAATGTCATAGTTATTTTAATAATATATACTAAAAAAAGCCTTCTTTTTGCCTGTTTTGAACTGGAATGTCCCCTTAATTTAATTATTTAATTTCACAAAAATCCAATTATTTTCATAAATAATAAAAATTTGTTAAGGAATTCAATTGTTTTCATAAAAAATAATTTTAAATTCTAGAAAATAATAATTGAATTAAAATGATGAAAATAATTTTGATGAAGTTACAGTTATTATTCTTATAATATAAAATAATGATTTTATCTCTCGATCATTTTTAATTATTAGAAAACATGAAGAAATCGATCACTCCGAGTCCTCGACTCGGAGCAATCGATATCTTCATGTTTTATAAACAATACTTTTATAAGTTGTTTAATTTAAAAAAGGTTTGAATTTAAAATTTTTGAATGTCTTAATTCCTGTGGAAAATCCTGTTCCAAAAGTAAGATTAAAAATAGAAATTGTACAAATATTTTTCTTCTTTTTCTAAAATAAAATAATAATTTTATTTAAAAAATTGTGATTTATAAACAAAAATAATTTAAAATAAATAAATTTTCTATTTCTTAAACATAATTGTTTAACAATTTTCTAAATTTGTTTAGAAGTAAAGAACAAAAATCTGCATAATTTAAATTTGACAAAACATAAAATTTCACAAAATTTTAGTATTTTCATGAAAAGAAGTGAAAAAAATTCTGATAATTTCTATTTGTCATTACAATTTTTAATTAATGAAGGTTATTATTATTTTTATTTTATAATAAAAATAAAAATAATTATAACATTAATTAATAATAATAAAGTACATGTTCCGGTTCTGACTGTTATAGTCCCTTTCGGCCATGCGCTACAGGCAGTTATCCGATCCACGCCCTCAATTAATATATTGAAAATCATCAAATTGTTGCAAATAATTTTATCAAAAAATGTGATAAAGAATTTTAACCTTCAAAGAATTTTATTATTTAGGAAAATAACTGAATTCTCGCAAAGAATTTTATTAATTTTTAAAAGTCCTAATTAAATTCTATTGCACAATTTCTTTGAATTTTTTTAAACTAATGGAGTTTCTTTAATAATTTTAATTGACAATTTTGAAAGCAATTGAATTTTATGAAGAAGAATTTTATTAAAAGTGAATTGAAAATAATTCAATTTTTGCGAAGAATTTGACTATTGTATTTATAAAAATAATTGAATTGTTTCGAAGAATTTATTAAAATTTTAGGACATAATTGAAATTTGTGGAAATATTTAAAAATATTTGAATTCATCCGACGAATTTAATTAAAATTGTTTTGAAAATAATTGAATTCTAGCAAAGGATTTTACTATTTATAAAAATAATTGAATTTTTTCGTAAGATTTATTGAAATTTTAGAAAAAAGTTAATTTTTTCAAAATGTGTTATAAAATTTTTTTAAAAAATTTAATTCTTTTGCGGAATTCAATTAAAATTGTTTTGAAAATCATTGAATTTTCGTAAAGATTTTACTATTTAAAAAAATAATTGAATTGTTTAGAAGGATTTATTAAAATTTTTGAAAATATGAACAGTAATAATTAATTTTGTACTTAATAAGTGAATTTTTTAAATTTTGATTATGAAATTAATTAAAAAATTTATATTTGAAAATTGTAACGTGGTGAATCGTTACTTATTTCTCCAAATCTGTCATGTGTAGGAAAAGTAAATTTCATTATAGTGAGTTGTTCGTCTGTCTCTCTCTCTTATCATAGTTTTGTCTTGTTTTCTTGTCAAGTCCCTTGTGTGTGCCCTTGGTTCAGCGACCCGAGACCTGTGTCATTCGTGAAATCTGAATTTAAATGATTTCGCGCATGATTAATTGCCAGAAACCGTCACATGACCAATGACCCTTTCCAAGACCATTTTAGGTGCTGTACAGTGAGGATAAGAAAGAAGGGTTTTTCCCAATTTTCCATAGGAAAAAGGAAGAAGCAAAATGTGATGAGGAGATCGGATTTACACTTGTTTTTCACTTACTTGCAGAGGTTCAAGTAGTCGCGACGTGATTTTTGACTAGCGTCAATTATCGAATTTCGTTATTGAATATTTTATTTTATATTTTGTTGTTTGATTTAGAGTTTATTTGGTTTAATTAATAAATGGGTTTTATTTTATTAATTGAGAGTTTTTAGGGTTTTATTTCTATTTTTGTTTTTGTGCTGTTAACGGTTGAGAGTGCCCCGATGAGATTTGTGAAGTTAGTTTTCGGAATAATGGGTCGTGATGTAAATTTGTGACGTTTTATTTTTCTTTGGAAAAATTCTATATTGCAAATTTCACCCTTACAAAATAAAAAATTTTATAATTTGCATAACAATAATAAATTGAATGAATAAATTGCTAATAATAACAAAATATACAATCTATCTAAAGATAATAAAAGACAACTTCAGAGTGTGAGAGACAGAAAAAGTGAATGAATGAATGAAAGAACATTCAAATTATTAAAGTTAATTAATTTTAATTTTGTATTATTAATTAGTCAAAAAAAATATCTTGCAGATCGTAGAATTGCGACTAGAGGCGCTGACAAAGGTGTTAGAGAAGAAGTGAAACAAGCCATGAGACGACAAGCCGCTCGAGACGGAGTCGATCAACTCGACGAACTTCTTCAAAGATTTATAATTCACGAGAAAAGTGCTATTCTACATAGTTTAATAATATAATAAATTTTTAATTAATCAAAAATAACTATCAACAATTATTGTATATAAATCAATCAAAAGTTTATTTATACAAATTATGCGCTATAAAATAATACATATAGAAGATAATAATGTCGATTATTACATTTCTCTATTTATTTATTTTCATTTCGTGAAAGTTTTTCTTTCTTTAGTTTACAATATTAAGCACTGCAAAAGGAGCTGACATGCAAAAATTCCTCACTTTAAAAAAATTTTATGTATTAGCAATGAAAAATTCTTAAATGCACAAATTTTTTTTCTTTTGTAAATTCGATTTTCACTTACACAATCTTTTACACACATTATAAAAACTATCATTTTTATATATATTATATTTTTTTATTTTGTTAATTAAGCAAAATGCATTTATTAATTATTTATTAAACGTACATACAATATGTATATTTCTCACTTTACTATTCTCATAACTGATAAATATAAAAATCGACAAACTATTTTTTGTTTATAATAATATAATAACGATGATAATAATCTATCAATAAAATAGACATAAAATAAAACTACAATTAAAAGAACACAAATAAGATGGATAATTTTCAGACAAAAAAAAAGAACAAAAATAAATTTAGAGACAAAGACAATAATTTAAAAATAGATCAATTTTTCCTGACATAAAGAATAAAAAATAGGAAATTTCTATTTTATAGAAAAAAAATAGAAGATTTCAACATTTAATAAGAAAAAAGGAAAAAATAGAAACAAAATATAGAGAATAAATAGTGAAAATTAACGATCACTCCGAGTCAAGGAAAATAAAAATAAAAGAAATTCAATTCTTTTTACGTTTCGGCAGCACAGCTGTCCTCTTCAGAACTATAATTTATTATAAAACAAAATATTAAAAAAAGATTTTTTACAATTTTTTACAATCTTTTGATTAACAATAAAAAATTAAAATTAAAAGACAACCCCCTTAGACCTGTTGTCTCCACTATTGGTTCCCCAACATTTTTCTTTTCCAAGCATGTATATATAACATATTAAATGATTCTTTTCCAAAAGCCAAATCTCATATACGAAATAGTTTTGATTTCATAGAAAGAATAAAAAATCTTGATATTCCTGACGGTCACATTCTGATTAGCCTTGATGTCGCTTCTTTATTTACGAATGTTGGCTCCAACCATGTATGTGATTCTATCATTAAACGTTATTCAGTAATTGCACAAAATGTAAATGGGTGATTCTCCGCGTAGCGCAGAACTTGGTTTTTTTCATGTTGTAATGGAAAAATAATAAATAATTTTCATATATTTTTACAATTCCAACGTGAAAAGGTTATCTATATGTTTAGAAACAAAAACCAATAACAAAACACAAAAAATAACTTCCTTAAGTTAATTCAGGAAAAAGAATCAATGTTCTAATTGATTTATTCATTTTTCACTCATTTTAAGTTGGGAATTTGAAAAGGGAATCACAAAATTATCTTCACCGACCTCCACCGACCCTTAAATATTTTACCACAAATTAAACAATTATTTATATAAAAAAGGTTAAATAAAGCGTAGTTATATTGTTTTGGTCAATACGAATGAGATCCACTTTAAACTGATTGAAAATTAATGATACTTTTTTCAAAAAATTAAAATATCCAAAGTCGGTTGAAAAAGTTCCCACCAGCCTGAGTCTCCACCGACCTCAGAATTTCCACTGACCTTCGTATTACGAAGAACCTAGTGCAAATGTAGTGTTATGGTGCCACATATATAAGGAATAAAAAAAACCTATAGCTCAGGAAAGTTTACTATAAATTAGTTATAAATAAATTTACATAAATTACCACGAAAATTTTTATAAATTACCGCAAAAATTTCCATAAATTACCGAAATAAAAATTTTCAATTGTGATTTCTACTTTGCATATTTTTAAAAATTACCGACAAAATTTCTTTAAATTACCTTACAAATTGCCATAAATTACCTTATAAATTTCCATAAATTACCGCGAAAATTTCCATAAATTACCAAAATCCAAATTTTTAATAATAATTTAAATTTTACATATTTTTATGAGTTATCGCGAAAATTTCCATAAATTTCCAAAAATTTCCATAAATTACCAAAATAATAATTTTTAAATGAGATTTACGCTATAATATTGTTTAAATTACCGCAAAATTTTTTTTGACAGAATGTGTCCAAACAGTGAATTAGTTAATTACTACACTTGTTTACAACAAAAATTATAAATAATTTTTCCGGCCCGCTATGGATTTTTCTTTTTAAAGCCTTTATCTTTAAAAAAATATATTGATAATAACCATAACGATAAAAAAAAAATTTTTTAATTTTATAAACCAAATCGTGCGCTACGCGGAGAATCACCCAAATATACCTCTAGATGACTTATTGGACGCTTGTCAATTTCTTTTCAACAACACATTTTTTAAATTTAACAACAAATATTATCATCAAATATATGGTACACCCATGGGCTCATCCATTTCTGGATTGTTTGCAGATATTGTCATGGATGACCTTGAAACGGTTTGTAATGATAAATTATCGTTTTAGTCCAGGCGCCCTGTCAATAGTATGTGACATAAATCCTATCCAATAGGCAAAAATGTTTTTTGATAGATTAGTAGCATAGAAACAAAGGCCAACAGTTTGCACCAACCTACACTAAGCGCGTTTGTTGTTAAAAAACTTTTAAGATGACAAAATCAGTTTTTTTGTAGTTTTTTGAGGATTGTTCTTTTCAGTGAAATTTCAGAGAAAAAAGTTGTTATTAAAAGTTATAGAGCATAAGAATACCTAAAAAATGAGAGGTCGCACGATATTTTTCACCAATTTTTTTACGAGTTACAGAATTAAAACCATAAAAGTCAAACGATTTTTAAATATTTTATAATTCATTTAATTCTTATTTAATCAATCTTTCCCTTGGCAAAATTATTGCTTTTGAGGCCCTTAATAAGCATAAAAAATTTTGACCCAATCGGATTACAGTGAGTTCTCGCGAGTCGTTCAATTCTCGAAAATTTTCAAGATCATAAAACTCACGAGTCGTTCAACGCATAAGCCACGCCTCCAAGGCGATTTCAGGGATGTGTGAAACATATTTATCGCCCCGAAAGACACAATATTCAATGGCTTTGGTCCGTTTAAATTACACAGCACTGAGCACCAGCGCGCGCATACCAGAAATTGAACGACTCGTGAATCGGACACTGATCAGCTGTTGAACGACTGACGAGTTTGAACGACTCGCGAGAACTCACTGTAATAGTTTTCCCATAATCTGATTGTTAATTAACAAACTTTTTTTTGCATTGAATGTCAAATTTGTGAATCGTTAAAAAAAATTTTTTTCAAGTTGCATTTTACTCTTAAGAGTCTATATTTTTGATAACATGTATTGCGGAATAAAAAAAGAAATTTTTATTGCTAAAAAATAAATTTTTAAAAATGGTCAATTTTTCACTATAAACAATGAAGCATATCTCAGTCAAATTTTATTTTAGAAAATCGGGATAAAAACATCTTTATTCCTTGTATCTTCCTACAACTTTTAAGACCAAAGTGATTAATGTAGCTCGAACGGTATTAGAAATAATTTTTTTTTTCAAAAAAAACCCAGACAATTTGTTTATTAATATTTTTTAATTTTTTTCGTACAGATTTGAAGATTACAATCTGCAGTTTAATATAAAAAATCGTGAAATTTATCCATTCATTATTAATAATTAAAAGAGGACATCCTCCTTTCTTAAAAAAGACATGGAGTGGAAAGGTCGAATGTATCGAAAAGTATCGAAGTAAAGAATGGGCAATGAGAATGTAAAATCTTAATAGAAGGGTGTTTTTAAAATTGTTTGTACATGTGAAGGTGGCGCTGCAGTCGTATGTTATTTAAAAAGAGCGCGAATATATAAATTTTATTTTTGTTAAGAGAAAGTACACATAACAAATCTTATTTTGCATTGTCAAAAAAAACGTCAATATTTCAAATATAAATAAGCAAATTATTAACTGAAAAAATTTGAATATTATTATTAATGAAATAATGGTCTTGGACAATGTACATATAAAAACTAGCACCGTAGACGGCCGCTTGCGGCCGTCGGAGGAGCTAGTTAAAATCAAAGTAAGAATTTATCTTGATGTAGCGCGTGGAGTTTACTATATTTAACTCGCTCGCGATGGTGGAGATGGTGTAGTTTCTTTAGTTCAAGTCGCGGCTACTCCCGAGAATTGGCGCCACCTCCTTGACCACTGACACATAGATCTACTTGTCTGTGGGCTCGCCAACATATTGTCCGAAACTTTTACCAAAAATTCAACTTTTCAACGTTCTTTTTCAATACTTTTTTCGAAAATTACTTGCAAATTTCGAGAACACTCTTCATCAGCACGAATTCCTTTAATTTTCCTGATAAATCCGAACGAGATATAAAAACTTTGGTACACATTAACAAATTTCGATCATTCTTTTTTTAAACTGGGCTAACTTTTTCTCAGGATTTCAAATCTTTTATTACCTTCTTAAAAAAATTATAAATAATATTAGAAAAATAATTTTAATTTTTTTGAAATTTTTATTTTCCTAAAAAAATTATTTTCTATTACAATGTAAAATATTATAAGTAACTAACATAATTATTTTTTCAAAAAAAGTTTTAAAAATATATACGATTTTCTTTTGTTAAATTAATTTCTAAATTGAATTTAATGAATTTAAAAGGTTTAGGAAAGAATTATTTTATTTTACAATAAATTATTAGAGAAAATAAAAATTTTGAAAAAATGAATATTAATTTAGAGATAGAAATTTTATTTTTTTTTTAAGAAAGAATATTAAATTTGAATAGCTGAGTAAAAAACACCCTAGTTTAAAAAAAGAAAGATCAAAATCGGTCAATTTGTTGCAAAGTTACAGCAACTTTTGCGAATTTAAATGCTGCCCGAATTCAATATTCTGATGCGAGCGACATTGATTTTAATGTCCTCTTTTAATTATTAATAATGAATGGATAAATTACACGATTTTTTATATTAAACTGCAGATTGTAATCTTCAAATCTATACGAAAAAAATTAAAAAATATTAATAAACAAATTGTCTGGATTTTTTAAAAAAAAAAAAAAAATTATTTCTAATACCGTTCGAGCTAGATTAATCACTTTGGTCTTAAAAGTTGTAGGAAGATACAAGGAATAAAGATGTTTTTATCTCGATTTTCTAAAATAAAATTTGACTGAGATATGCTTCATTGTTTATAGTGAAAAAATTGACCATTTTTAAAAATTTATTTTTTAGCAATAAAAATTTCTTTTTTTATTCCGCAATACATGTTATCAAAAATATAGACCCTTAAGAGTAAAATGCAACTTGAAAAAAATTTTTTTTTAACGATTCACAAATTTGACATTCAATGCAAAAAAAAAGTTTGTTAATTAACAATCAGATTATGGAAAAACTATTAATCCGATTGGGTCAAAATTTTTTATGCTTATTAAGGGCCTCAAAAGCAATAATTTTGCCAAAGGAAAGATTGATTAAATAAGAATTAAATAAATTATAAAATATTTAAAAATCGTTTGACTTTTATGGTTTTAATTCTGTAACTCGTAAACAAATTGGTGAAAAATATCGTGCGACCTCTCATTTTTTTAGGTATTTTTAAGCTCTACAACTTTTAATAACAACTTTTTTCTCTAAAATTTCACTGAGAAGAACAATCCTCAAAAAACTACAAAAAAACTGATTTTGTCATCTTAAAAGTTTTTTAACAATAAACGCGCTTAGTGTAGGTTGGTGCAAACTGTTAGCCTTTGTTTCTATGCTACGAATCTATCAAAAAACATTTTTTCCTATTGGTTAGGATTTATGTCACAAAATCGACCTTTTTTTGACAGGGCGCCTGGACTATTTAAACCGATTTTCTTTTTTAGGTACGTTGACGACATTATTGCTTGCATACCGGAAAATAGAGTTCATGAGATGATTGACACGTTTAATAATTATGACGAGAGACTACAATTTACATACGAAACTGAAACAAATAATACAATTAACTTCTTAGATGTTCTTATAATTAAAGAAAATAATAAACTTATAACTGACTGGTATAAAAAACCAACTTTTTCCGGACAAACAATTAACTATGAATCAAAACATCCTTTTTCTCAAAAAATTGCCATAGTATCCAATCTTGTCGATATGGCAATAAAACTTTCGAATAAAAAATTCCATAAGAAAAATATTGAATATGTCGAAAAAATACTAATTAATAATAATTATTCCCTCGAATTTATTAATAAGCACATTAAGAAACGCATGTGTTCCATTGAGTCAAATTCACAATGTAACAAAAGTAATTCGGTTTACAAAATGTTACCGAAAGTTTTCTTGCCTTATGTTCCCAATCTTTATGAAAAAACTTCATCTTTCCTAAATAAGTACAGTATTCTAACTATCCCAACCAATAATAAGAACATGAATCATAACTTGGTAATTAAAGGAAAAGATATAAGTAAAAAATCTGAAATCACAAACTCGGTATATAAAATAGGATGCAAAAACTGTTCTGCATCTTATGTTGGACAAACGAAAAGAATGGTGGGTGTTCGTATTAATGAGCACAAAATTTCAAAAACAAATGTTGTTGCTGAACATATCAATTCACTTGGTCATGATTTTGATTGGGATGGATTTTTAGTACTAGATAAAGAAGGTTCATTTAAAAAACGCTTAATTTCTGAAATGATCCACATTAACTTACAAAAAAATTCAATTAATAAAAAAGATGACGCATTAAAACTTAGTAGTTATTATACTCATTTTCTCAATGAAAAGAAGGATTTATAATCAGCTGTCTTTTCAGTTTACCTTGATATTTCTCTTTCTTAGTTTTGTTTATCGATGGCGCTTGACCCCGAAAAATTGTACATCGTTCACTCGTACTTGTCTGTATATTTGTTTAGTGTCATATTGTAATCGTAGCGACAAAGATGAACCTATCTTAATTTATAATTTTAATTTTTCTAATTTTCTTTTTTTCGGTAAATATTTTATTTTTAATTTTTTATTGTTAATCAAAAGATTGTAAAAAATTGTAAAAAATCTTTTTTTAATATTTTGTTTTATAATAAATTATAGTTCTGAAGAGGACAGCTGTGCTGCCGAAACGTAAAAAGAATTGAATTTCTTTTATTTTTATTTTCCTTGACTCGGAGTGATCGTTAATTTTCACTATTTATTAAAATACGACTGAGTGATAGAATCATCTCTACTCTTAAAATATAGAGAAGTAAAAAAAATTATTTCTCTATTTTCAAAAATATAATTGAAAAAAATTGTAACAATTTAAAAAATTTGATAAACTAAGTTTTTATACAATAAAAAGGAAAGTATCTCCCCAGGAAACAATATTTTGGCAAAATTTTTATAAAGATTTTATCTTATTCACGTTTCCGTATTTTTTTTTAATATTTATATATTCTATATTATCAATTGAATTTTTTCCTAATAATGATAAACATTTTGATTTATGATACTTTGCTTTGTACAAAAAAAAATATTTACGGCAAATTTACAAAAAAAAACATTTTTTAAAAACATGTAATATGCCGATTATATTACAAAATAATAAGAGAAAACTGCGATTGGTTTTCTAATTTTCGTGATAAAAAAATAGGAAAAGAAACAAATCATTCTCTATCTGATGTAGACGCTTAATTGTAAAGCGCTCTGAAGTAGTACTTTGATACCTGGCATAAATGAAGCAATTTGACTAAAATCTGGTCCTGAAACAAGTTGCGTGTGAATTCCCAGTCCACCTGTATAATCACCGTTTTGAATCATTTGTGATATTTGGTGTAATCCTTGGAGTGTGTTTTGAGTCAGCTAAAAAAATTTTTTTATTTTATTATCAAAATTTTCAAGAAAAAATTAAATGAGAAATTAATACAAAAAAATTAATTAAATTATAAATTCAATAATTAATAAACACGCTTTAAAAATTAGATATAAAGAGGACTTGAAAAAAAAACTGTACCTTGTTTTCTCTCAGACAATCATAAAGAGCTTCGAGTTTTCTGGCAACATCTTCTATTTTTCTTTTGGTTTGCTAAAAAAGAGAAAATATTTTCATTTGCAGTTTATTTTTTTCTTAAACTTTATTACTATTACATACTAGCAAATGTTGCGAGCGCGAAACGCAATGCCTTTTTCGACCACTTTCAAATTACCGTCAACAGGGGTACCCAGTAAACGAAAACTAATTGAAATGAATTAAAAAGAATTCACAAAGAGCTTTCGTGAATCCCGCTTTGTGACAAATACGAATTGGAGCCATGATGCAATTTTCCTGAATTCGTGAAACTGTATTGAACTTCCGAACCTTCTATCCGTACCAATTCACTGGACAAGTTTTGAGCCTTTAATTTTTTTCAATTCGTTAGCACGAATTCAATGCATTCCTTGGCCATTTCTTTCGAATGCGAATTCGTTTGGACAAATTGGTACATATTGAATTAAATTCAATTGAATATACAAAGAGCTTGAGTGAATCCCGCTTTGTGACAAATACGAATTGGAGCCTACCAAAAATGTTAATTCGTTTCAATTCATTTGAATTAGTTTTTTTTTACTGGGTAATTATGGAACAAAAAGACGCAATTTTTTGAGTTTCTTCTTCACTAAAAATCTAAAGTGTACAAAAAAATTTTATTAGCTATTCAAATATATTGTGAACATTCTTCTAAAGATTTCCTTCAAGTTCCATTTACAAAAAAAATTTTTTTGACGGAGTTATTTAAACATAAATATTGCTCCATAATTGCCTCGCATTTGGGGCAATTATAGAACAAATTATTATAATTAATTATAAAAGCAAGTATAACAAATTTTCTTTGTCTGTTTATTAAGAAAACTTTATTTAGTACTGCAGACTAAAATAATAATAGATAATAATAGTAAACTAAACGCGAATTTAATTCAAAGAAATTAGTAGATTATTACACTTTTGTGAAATAACCTTTCCACTTTTTCGATGTTTAATAATTATTTTCTCGTTGCCAATGACAATAAAAATAAAAACATCTGAGTAACTTTGTAGGCAATATATTAAACTATTATTTACAACAAGAACCAAATTAAAATAATTTACCACAAAAATTTTACATAAAAAAGAATTACGCGTTCCATATTTACCTCTGATGTTCCATAATTACCCCTGTTGATGGTATGCGACTTTTTCGACTTTTCTTCCAAATTTTGCGACAAAATACCATATTAAAGAATTTTAATTGAAAATTTTAGAAATAATTGGATTCTTAGAAATTTTAATGAATAATCTTCAAGTGTAAATTCAATAAAAATAAAAATTAATGAAAATTAGGTTCTAAAAATAATATTAAAATAGTTTTTAAAAAAGTAATTCTCTGAATTATTTCGTTCTAATTTTTTTAAAATCCAATTATTTTCAATATTTCCAAAAATTCAAATACATACACAAAATAGTAACATTAAAATTTTTTAGAATTATTTTTAACATTTGGGAGAAAATAATCATATTTAAAATTTTTAATTAAAATTCTTCCAAAAATAATTTTTTTTTTAATTAGGATAACAATTCTTCAATTATTTTCGAAAAATTACTTTACAATATTTATAAAAAACTAATTCTTAGAATTGTTTTATAATAATTTTTCAATATTCAATTACCTTTCGACAAAGTAAATTAAAATTTTTAATAATTTACTATATTAGAATTTTTGAGAAATCATTTATAATTAAAATTCTTCGAAAAATTTGATTATTTTTTTTTTACATTTTTTAAAAACTCAAATATTTTTAAAAGATTTTATCAAATTTCTATTATTTTTCAAACTAAATTTAAATTCCTTTTTAAAAGATTTTACCAAATTTCAAATTTTTGACATTTTTTACTTGCATGAAATTTGTAAAACTATTGTCTTCTAAAAACTATTTAGAAATATTTTTAAAAAGTTCATATTACGAATTTCTTTATTAAAATTTTTGAAAATATTCTACCTTAATATCTTTAAAAAGAAAAATAGACAATTTCAATTATTATAAAAATTGAATTTTTGTACATATTTAAATAATTGAATTCTCGAAGAACTTTCGAAAAATTATTGCAAATTAATATAGATAATTGATTTAGAGATGAAGTTTAGTTAAAAATTGTAGAAAATATTTGAATTTTTGGAAGGTTTTAATTTTTAGAAATTATTAAATTTCAGAAGTTCAAATTTTTTTATTTTATTTCCTGTAAAAAAGGAAATAAGTATTTAAATATTTATTAGGAAAATTATTCAAGTTTTGATTAATTGAATTTAGAAATCAGGGAAATACAAAATAAAATTTTTGTGACAACACTAAATTAAATAAACGACTTTTTCGATTTTTTTCTATTTTGAATCGACTAAAGCGACTTTTTTTGCTCGGTGAAGTCGATCCGAGGCCTTCAATTTTGACAAAATTCTTCGAAACAATTCAATTATTTTTGTAACTTGTAAAATTCTTTGCAAGAATTAAATGCAATTTTAATAAAATTTCTCGAACGGGTTTAATTCTTTTTTTAAATTGTAATAGAATTTTTCTAAAATATTCAATTACCTATCTTCAAAAGTTTTGATAGAATTGTTTGTAAATTTTAATAAACACGATTATTTTAAAAACTTAAACGAAATTCTTCATTAAATTTAATTACTTTTAAAATTTTCAGTAAAAAATATTAAAAATCTTCACTATTTTTAAAAAATCAATTTTTTTTTTAGAAAAATCCAAATATTTCAAAAATATGAAATGTATTAAAATTTCCTGCAACATATATAGAGATTTTAACCCAATTAATGATATTCCAGAATATTTTACAAATCCGTTTAGAAGTTTAGGCTCAACGTTTGTCTAATAAATCCCGAAAAGTCGCTATTTTTTCAGTTTTCTTTGCTTAAATTCTATAAAAGTATCAAAAATATGGAATAAACTTAACAGAATTCTTTAATTTATCATTTTTTATTCAACAAAAAAAATTGATCAAAATCTGTTAAGATTTACTCGAGTTATTCGATTTTATCTAGAAAACAGTCGATATTTTGAGAATATATTTCGCGGTTTTTACTTGGCGGTGATTCTCTACCGCGAATCTTGATAAAAAAAATTATAATTAAAAAAAATAAAAATAGATGAAAGTAAAATAATTTTCATTAGTATATTACAATATAAGTAAAAGATAATAAAAATTAAATAAAATAAATAATTTGGTTTTATGAACTTACAGGATTTTTTGCATTTTCCAAACAATGAGCCTGCAATTCATCTAAAACTGTTTTCAAATGAAGATGCTCCTCTGGAATCGGTGCTTTTGGTTTTTCTGGTTCAGCAATTCTCGCAGGAGGAATATTTTGTGCTGGTTGCATTGTTTGTATAGGTTGCATTTGTTGGCGAGGTTCAACATTTTGCATATATTGATTTGAAGGATTCAAAACATTTTGATTGTATTGTTGATTAAATGGCATTTGTGGTTCTTGATAAAAACCTTGTGGCTGCATAAACTGAAATTATCGTAATTTAATTAAGGAAATAATTTCTTTTTATTAAAATTATAATTTAATTTTTTTTTGTTTTTCTTTGAAATTAATTATTTTTTCTTTCTCTCATAACATTAAAGAAAAAAATCTCACATTCGATTCTTGTGGTGGAACAGCGCCTCTCAAAGGATGAAGAATCGGATCCGGTTGTTGAAATTCTGCCTTTGGCTGAAAAAAGCAAAATCTTTTATAATTTCTTTTTTCTTCTCAATTTCCTATAAAAATAATTTCACAAAAAATTATATTAATTTATATTTAAGAAAAACAAAGCACTCGAGGGGTCGTTCTTAACAAACTTAAATCCTTTTCTCAAAATATTTTTCTAGGTGTCTTGATTTGAAAAATACAGAATTTTTTTTTTGTTTATATTAAAAATACTATTTTTATATTAAAATTTTTTTTTTAAATGTTAATAATTAATTAAAATTTAAACACACTTTTTTATATAAAGTTGAAATTTTTGTACAGAAATAAAAAAACATTTCTTTCCGAAAATTCTTTGAAACTGTATTTTTAGAAAATTTTAAACTTTCAGAAAGAATTTTTCAATTTTGTGTTTCCAATAAATAGTAAATTTAAATTCGGTTATATTAGATAATAAAAATCAATTTTCCGGTGTTAATAATTGCTTGGAGAAAAAGCGGAAAAAATACATGCTAAACTAATTTACATTTGAGACTGTTCTTCTAGCCAATGACTAAATTGCTATAATTTTATTAAAAATTTTATTTAATTAGGAACAAAATAAATTGAGGTACATTTGCCTTGAAATTGTACTTCACAAATATTGAAGAAGGCGCACACACACCATTCAGTAGGTCTCTACCTCATTTCTACTCTTCGAGTGTTTAGCTTTCCACTTCCTGGTGCCGGCATGTTCCGCTGACATTTCATTTTTCTTGTATAAAGCCAGAACTGGCTATAGGTCATTTAAATACAAATCAACAATTTAATCAAAAAGCAAATTTAAGTCAAATTTAATTTAATAAGCAAATCTATAATGGAAATTAAATCTAAAATAATTGTCGAATTATTTTCATGATAATTTTCTCAGAAAAAAATACCTTAATGTTTGGAAATTAAAAATTCAGGGTTGCCACCAAAATTTACTTTTCTTTTTTCCCTATCTATTTCCTGATTTCCAGACAAAGTTTTGACTTTTTCCCCGACCCTAAAGAATATTCTGATTCACTCTAAAAATTATTAGATACTCAAAAAAATGTTCTATTACATTTATTTACGAATTTCTTTAATTGTAAAATTATTCCAAAACATCAATCACTTCTTTTTTAAACAAATATTTAATTATTAGTATTTTTCCATAGAAATTAAAATTTTTTTAAATTTCAAATTCAAACCTTTTGAAATTTAAAAACTTATAAAAATATTGTTACAGTAACTTCTTTAAAATAATTTTCATCATTTCAAATCCATTTGTTTAGAATTCAATTTTTACGAAATTTCAATTGTTCGGAAATTCTTTAATTAAATAATTATTAGAAAATAAAAACTTCAAATAATTTAAAAAAAAAAAAAATTCAATTAAACTTTTTCAAAAAAATTAATTCTACAGAATTGTTAGTCAAAAGTTTGAAAAATTCATATTTTCAAAAATTTGAGTTTGAAAACTTTTTAAAATTCAATTATTTCTAAAAATTGTTATTAATTATAACTTCTCTACAATTCAATTTTTTTTTAGAGTTTTTAACTAAAATTCTTCTATAAACTCATTATCTTTAATAATTAATTAAGTATATTGTATATTAAAAAATGGAACTAATTTCAAAAGAATTTGAATTATCAAAATTTTTCGAAAATCTAAGTTCTTTAAAATTTTTAATTAAATTCATTAAAATTTTTTAAAAGTCAAAATAATAAAAATTCTACAAAGCAATTTATCACTAAAAATAATTTAATTCTGATATTCTTTTTAAATTGTATTGAAAATAATTGAATTCTTGCAAAGGATTTAAAATAATTGAAATTATGACAAGAAATTCATACAAAATTTTAAGAATAATTGAATCCTTTGGAGAATTTTATTTTAAAAAATAATTGATATCCTGACAAGAAATTTATCAAATGTTTTAAGAATTATTCAATTCTTTCGAGAAATTTGATTGAAAACCGAGCCCGACGCTCGGAGGAACGCGCAACTGCCAGTCAGTGAGCAGTGAGCGCCTCTGGGCCACTCACTGCTACCCGACTGGTATTAGCGCGTGCCTTCGAGCGTCGGGCGAGTTATTGGATCCAAGGCCTCAATTAAATTCATATAGTTAGTTGCATGAATTTAATTATTTTCAATAAAATTTCTAATTAAATTCATTTAAAATTCAAATTTTTCAAATTGAAACCGTTTAAAATTCATTTATTTATGAAAATTGTAAACGCAACTCTTATAAAATTCAATTATTTTTGAAATTTTCAAGTAAAATTATTCATTAGGTAGATAATTTGTAAATAATAATTTTATGATAGTTCTTAAAGAATGAAATTATTTAAAATAAATTATTGTCAGAAATAGAAAAAATTTAAGATTTAACTTCATAGTTTATGAAGCAAACAAAAAAGACAACAAAATTCAGTATTTTTTTTAAAAATTCTAAAAATGTACTTTTTTCCAGTACTTTAAATAAAAATCCCTGACTTTTCCCTTACCTGTGACAACCCTGAAATTAATTGATTTTTTAAAAATATTATAAGTATTATCTTTTAGTCTATTAATAGAAGTTATCGATATATTATCTTTTACATTTTAGTACAATTGAATGATATTTTTAATATCATTTCTTCTAAATCCTAATATTGATTATTATATTTTTGCAATAAATAATATATTTATTATTATAGAATATATTTCCTTAAAGTGGTTATTGTGTTTGGGAAATGACGGATTGGAAAATTTTTTAAAAATTTAATTAACAATGTAATTCATAAATAAAATCTAATTCTAAAAATCATTATCTGAAATGTTTATTGAATTGTAATTTCAACGGCAAAAGAAAATTAAAATTTAGTTTCTTCAATTATTGTTATAGAAATATAAAGAATTTAACATTAAATTGAATATTTTCTTTTTTTGTAAGTCTGTTACGTTGTACAAGAAAATTCAGAATTTTCTTATGAATTCTAGAAACTGAATATTTTTCCAGTACTTTTCATAATATTCCCTGAATTTTTCTTGATTTCCCTGACCTTCGGCAACCCTGAACATGTATTTTAAAGGATTTTAACAAAATATAACGATTTTATAGATCATTCAATCTTTTTAATGAAATATTATTAATAAGTTTTAAAATAAATATTTCTATTTTTTCTCAGAAAATAAGAATCAATGACTTAAAAAATAAATTCTTTTTAATAAAAAATTACAAAATTCCCTGTCAAGATAAAATTCACTGTCATTTTCCGGTTTTTCCCGGTCCAAAAAAATTCCCTGTCATTTCCCGGTTTTAAATCATAATTTTTCTATTCGAGAATATTTTATATTTTTATGTTATTAGCAATGTGTTTTCTAAATTATTTACTGAAATTTGAAAGATGAGTTTTAAAAAAATCTTAATTGAAATAATTAATTAAGAATTAAAATTTAACAGAATAAAAATCTGAATTAAAAAACTTATTTTTGCTTAATACAGGGCTCGAATCAGTGAAAGTATTTAAAAATACGTCCTTTACGGACCAATTACTGACAAATCCGAGTCTTCAATTCGAGTTACATATATCCAAGTATAACTCCAAGTCTTCGACTCGGAGTGATCGATTTCTTCATGTTTTATATTAATTAAAGATGGCCCAGTGATAAAATCATTATTTTATATTATAAGAATATTGTACTTCTTCAAAACTATTTTCATCATTTCAATTCAATTATTATTTTCAAGAATTTTTAACTGATATTCTTCTTTAAATCAATTAATTTTCAAAAAGTCCTCTGACAGTTTTCAAATCCATTTGTTTACAATATTCAATTTTACAAAATTTCAATTATTCGTAAATTCTTCAATTAAATATATATTACAAAATAAAAACTTCAAATAATATAAAAAAATGCAATTAAACTTATTCAAAAAAATTAATTTTAAAATTCAATTTTTATTAGAAAATTTCACTAAAATTCAATTATTTAAATACAAAAATAAATAATTTATTGAAATAATTCAATTCTATTGAAGAATTTTAATAAAATTTTTAAGAATTATTACATTTTTCGAGAAATTAGATTAAGATTGTATTAAAAATAATTGAAATTCTGGGATGAGTTTTATTATTTATGGGAATAATTGAATTACTAAAAAGAATTTTATTATTTTTGATCATAATTAAATTTTTGCAAAGAATTTTATTATTCTTCAAAATATTTTTGAATTTCTGCAATAATTTTTTAATTTCTCCAAAATAAAATTTTTTTAGTGTTTTTAACTAAAATTATTCTATAAATTCATTCTTTAATAATTATTTTCAAAAAAGTTCTTTGAGAATTTTCTAATTCATTTGTTTACAATTCAATTATACAAAATTTCAATTAAAAATAAATACTTCAATATTAAATGTATTTATATTAGAAAATAAAAATTTCAAAAAAATAATTTCAAGTAAAATTGAAATAAACTTTTTGAAAAAAAATAATTCTTCTACAGAATTGTTAGTTAAAAGTATGAAAAATTTAAATTTTTAAAGATTTTAACATAAAATCTTTTCAAAATTCAATTATTTCTAAAAATTCAGGCTATACAGGTAATGTTTTTCATATTCAATTATAATCTAAAATTTTGAGTGAAATCCATTTTTAATTTAATTTTTATTAGAAAATTCTACTAGAATTCAATTATTTAAATAAAAATTAAATAATTTATTGAATAATATAATTCTCATAAATAATTGATTACTTTCGACAAATTTTAATAAAAGTTTTAAGAATAATTAGGTACACTTTTCGAGGACTTCCATTAAAATTGTATTAAAAATAATTGAAATTTAGCATTGAGTTTTATTATTTATGAAAATAATTGAATTATTTAGAAGAAATTTATAAAAAAATTTATATATATAATTGAATTCCTGTGAAATTTTTATTATTTTATGAAAATAATTAAATGTTTGCGTAGAATTTTATTAAAATTTGTTTAAATAATGTGATTCTCTTGGAAAATTTGATGAAAATAGTATAGATATTAAAAATCATAGAATTGAGGAAAACTTTTGAAAATAATTGAAATTTTGCTAAGAATTTTTATTAAAATTTTTGAAAATAATTGAATTTTTGAGAAGAATTTTATTATTTCTAAAGATAATTGAAATTTTGACGAGAATTTTTAAAAGTTTTTGAATATATGTAATTGAATTTCTGCGAAGAATTTTATTATTTTTGAAAATAATTGAATTTCTGCAATCATTTGTAATTTCTCTAAAATTATTCAAATTATATATTGTATACAATTTACAAAGTTCTCATCCTTTTTGAATCAAATTACGGATTTTACGGACCTTTTTAAAAAAAACTGACTTTTACGGACCTTTACGGAATTTACGGACATAGTTCGAGCGCTGTATAATCCATATATATTTTAGTATTAAATAAATTTCTTTGAAAAATATTTTTTTAAAAACTTTCCTATTTTATAAATTACTAAATATAAAAATAATAAAAATTAATTTATAGATACTTATTAATGCATACTACTATAATTAATATTGTATTTTTAAATTTTAATTCCTAATTTTTAGCTGCTTTTTTATTAGACTGGATTTTGTAAATAAAAATAAAAATTTCGGTAAAATGTTACCTGCATTCTCGTGGGTTTATTGCTGATTGGGGGATCATTCCAACCGGAAGGTTGTGGAGACGCCAGATAAGGAGTGTCATAAACTTGTGGTGGTTGATTAATCGCTTGGCCTCTGTTCGGATCGTAAATCTGTGACTGCGCCTGATTTGGTGTTATCAATCCACCGACAATCGGTTCCTGTGCACTGAACATTTGATTCGGCACTGGATTTTGATACGTTGAATTGGCCAAAGGAGTTTGCGGTTGGAAAGTGTTTTGCGGCGGGAAACCCGCAACAGGATTTGTTTGCCCTCCAAACATCGACGGTTGTTGAGAATAATTCGAAATTCCTCCATAAGTTGGTCCCGATTTCACTGAAGGATCAATAATATATTTCGATCTTGATTGTGGTCCAACACTCGGTGGTCGTGAACCGGAAAGATTACCGCTGGCAGCAGTCGGTGGAGGAGGAGGCGGTGCTGCTGCCGCTGCTACCTGAGGTGTTGAAATTTGTCCATAAGGCAACGACGCTTGATTTGAAAATTGATCGATTGGTGGAACAGGTCCCGATGGCAATGATGGAATCATAGACGATCCAAAATTATTCCCCACACTTGGATACGATTGTTTCAAAGGTGTTGTATTCCAATTATTTGATTGGACCGAATAATTATTTGATGGTAAGGATTTTCTTGGTTGTTGTTGTTGTGGTGGTTGTTGTTGTTGTTGATAATAATTTTGTGTCGATTGTCTTGGACGTGCATCTTTAATGTAACCCAAAGCTCGGTATAAACGATCGCGAAGCATTGCAATTCTCGGCTCTTGACTATTTCCCAGATAATTGAGAGCTGATTCAAAATTGCCTTCAGATGCCAACATTTCTGCGTATTGTGATAAAATCGATGCGATTTGACCTTCAATTACAAATTCCCTTGTTCCTTGTATTTCCAAAGCCTTTTGCATTATCGTGACAAGTTCGGCTTTCTCCTGAATCGATGAATCTGATAGTTCAATTATTTTATTCAAATTCCCAGAACAAATGAAGCAAATTTCTGCTTCTTTCGAAAGTTCGGCGTTGTCACTTGATGCAAGACGATCGCCCAGCATGTCTGGAAAAATTACATTAAATAATTTTTTATAAATATGGTTTTATAGAAAAAATACAATAAGCAAATAAAAATTTGAAAATACAAGTTACAAATAAAGATTAAAATAATACTAAAAGAGTAGTTAATAATTCAAAAAAACAAATTAAATAATAAAATATAGTTATATTCAGTTTTCCAAATACTTGAAAATTACCGCAAAGAATTGCTCGTTCTCTGGGAGCGGTATGAGTGAATATTCCGACTAAAGTCTCCTTCCAGCATGTAATGTCGCAATTATTGACAATGTCAGACCAATTTTCGCTCACCAGTGAACTAATGAGTGAATTTAGTGCTCCGGAATGCTCCATAAAATATCGATATTGAGTTTGTGCTAATAAATCGGGACCACCTGCCATTGAAAGAATTACCGCATCTGCGTATCTTTTATTCGCGAAGCAAAGAGAAACGGCCGCTTCAATATTTCCGAGAAGAATTGCTTGTGTTATGAGGCCGTCTTCATCTGAAAATTATTAACAATACACAATAAATTTAATTGTTTAAAAAAACAAACTTACCTAACATCAAAAAATAAATAAAAGAATATTTATTCTAACAGCAATGTATGAATTTGAAATTTAATAATTACATACAAGTAAATAATAATAATTTCATAATATTGCTAATAAAAATTATTATTTGTTTGTTTAATAAATTTAGTGAATAAACAATAACATTAAATAATTTACATAAAATACAAAATTTTTGAATTACCATCTGATGTGTTGATCTTGAAATTTCTTTCTTGCTCTTTTTTAGGCGATGATATTCTACTTTGCTCCTGCTGCGCTATAGCGTCAAATGCTGCACTTCCATCGATACTGTTGCCATTAAGTACCTAATTAAAAAAATACTTTTACGAATAAGTAAATTAATTAATAAAAATAAGCTCACTTAAACAGAATAATATAACCATTCATAAATAAATATAAATAAATAACCAAACAATAAATAACTATGAATAATACAGGGCTCGAACCAGTGAAAGTATTTAAAAATACGGACTTTACGGACCAAAAATAAAAAATTACGGACCATTTACGGACCAATTGCTTACGAAAATATAACCAGTCCGAGTCAAATAAGAGAACATTTTACTTCAAACCATAAATAAAATTTTCCATTACTATAAAACATGAATATGTATATATCGATACTCGCTTTTTTCATGATTTATAATAATTAAGGATGACAGAATGATAAAATCATTATCAATTCGATTTTCAAGAATTTTTAACTAAATCTTCTTTAAATCGATTATTTTTAATAATTTTCGAAAAAGTTCTTTGACAATTTTCAAATCTATTTCTTTACAATATTCAATTTTACGAAATTTCAATTATTCGTAAATTCTTCAATTAAATAAATATTAGAAAATAAAAACTTAAAATAATATAAAAAAAATTCAATTAAACTTTTTCAAAAAAAAAAAAAATTAACTTCAAAAATCCAATTATTTCTAGAAATTAACTTATTAAGTACATAATGTTAAATATTCTCGTTTATTATTATTAAAAAATTTTAATAACATTTTTAGAAAGAATTTCATTATTCTCATAAATAATATTTTTTAAAGCAATTCAATTATTTTCAATACAATTTTAATAAAATTTCTCTAAAGAAAGCAATTATTTATAAAAAATATTATTTAAATCCAATTATTTTCAAGAATTTTAATATATATTATAAATTCAATTATTTTCGACAATTTTGATGAAATTCTTTTTAAAAAATATCATTATTTTCAAAATTTTTAATAAAATTTGTTCAAGAAGTTCAAATATTTTCAAAAATTCAGATAAAATTCTTCGAAGCAATTGAATTATTTTTAGAAATTGTAAAATTCTCCGCAAGAATTTAAATTATTTTCATGAATAAGAAAATTCTTCGCAAGAATTTAAAATATTAACATAAATAATGAAATTCTTCAACGGAAGTCAATTATTTTCATAAATAATAAAAGTGTTTTGTAGGAATTCAATTATTTCCAATACAATTTTAATAAAATTTCTCAAAAGAATACAATTATTTTTTAAAATATTATCTAAATTCAATAATTTTCAAGAGTTTTAATAAAAATTCAATTATTTTCAACAATTCTGAGAAAATAAAATTCTTCGAAACAATTCAATTATTTTTATAATTTGTAAAATTCTTGTCAAGAATTCAATTATTTTTGTAAATAATAAAATTCTTCTGAGAAATTCAATTATTTTCAATACAATTTTAATAAAATTTCTCGAAAGAATACAATTATTTTTAAAAATATTATTTAAATTCAATTATTTTCAACAATTCTAATAAAATTCTTCGAAACAATTCAATTATTTTTATTTTTTCAATTTTTATTTTCAATTCTACTAGAATTCAATTATATAAATACAAAAATAAATAATTTATTTAATAATTCAATGTTTCTTAAAATTGAATTCCCATAAAGAATTTTATCAATAAATTTTTAAATAATTGAATTCTTTTGACGAATTTTAATAAAATTTTAAAGAATAATTAAATTTTTTGAAGAATTCGATTAAAATTGTATTGAAAATAATTGAAATTCTGCAATGAGTTTTATTATTTATGAAAACAATTGAATTCCTAAAAAGAATTTTATTATTTACGAAAATAATTGAATTTCTGTAAAAATTTTATTATATATGAAAATAATTCAATAATTACGAAGAAGTTTATAAAAAATTGTAAATTCTTTTGGAAAATTTTATTAAAATAGTAGATATTAAAAATCATTGAATTGAGGAAAATTTTTTAAAATAATTGAAATTTTTACAAGAAGTCTACTGAATTTTTTCGAAAATATTTCAATATTGGAGAAGAATTTTATTATTTATGAAAAAAATTGAATTTCTGCGAATAATTTTATTACTTTTGAAAATAATTGGATTTCTTCAATCATTTGTAATTTCTCTAAAATTCTTCAAATTATATCGTACAATTTACGAACTTTTCGTCTTTTCTCAATCAAATTACAGACTTTAGAACCTTTTTTCAAAAAAAACTTACTTTTACGGACTTGAAGCAAATTTACGGAAATTCACGGGATTTGCGGACCTAGTGCGAGCCCCGATATTAAAATATTCATAGACCTCTTAAAATTAAAAATAAGATAAAAAATTACTTTTTTAAAAATTTTTTATCAAATATGTAAATATTTGACGATTTTTCTGTTTTCTTTAAAAAATGTTTGTAATAATATTAATGAAATTGTTAGTTTAGATTTATAAATTAAATAACAATTAATAATAAATAGCATAATTAATATTTACTGGATTAAAAGAAAAATATGATATACTCACGTTATCTAAATTTGCAATACCATCCGTGATATTATCAATATCTTGACGAGGCACAAGTTGATTTAATTTATTACTCATTGATTCTATATTATATCCTAATAACTCTAGAAGTCCAGTCGTTACATTATCACTGAAATAAGCTCCAACACAATTCCAAATTTTTCTATTGTGTTCATCCCTCGCCATATTGGCCTTTCCATTACAATAATCGCCATATTGCTCAGACTTTAATGCAGCCTCCAAATCACTCGATCGCTTCACTAATTCTGGATTTGTAATAACTTGCGATATAAATACTTTTCTATTTGAATTTGCCGGCATATTTGGATCTATAGGTTCATTCTCAAATATTGTCAATTTCCCACCAAACTGAAGAAAAGAAATTATTTACAAATATAAAAATAACGAATATAAATAAATTTATACAAATATGTAATATTTATTATATTAAATATATAAAAATCGTGATTTATTTTTACCCCGAACGATGCACCGAATGGACGTTTCATCCACTTTGGAGCTTTTTTTAAAATAGCTGCTGCTTCAGTTTCAGTTGCGGGCGGCGCTTGAGTAAAAGGATCCATTCCCGGAAATGAATCGACAATTTTATTTGTTGTTTCGGAAGATTCTTGATTTCTTCCTCCGAGTAAGGAGTAAACAACTGCGTGTCCATCGAAACTCGTTCCCACAATGAGACCCGGATCTCTTGGACTCCAGGCGACATCAAAGTTCCATTGATTCGTTTGTGCCAATTCGCAAACAACTTCGCCATTCTGCAATTCATTCAAATTCACCATCAAATTAATAATTCAATTAATTACAATTATTTTTCACGCAGAAAATTTATAATAATCACAAAAAGAAACAAAATATTTAATATATTTTTTAAATGAATAAATGAAAAAATAATTTTTCAATATAAATAAATAAACATAAATATTTCGAGCTTTAAAAATATAGATATATAAATAAATAAATAAATATAAAAAATAATGTATAAATAAAAAGGGGAAATTTACCGCTGCATCGGAATTGGGATTCCAACAGAGAATTCGGTTATCTTTCGCACAACTCAACAGCAAATCAGGATCGTGAGGATTCCAAGCGATTGATAGTACTCCACGTTGATGACTTTGAAGTGTCTTCAAAGGCGAGGTGGCAAATCTCAAATCCCATAATTCAATAACTGGCGCCTGATCATCCTCAGAGGCTAAACAAAGTTGCGTCGCCACATCTGGATGCCATTGAACTACTTTCCATCGAACCTGCAAAAAAACAGATTTCATCATTTGAAAAAGAGAAACATTTTTAAAAATATTTTATTTTCTCAATCTCAAAAAAAATAGTTTAATTAATTAAAACATTTATTTTCTTTTAAACTATAATTATTGTTATTATGATTACTATATGTAATTAATTATTTAAATTTCGTTTATTTAAATTTAATTTCTTTCCAAAATCACAGTAACATTTGCCACAAAAATTTTATTTTGTTTTTCCCTGACTTTCCCTTGATTTCTAGACAAAATTCTGACTCTAAAGAATATTCTGATTCAGACTAAAAATTATTACTCATGTTTTATAATAATTAAAGATGACCGACTGATATAATAATTATTTTAAATTATAAGAATATTATTACCGTAACTCGTTAAAAATTATTTTCATAATTTCAATTAAATTATTTTCAAAATTTTTAACTAAAATTATTCTTTAAATCAATTATTATTAATAATTTTTGAAAAATTTCTTTGAAAATTTTCAAATCCTTTTGTTTACAATTCAATTTTACGAAATTTCGATTATTCAAGAAATTCTTTAATCATATATATATATATATATATATATATATATATATATATATATATATATATATATTTACTATTAAATTACTAAAAACAATTATTTATTAGTAAAATCTGCTAATTTAAAAGCATAATTAAAATTAGTAAACATTTTTATTTTAATTCAAATTTATAAAATTTAAAATTCAATTATTATCTCAAATTTTAACTAAAATTCACATTTAAATTAATTTTTATTAAAAAATTCTACGAGAATTCAATAATTTAAATACGAAAATAAATAATTGATTGAATAATTGAATGTTTCTTAAAATTTACCTCTCATAAAAAATTTTGTCAACAAATTTTTAAATAATTCAAATTCTTCTGACGAATTTTAATAAAATTTTTAAGAATAATTTCAGTTTTCGAGAAATTCTATTAAAATGGTATTAAAAATAATTGAATCTCTGTAAAAAATTTGATTATTTATGAAATAATGGAATTATTGCGAAGAAATTTGTAACGAATTTGTAAATAATTGAATTCCTATGAAATTTGTATTATTTATTAAATATTCATATAATATAATTTATTAAATATTAGCGTAGAATTATATTAACATTTTTTTTAAATAATTAAATCCTTTTGGGAAATTTTATTAAAGTAGGGGAGTGTAAGGTATGGTGGCGGACTTGTCAAATCTAGCATGTAACGTCACATCTGAAGCGCCTTATCACTATGGTCGATGTCTTTTATCGTGATGACATTTTATATGCAGTAGTATTAATGATCAAACGCGTGCTTTGTACTTTAAGTGATTTTGAATAAAAAAGTAGTGAAAAAAAGAAAAAAAGTTTTATTGGATATGTGTGTTAACAGTGCCAGAGTGAAGATTTTTTGAAAATTGAGTCTGGTAAATGTATGGAACGTATTGTTTAGACCTTGGACAACAGTTTTTTGTATTTTACATTTTTCTCAATTCGCGCTGTATTAAAGTAACACCACCATATTTTCATCAGTAGCTTGTAAGGTATGATGGCGCAATTTTTGCAACGTACAGTGGCGGATCATTTTTTGCACGAGTTTCAATTGTCTTTGCATTTTTTGTGTACTAATGCCTCATGTGCTCCAACGCAACAATTCTCGAATATGCGACACTTGCGGTCTTCTCTTATTCTAGTTGCGTTAAAACAGCCACCAGCTACTTCACATGTCCAAATTGTAACCATAACTGAAGTGAAACTTTTTTTTCTATAATGTAAAATCATCAGTTTTTTCTCTTTTTGTTAATTTTCATCATTTCTAGTAGTTTTAATAAATAATTTTAACATCTACATAATATTTTAGTTAAATACACCAAATGCGCCACCATACCTTACAACTTTCAAAAATAAAAAAAATCAGTTTTTTGCGCCAAGAGCTGTAAAATTTCACTGAATTTAAATTTTAACAGCCGCTTCTGACAGAAATATGCTTAATAGATGTCAGCAACTGCCTGCTTTTGAAATTTTGAAAAATATTGTTTTGAGAGAGAGAGAGAGACGAAAAAAAGAAAGTGTCCGCCACCATACCTTACACTCCCCTAGTAGATATTAAAAACCATTGCATTGAAAAAAGTTTTTGAAAATAATTGAAATTTTGCCAAGAATTTTATTAAAATTTTTGAAAATAATTAAATTGTGGAGAAGAATTTTATTATTTATAAAGATAATTGAAAATTTGACGAGAATTATTTAACATTTTTTACCATAATTGAATTTGTTGCGAAGAATTTTATCACTTTTGAAAATAATTGAATTCTTGAGACGAATTTTAATAATATTTCTTTTTAAATAATTGAATTTTTTTGTCAAATTTTATTGAAATAGTACATGGTATTAAAAAATAATTGATTTTTGGTAAAATATTAAAATAAAAATATTAAATATTAAAATTAATAAAATTTCTACGAAGAATTTGATTAAAATTATTTTGAAAAAGTTGAATTATTTTGGAAAATTTGATGAAAATATTAGATATTGTAAATCATTAAATTGAGGAAAATTTTTCAAATAATTGAAATTTGACCAAGAATTTTATTAAAATTGTTGAAAATAATTAAATTGTGGAGAAGAATTTTATATTTTTATTTATTAAAAATAATTTAATTTTGATAAAATATTGAAATTAATTAAATTTCTACGAAGAATTTGATTAAAATTATTTTGAAAAAATTGAATTATTTTGGAAAATTTGATTAAAATATTAGATATTGCAAATCATTAAATTGAGGAAAATTTTTCAAATAATTGAAATTTTACCAAGAATTTTATTAAAATTGTTGAAATAATTAAATTGTGGAGAAGAATTTAATATTTTTATTTATTAAAAATAATTGAATTTTGATAAAATATTGAAATTAATTAAATTTCTACGAAGAATTTAATTAAAATTATTTTGAAAAAATTGAATTATTTTGGAAAATTTTATTAAATTATTAGATATTGAAAATTATTGAATTGAGGAAAAATATTGAAAATAATTGAAATTCTACCAAGAATTTTATTAAAAGTTTTGAAAATAATTGCATTTCTACAAAAAATTTTACTACTTTGAAGATACTTGAATTTCTGCTTGTAACTGCTCCAAAATTCATTTGTGTTTTTAACTAGAATTAAATTAAATTTAAATTTTTCAAAAATCTAAGTTCTTTAAGATTTCTAATTAAATTCATTCAAACTTGGAATTTTACAAAATTTCAAATGTTGTAAACGCCACTCTTTTGAAATTGAATTAATATTGAAATATGTAAGTAAAATTTGATTTTAAGAATAAGCACAATAACTTTAGAAAGCAATAATTTTCCAGGATTCTTATCAAAATTCCCTGACTTTTCCAGGTTTTTTCAAGGTCTATAAAATTCCCTAACATTTCCAGGTTTTTTCAAGGTTTATAAAATTCCCTGACATTTCCAGGTTTCAACCCTGATTTTTCACAAATTTTTCTACTAAAAAGTGAAAATTTTTTGGTACATAAAACAAATTGAATTTAGATAAATAAAAAAATTAATAGATTAAAATTTTGACGAAATACAAATTATCATGAATCAAATTGAAATAAATTGAAGATTGGAAAGAATAAAAATTTTAATTGAATAAAATTTGATTAAATTTGTATTACTATTTAGATAAATTACAACTTGAATAAATTAAATTTTTTTCGATTTAGACAACAGGAAAAAATAAATAACAAACCTTTGAATTGGCGTCAGTAAGTTTAATAATCGCCTCATTTTTTCTTAAATCCCAAATGACACAGCGCTGTGAAAATGTTGAGGCGAGAATATGTTGAACTTGTTTATTCCAGGCGATGTATTGCACATCTTCCGCGGGCTGACTTCGAGTTCCCGGTGCCATTGGTGTATTTGTATTGTTCACGTCCCAAATATAAATTTCACTTTCCGACGCGCCAGTTGCTAATAAATTCGATTGAAATGGATTAAAATCCAATGCACGTACTGGTCCAGTGTGTCGGTCGGGACTGCTCAATAAACAATTACTCTCGTTCGCTAATAATTTTGCAGCCGAATAAATTTTTATCGTTCCATAATCACAACCACCAACAATTACACCAGCTGGATTATCGCCATATGATCCCCATATTATTTTATGAAATCTGCAAATTATATATTCAATATTTCAATATATTTCAATATTTCTTTATATCTTTCCATGTAATGTACCTAATTTAATTTACTTTTAACAATTAATATTCTTTTTTAGACATAATTGTTTCTATTTTCTGTTAAATTATTTTAAAAGCTCAGGGCTCGAACTGAGTCCGTAAATTTGCTTCAAGTCCGTAAAAGTCAGTTTTTTTGAAAAAAGGTCCGTAAAGTACGTAATTTGATTGAGAAAAGACGAAAAGTTCGTAAATTGTACGATATAATTTGGAGAATTTTAGAGAAATTACAAATGATTGCAGAAATTCAATTATGTTCAAAAATTTGTTTAAATTCCCGTCAAAATTTAAATTTTCTTTATAAATAATAAAATTCTTCTCCAAAATTAAATTATTTTCAAAAAGTTCAATAGACTTCTTGTTAAAATTTCAATTATTTTCAAAAAATTTCCTGAATTCAATGATTTTTAATATCTACTATTTTCATCAAATTTTCCAAAAGAATTTACAATTTCTTTTATAAATTTTTTCGCAATCATTGAATTATTTTCATAAATAATCAAATTTTTACAAGGATTTAATTATTTTCGTAAATAATAATATTATTTTTAGGAATTCAATTGTTCTCATAAATAATAAAACTCATTACCAATAAATTTCAATTATTTTTAATTCAATTTCAATCTAATTCCTCGAAAAATTTAATTATTCTTAAAAATTTTATTAAAATTCGTTTCAGTTAAAATTTTAAATTACTATAATTAAATATTAAAAGCATTATAGCGTGAATTTTTGAAAAAGTTACAAATTTTAATCTTTGAAAATTCGTAATTTTTTATATTTTTAACAAACAATTCTGTGGAATTAATTTTTTTGAGAAAGTTTAATTGCAGATGTTTTTTAAAAATTATTTAAAGTTTTTATTTTCTAATATATATTTAATTGAAGAATTTACGAAAAATTGATATTTTTTAGAGCAATTCAATTATTTTCAATACAATTTTAATAAAATTTTTCGAAAGAATACAATTATTTTTAAAAATATTAATTATATTCTCTTATTTTCAAGAATTTTAATATAAATTTAATTACAATTCAATTGTTTTTATGAATTGTAAAATCCTCCGAAAGAATTCAATTATTTTCATAAGTAAGAAAATTCTACAAAGGAATTAAATTATTTTCAATACAATTTTAATAAAATTTTTCGAAAAAATAAAATTATTTTTAAAAATATTATTTAAATTTAATATATTTTTAAGAGTTTTAATAAAAATTCAACTATTTTCAATAATTCTGATAAAATTCTTTAAAACAATTCAATTATTTTTATAAATTGTAAAATTCTTGTCAAGAATTCAATTATTTTTGTAAATAATAAAATTCTTCTGAGAAATTCAATTCATTTCAATACAATTTTAATAAAATTTCTAGAAAAAAATTTAGTTATGTTTAAGATAATTTTAAGAAAATTTCACTAACAGGTTCAATTATCTTTTAAAATTGTAATCAAATTTTTCTAAACAATTCAATTGTTCTGAAAAGGTTTTAATAAAATTCTTTGTACATTGCGGATTTTTTTGAATTTATTTGAAGTTTTTATTTTCCAGGCCTCGGATCGACTTTAAGGCGCAAAAAAAAGTCGCTTTACTCGATTTAAAATAGAAAAAAAGTCGAAAAAGTCGTTTATTTAATTCAGTGTCGTCACAAAAATTTTATTTTTTATTTTTCTGATCTTTAACTGAAATTTAATAACTTCTAAAAATTACAACTTTAATTCTCTTAAAATTCAATTATTTTCTACAACTTTTAATCAAACTTCTTCTCGAAATCAATTATTTTTAATAATTTTCCGAAAGTTCTTAGAGAATTCAATTATTTAAATACAAAAATTCAGTTTTTTATAATAATTGTAACTGTCCATGTTTTTAAAATTATTAATTAATTTTCAAAAAATTATAATAAAGAAATACTTAAAATTAATTTTTCAAAAATTTTTTAAAAATAATTTATGAACGTTAATAGTTTCTTATTCATATGCAATCTAAAAATATCCAAACAATTGACATTTGGTAAATTCTTTAAAAAAAAAATAATTAAATTTTTAAAGAATTTTAATTATTAATATAAACGTGATTTCTCCAAAATTTTAATTAATCTAAAAAAAGTAAATTTTAAAAAATTTTAATTTACTTTCTTCGAAAAGAATTGAAGTTCTTAAAAGAATTTTTGTATAATTTAAAAAAAAAATTTTTCCAAGAATTTTGATTATAAATTTTGAACATGATTGTTATATGTAAAAATAATTGTACAAAATTTTAATTTTTTTTACATGTATTTGAATTTTTGAAAATTTATATTTGAAAATATTGAATTTTAAAAAATTAGAATACAAAAATTCTAAGAATTATTTTTTTCAAAAATATTTTAATATAATTTTCATTAATTACCATTTTTAAATTTACACTTGAAGATTTTTCATTAAAATTTTTGAGAAATCAATTATTTTCAAAATTTGCAATTCAAATTCTTCAAAAGTTGATTTTCAAAAATTGTTATAAAACACTTTGAAAAAAATAAATTATTTTCAATTAAATTTTACAAAATTTCAATTTTAATTGTAAATTTAGAAAATTTAATTAGAAAAATTATTAAATAATAAATTTCCAAGATTTGTCTATAAGTCTTATAGATGATTAATTGTTACACGACGGCCAAATAAACTTTTGTATTATATTTGAAAATTATCATAGAATGCGCAAAATCTTATATTGTTTAAAAAAAAAAAAATTTATACATATATTTATGCTTATATTGTTTATTCTTTTTAAGAGATATATGTATATTTATTAGGGTGTCCGTTATTTCCCAAGTTAGCTATTTTCATTTGGGTATCGTCAAAATCGTTTCTTTTTGACCTAAAAACAATTCTAGAAACTAGAAAAAATTTTTACGATGCCGTTTAACCCTGCCTAAATAACAATACTTTTCCTATTTAATTAACATGGGATTTTTGCACTTTTTAGAAAATAATTTTTATTTCGTTTATAATACTCTTTGACTAACCAACAATGCTTGATTTTGCTTCTATTATGATTCCTTTAGATAGAGAAATTTTCATATTATCGCGATAAATTTATTCCACAAGTTTTAAAAAGGTCAATTTCATTTTTATTGATTTTTCTGATTATTTTGCTAAATCTACTTATTAATTAATTTTTATTCGGTATTTCATTGAAAGTTTCTTGTTTTATGCATCCAATTGGACCATAACAATAATTTCAATTCATAAACTATCCAAGAATCACACAGTAGGCTAAATCCATTTCAAATCAGGCATGTCGACTAACTTCATGTTATAGAAAAAAAATTGTTTTGCTTGTCAATTTTTTTCCCTTGAGTATAATTTAATTTTCCTTCTTGGGTCTTATATAGATGGTCTTGTCCTCTTCACAATTCAGTTTGAAATTTGAAAAAATATTTAAAATTATAAAAATAGGGGATGATTTTCTGAAAATATATAAGATCAATTTTCTCAAAAACACCACCTCTTTTTGTTATCAAATTTTTACTACAAATTCTTAAAATAATTATGAACATTTCCTATGAATTTCAAGCGGGCTAAACCATTCTGGCAATTAAAAGAATTTTTTTTTTGGAAAATTAATCAGAAAAATCAATAAAAATGAAATTGACCTTTTTAAAACTTGTGGAATAAATTTATCGCGATAATATGAAAATTTCTCTATCTAAAGGAATCATAATAGAAGCAAAATCAAGCATTGTTGGTTAGTCAAAGAGTATTATAAACGAAATAAAAATTATTTTCTAAAAAGTGCAAAAATCCCATGTTAATTAAATGGGAAAAGTATTGTTATTTAGGCAGGGTTAAACGGCATCGTAAAATTTTTTTCTAGTTTCTAGAATTGTTTTTAGGTCAAAAAGAAACGATTTTGACGATACCCAAATGAAAATAGCTAACTTGGGAAATAACGGACACCCTAATATTTATGTATGGTTTTCACGATAAGATTGTACGACTTCTCGTTACCCATTTATGATCCACTTTGGATCGCGGGATCTCATGTTGTAAATAAATAAATAAATAAGTAGTTATTTTTCACACTATACACAAAAATCGTAATTTTTGAAAATAAGTCGAATAAAGTCGCATTCTTTGAAAATAGTCGAAAAAAGTAGAAAAAGTTATAACATCCGAGGCCTGATTTTCTAATATATGTGACGCTCCACGAGAAAAGGGACCTTATGACAAGAGTAAATAAGGTCGGTCCCTTTTCTCGTGGAGCGTCACATATATTCAATATTAAAGAATTTTGTAAAATTGAATTGTAAACAAATAAATTTGAAAATTCTTAAAAAACTTTTTCAAAAATTATTAAAAATAATGAATTTATAGAAGAATAATTTTAGTTAAAAACACGAAAAAAAGATTTAATTTTGGAAAAGTTACCAATTATTGCAGAAATTCAATAATTATTTTCAAGAATAATAACATTCTTCGCAAAAATGAAATATTGTTCGAAAATAATAAATTTCTTTTTAGGGATTTAATTATTTTCACAAATAATAAAAAAATTTATTTATTTATTTATTTATAAAATTCTTTATGGGAATTGAATTTTAAGAAACATTCAATTATTCAATAAATTATTTATTTTTCTCTTTTAATAATTAAATTCTAGTAAAATTTTCTAATAAAAAATAAAATTTAAAAACGAATTACAGTTAAAATTTTAGATAATAATTGAATATTAAAAGCAATATAGCGTAAATTTTTAGAAATAATTGGATTTTTGAAATTAATTTTTTTTTGAAAAAGTTTAATTTAATTTTTTATTTTCTAATATATATTTAATTGGAGAATTTACGAATAATTGAAATTTCGTAAAATTGAATTCTAAACAAATGGATTTGAAAATTGTCAAAGAACTGTTTCGAAAATTATTAAAAATAATCGATTTAAAGAAGAATTTTAGTTGAAAATTCTTGGTTGAAAATTCTTGAAAATAATTTTATCACTCAGTCATCTTTAATTATTATAAAACATGAAGAAAGTGATAACTCCGAGTCTTCGACTTGGAGTTATCGATATCTTCATGTTTTATAGTTATGAAAAATTTAATTTATAGTTTTAAGTAAAATATTCTCTTATTTTACTCGGAATGTTATATTTTTGTGAATAATTGGTGCATAATTTTTAATTTTTGGTCCGTAAAGTCCGTATTTTTAAATACTTTCACTGGTTCGAGCCCTGAAAGCTTTTAAAATTCTATACAGAATTTATTTCTAATAAACTTATTTGTTTATTTTTTTGCAATTGATAAGGACCTGTGATCACTAGGTACGCTGACTTTATGCTCCATTTCATAACCCGGCTGTTGAAGATTAAGTGCATATATATCTAAACTCGCTGAAGTATTGAAACTTGCATCCAGCTGTTGTGCAGCCGTTCCTGCAGCCAATAAAATCGGATGTTGAGCTTGCGGGGACCATGCCACATTCACATTCTTCAATAATTCTTTCACCTTCATCTTGAAATCTGATAAAAATAAACATGACATTTTCATCATTTATAAAAAAAAGCAAAAAAAGCGATTTTTAAAAACCTTTTTAAAAATTAACAATTCTTATTTTGCATTCAAATTACATTGAACTTAAAATATTTAACCCCATCGACCTAATTTTCTTAATTAGATTTAAAAAAAACTCCAAGAAGAATTAGGGTATTTAAAATTTTTTAAATATAATACTTCCATTGACACGTCAAATGCTTTATGGAAATATAACCTCTTTTAATCAAGACAAATATTTCATAATTAATTATTCTAAACTAGGACTGATTGTTAAATTTTTCTTTACGCCGTTTTAATAATTAAAATTAATTTAATAATAAATCTTTCGCAGGAATAAAAAATCATTAATTAAAATATGTTTTTATTGTATGTATATGTGCTGTCATTAAAAATTGCGATATTCTAGGTTAATTCTTGAAATGAGAAAAATTTCTTAAGAAATGAAATATATATATAAATATATTACCCTTGTGTTTGTATTCAACAATAAATAATAAAAATTTTTATAACAAATTTCACAAAAACTTCACAATCAAAGCCATCCGTCAAGTCTTCCAACGTGGCGAACTAGTGGAAATGACCAGAAATGACCTGTGTTGTCATCTTTCGGAAATCTATGAAACTTAAGCATAATTTGAAGGTATTTTCTTCTTTTTCTTCTTTTTAATAATTCAAGCCTATTTTTATCTCGATTTTTATTATCAAATTTGTTATTATTACTAAATATATTTAAATAACATATTTGTGTCGAAATTACATGACGTCACACTCGGTCGGTTATTAAATTGAGAGGGAAATTTAAACACTCTTATCAATTTTCTGAATTCTCATTTTCAATTATTATAACCACTAGCAAAATGTTACGCACGCTAGCGCTCCGAATTTAATGTTCAATTTTTTATTATTATTATTATGCAAATTACAAAAATTTTTTATTTTCAAAAATAAATTTTTGAACAATTTTATAATCAATATTTAAAAAATTCACTACTTATCAAGTACATAATTAATTATTATTGTTTATATTTACAAAAATTTTAATATAATTCTTTGCAAGAATTCAATTATTTTCATATAAATAATAACATTCTTCGGAAGAATTCAATTATTTTTCTAAATATACAGTAAAATTCTTTGCAAAAATTCAATTAGTTTTAATACAATTTTATGGAAAAATTCAATTATTTCTTTTTAATAATTGTAATATTTTTCTAAAAAATTCAATTATTTTCTGAAATTTCAATAAATCCTTTGAAAAAATTCAATTTTTTCTAAATTTTTAATAAAATTATTCGAAAGAATTCAATTATTTTAAAAAATTTTAATAATTCCTTTGAAACAATTCAATTATTTTTACAAAACATCAAAATTCTTTGCAAAAATTCAATTATTTTTAATACAATTTTAATAAAATTTTATGGAAAAATTCAAATATTTCTTTTTAATATTTTAATATTTTTCTTCAAAATTCAATTATTTCCTAAAATTTCAATAAATCTTTGGAAAAAATATAATTTTTTAAAAATTTTTAATAAAATTATTTGAAAGAATTCAATTATTTTAAAAAAATTTAATAATTCCTTCGAAACAATTCAATTATTTTTACAAAAAACATCATAATTCTTTGCAAAAATTTAAATATTTTTAATACAATTTTATGGAAAAATTCAATTATTTCTTTTTAATATTTTAATTTATTTTTCTAAAAAATTCAATTATTTTCTAAAATTTCAAAAAATGCTTTGAAAAATTTCAATTTTTTCTAAACTATTAATGAAATTATTCGAAAGAATTCAATTATTTTAAAATATTTCAATAATTCCTTCGAAATTATAATAAAATAAAAAAAAAATAAATAAATAATATATTTAATTTTAATTATTAACAGGCACGAGTATTTTAAAAATTTGAAAAAAATTCATTGTTTAATTCAATTATTTTTAAAATTTTCAATTAAAATTATTCAAAAAACTACATTATTTTGAAAAAATCTTAAAGAAATTCTTCAAAAGAATTTGATTATTTACGAAAACTCTAATAAAATTGTTTAAGAGAGTTTAATTTTCTATCAATAATTTCAATGAAATTTTAATAGTAGATACAATTTTTATTAACAAATCGATTATATTTAATAAATTAAAGAAATTATTTGAAAGAATTCAATTATTATGTCAAAACCTTTAATAGTGTGTATTCTTCGAAAGAATTAAATTATTTTAGAAAATTATAATAAAATTCTGAGAAAAATTTATTTATTTTCTAAAAACTTTTAAAAAATTCAAATAATTATATGTGTTTAATTTCAATTATTAAGAAACACAATTATTTTAAAAACTTGAAAGAAATTGTTCATAAAATTCCATTCCATATGAAATATTTCCATAAAATTCTCTAAAACAATTCAATTATTTTCTAAAATTTTAATAATTTCTTCGAAACATTCCAATTATTTTTATAAATAGTAAAATTCTTCGCAATAATTCAATTATTTTTGTAAATAGTAAAATCCTTTGCAGAAATTCAATTTTGTTCAAAACAATTTTAATAGAATTCCTAGAAAGAATTTAATAATTATTTTCAAATATTTACATAAAATTCATTTATTTCCTAAAATTTTAATAAATTCTTCGGACCAATTTAATTATTTTTACAAATAGTAAAATTCTTGTCAAGAATTAAATTATTTTTATACATATTAAAATTCTTCTCAGGAATTCAATTATTTTCAATATAATTTAAATAAAATTCTTCTTCATAAAATTCAATTGATTTCAAAAAGCAAAATTTTTTAAAGTTAGGAAACAAAAAAGCAAACAACTAATTTCGAAATGCGAACAAATTACCGGAATACAACGATTATTAATATAGAAGAAGAAGATAAAGATAATAATAATAATAATAAAAGATTATTTAAAAAAAATATTATATTCACATACCTAAATAATGATTTTATCCTTCAATTGTCAAATAATAAAATATTGAAGTCAACGATCACATTATTGAAATATTATAATTAGATACTATCAATAAATAATAAATAAAACATATTTTCTGATTTCTGAATAATTCATAATGAAAAATAAAGTAAAAGACTCGATGTACTTTTATGATAAGTATATTATAATACACGTACAAGTTTGACATATTTCATTGTACATTAAATACGATTGAATAATAACACATCAAACACGCTAGATCATTTTTTTCATTCTCATTTACACTATGTGTCTGTATTTTTTTGTGTTCTGTTTTAATGAAAATGAAATCGGTTTTTGCTTACCATTAAAAGTAATTTCCTAATTTCTAAATAACAAATAATTAAAAATTTTTCTTTTTTGTAAAAAATAAAATATGTCAGTTATTTATGTACTATGTATGTACAAAATTTTAAACGAAGTAATAAATTAAAAAACTACTTAACATAAATTACTACCTTTTTTTTCTTCGATGGGTGACAAAAAAAAATTTTGTTTTAATACTCAATTAGACTAAACGATTTTTCAAGGGAACAATACCTATAGAATTTATAAGTATTTTGTCATTTGTGCAAAAACAAATTTTACATATAATGAAAAAAATGATATTTTATTGTAATAAATATGATGTTTAAAAACAATAAAAATGCGAATAAGAGAATTTTGTGCAATGGCCAGAATCTTCACTACAACTATTTTATAAAATACGTTTATCGATTTTGTTCTAAGATATAATTGCAATATAACAGGAATTTTTTTTTCGTTAATAACAGTTACTGTAATTTTAATTTAATTTCTTTTAAAAATCATTATCTAGTGAAACAAATAGATATATATGCAACAATTGATTTTTATGTGAAAGTAATAATTTTTTAAAAATTACAATTACTTTGGATAATATTGGACGTCAACTGAATGAAATTAGTAATGAAGAGAAAAAGGATTCTCCCAAAAAGCAAAGAAGGAAAATAAAAGAGATGACTGTCAGAGATGATTAAAAACTGTGTACCTAGATTGTTAATATCTTACTACAATTTCTTTTTTATCCTCTTTATAATTTGTTTTAAATTGCGAGGTTATATTTTGGGATCTCTTAAAAGTATAATGTTTAAGTTTTGAAATTTAAATAACAACATTCATAGAAACATAGATGCATCGCCCACTATTTTTTTTAGTGCGTCTAAACTGAAATTTTTGAGCATTTACAAACATTTTCAGTTTATCGTGCTCATTTTTTCTTGAAAAAACTTGTAATACTTTTAGAACCCGCTGCCGCTTTCTGTCGTGCCAATTCTTTTTTCGATGGCGGCGGAGTCTTCAGAGGCTGCAAACAAAATAATAAATACATCAATAAGGAGATTTTTTCATCGATAAATAATTTTTAATAAAAAAAAATTCTTTTTACTCAACTTTCTCATTATTACGATTAAAAGTTTAAGTAATTAACATAATTATATTTAAATGAAAATGAAAATAATTTTACTTTTTCGGGCTTTGTCAAATCAAGCGCTGCTCCATTTCGTGGAAGGCTTTCAGATTCTTGTGTATCTTTTTTGTGTCGTTTCTCCTCAACTGGATCTTTTGGACTCGCCAACTTTCGCTTCTTTTGCTCCACATCGTCTGGCAAATTGAGATGCTGCGCTAATTTTTTAGAGAGATCCTCAGCAAGATATTCCGATACAATACCGTGTGCGTATTTCAAGTATTCTTCAAATGAAAATAAAATAATTAGTTCTATTATTTAATTCATAATTTAAATAATATTTTCTTTAATTCACTACTTTTCTTTTGCTCGTTTACAATTCTAAAATCAATAAATTGATTAAACTCAAGCATAAAGTTTTTGTCTCTATAAATAACACTTTCCGGCACGGATATTTTGCCTCTTGAATAATTCTAGTCACTTTCGTTAGATTTTGTCACACTAATTACGAATCTGAAAAGAAAAATGCTCTATCGCGTCAAGAATTTGAAAAATGTTTAAAAATAATATCATCTTTGATTATGAATAAAAAAAATGGAAGGGCTAAAATCTTGTTCTTCAAATAAAAGTTTAAATCATCAACAAATTTTTAAAAAAGAATTTGAAGGCATTACCATAAAGCAATTAAACATATTTTTTTTTATTTTTTTACTTTTATTTTTATTTTATTTACTTATTTGTCTAAGATTTGATTACGACCTCATAATTTGTAATATATTTGTGTACTATACATATGTATCGATTGAAACTAAGATGTTGCTTTTAAAATTTTGTTAATAGTATCTATTTTCAAAATATTTATTTTTACGAGTATATAAGATTAATAAAAATAGTTAATAACAAAGTAAATAAATAAGTAATCTGAAAAACATATAAAAAGTTTTTAAATTTAATTCAGGGCTCGAACCAGCGACATTAAAATTATTCGTAAATTCTTCAATTAAATACCTATATATTAGAAAATAAAAACTTAAAATAATATTTAAAAAATTCGATTAAACTTTTGCAAAAAAATTAATTTCAAAATTCAATTATTTCTAAAAATTAGACAATTCTACTAGAATTCAATTATTTAAATACAAAAATAAATAATTTATTGGATAATTGAATGTTTCTTAAAATTCAATTTTCATAAAGAATTTTATCAACAAATTTTATAAATTAAACTTTCTCAAAAAAAATTAATCCCACAGAATTGTTAGTTAAAAATAAAAAAATTCAGATTTTCATAGATTTTAATTTAAAACATTTTCAAACATTTACGCAACAATGCCTTTAATATTGAAGTATAATTTAAAATTTTAACTGAAATACATTTTTAAATTAGTTTTTATTAGAAAATTCTACTAGAATTTAATTATTTAATTGAAAAAAACCATTTTTGGAATAATTGAATGTTTCTTAAAATTGAATTCTTATAAAGAATTTTATTAATAAATTTTTAAATAATTGAATTCTTTTGACGAATATTAATAAAATTTTTAAAAATAATTACACTTTTCGAGAAATTTGATTAAAATTGTATTAAAAATAATTGAACTTCTGCGATAAGTTTTATTATTTGTGAAAATAATTAAATCGCTATGAAGAAATTTATTATGTTCGAACAATATTGAATTTTTGCGGAAAATATTATATAACTCTTGAAAATAATTGAATTTCTGCAATAATTTGTAAATTTTCCAAAATTAAAATTTTCTTTCGTGTTTTTAACTAAAATTCTTCTATAAATGCATTATTTTTAATAATATTTGAAAAAGTTCTTTAAGAATTGTCAAATTCATTTGTTTACAATTCAATTTTACAAAATTTCAATTATTCGTAAATTCTTCAATATTAAATATATATATTAGAAAATAAAAACTTCAAATAATTTCAAAAAAATCGGCAATTAAACTTTTTCAAAAAAAATTAATTCCACAGAAATATTAGTTAAAAATATGAAAAATTCAAATTTTCAAAGATTTTAATTTGTAACCTTTTCAAAATTCAATTTTTTTTTAAAATTCACTCTATAATGCTTTTAATATTCAATTATTATATAAAATTTTAACTAAAATTCATATTTAAATTAAATTTTCTTAGAAAACTCTGCGAGAATTAAGTTATAAAAAAATAAATTAATAAATAATTTATTGGATAATTGGATGTTTCTGAAAATTGAATTCCAGTAAAGAATTTTATTAATAAATTTTTAAATAATTGAATTCTTTTGACGAATTTTAATAAACTAAGTAAGAATTATTACATTTTTCGAGGAATTCGATTAAAATTTTATTAAAAATAATTGAAATTCTGCAATGTGTTTTATTATTTATGAAAATAATTGAATTCCTAAAAAGAATTTTATTATTTTTGAACATAATTAAATTTCTGCGATGGATTTTATTACTCTTGAAAACTATTGAATTTTTGCAATAATTTGTAACTTATCCAAAATTAAATTATTTTAAAAATCTGTTTAACTAACATTTTTCTATAAATCTATTATTTTTAATAATTTTTTAAAAAGTTGTTTGAGAATTTTCAAACTTATTTGTTTTTAACTTAAATTCATTTTTAAAAAATTGTTATTAAGTAGAAAATTCTACTAGAATTTAATTATTTAAATGCAAAAATAAATAATTTATTGAATAATTGAATTTTTTATGACTTATTACATTTTTCGAGGAATTCGATTAAAATTTTATTGAAAATAATTGAAATTCTGCAATGAATTTTATTATTTATGAAAATAATTGAGTTCCTGAAAAGAATTTTATTATGATGAACGAAAATAATTGAATGCCTGTAAAAATTTTATTATTTTTATGAAAATAATTGAATTATTTCGAAGAAATTTATAAAAAATTTCTAAATAATTGAATTCCTGTGAAATTTTCATTAGTTTATAAAAATAATTAAATGTTTGCTTAGAGTTTTATTAAATTTTTTTTTAATAATTGAATTGTTTTGGAAAATTATATTAAAATAGTGGATATTGAATATCATTGAATTCAAGAAAATTTTTGAAAATAATTGAAATTTTGCCCAGAATTTTATTCAATTTTTTGAAAATAATTGAATTTTTGAGAAGAATTTAATTATTTCTAAAGATAATTGAAATTTTGACGAGAATTTGAAAAATTTTTTTATCATAATTGAATTTCTGCGAAGAGTTTTAAAAAAATTGTTTATGATTCAAACTTTCATTTGAACTCAAGAACAAGATTCTAGCACCTACTATTTTTTTTATTCCTAATCAAAGTTGGTAAAAAGCATGGTGTTTAAAATTTTTGAAACTAAGTTTCTAAAAACTTGATGATGTGCTATAACATTTTTTTTTGCAGACTCGTAATTAATTTTGATAAAATCTATCGAAATTGACTAGAATTATTCAAGAGGAAGAAACAAAATTATAATATGTAATTAATTATAAATATTTTTAAAAGTGTTAATAAAATTACCAGCGACAGTTCCACTCTCGTGTTTACTGCTCTTGACAAAATTTGCACTCACTGCACCCTGCGAAACGTGAATGCCCTTCTGTTTCAGAATTTCCGCTACCCTATCGACTTTTTTCTGCAACCACTCCATTGTCTTCTCTTCGTTAAATTTATAAGCTAATAACGACTCGTCACCCTTTCGGTCTGCGACCAAGGTAAGTTTCAAATTGTGACATCGCGCTAAACGAGAAGTTTCTGGATAGTCTTCGTCTCGTAAAATTTGATCTAACGGCATTACCTGCTGCGACTGAAAAAAAATTCTAATTTACAATTTATAAAATTAAAATAGTAATTTCGATTGATTCTCTTACAAATTTAAAAAAAACTATCTTCAACAATGTGAATTAAGATAATTAAGCTTAGGAAGAAAATAAATAATTTAAATATTTGTTTCTTAAAATTCTCAATACTTTCATGATAATAGAATATAAATTAATCAGGCCTCGGATCGACTATAAGACACAAAAAAAGTCGCTTTAGTCGATTAAAGATACAAAAAATGTCGTTTATTTAATTTAGTGTTGTAACAAAAATTTTATCTTGTAACTGTAATTATTGTCCATGTTTTTTTTTAAAGTTATTCATAGATATATTTTTAAAAAATTATAATTTATCATAAAGAAACTCTTAAAATTAATTTTTGAAAAATATTTTTAAATAACTAAACATTTTTTTCATTTATATATACAATTAAAAAATTTCTAAACAATTGAATTTGGGTAAAATCTTTTAAAAATAATTGAAATTTGATAAAATCTTTTTAAAACAATTAAATATTAATATTTGGTAAAATCTTTTAAAAATAATTGAAATTTGATAAAATCTTTTAAAAATAATTGAATTTTTGAAAAATATAAAAAAAATAATCAAATTCTTGCAGAATTTTAATTATAAATATGACCATAATTTCTCCGAAATTTTAATAAGTCTGAAAAATTAAATTTTAAAAAATTTTATTCACTTTGTTCGACGATAATTAACTCTTAAAAAATTATGATAAAACAATTCTAAGAATTAGATTTGAAAAATATGTAATTTTTGTGAAAATAATTGTATTTCTTAAAAGAATTTTTGGATAATTTAAAAAAAGTAATTATTTTTTTTAATGAATTTTAATTAAAAATTTTGAACATGATTTTTTTCTCCAAAATGTTGAAAATAATTCTGAAATGTTATAATTTTTTGTATATATTGGAATTTTCGGAAATATGTAATTGAAAATTCGGAAAATATTGAATGTTTTAAAAAGTTAGAAGCTTATTTTCATTATTTTTTATTTTTCAATTTATATTTTAAAGATTTTTCATTTCCATTTTTGATAATTCAATTATTTTCAAAATTTGCAATTAAAACTCTTCAAAAGTTGATTTTCAAAAATTGTAAGAAAATACTTGGAAAAAAAACTATTTTCAATTAAATTTTACAAAATTTCAATTATTCAAAAAGATTTTTATTATAGATATATTTGAATAATTTAATTATCTTAAAAAATGATTCAAAAATAGTTTCTGAAAGATTTTATAGTTATTTTTCGCATTATAAAAATCGAAATAAGTTGCATTTTTGTTTACTAAAAGTTGTGGTATTTTGTTGCAATATTTGTAAGAAAAGTCGAAGAAGTCGCGCAATGTTTGAAAATATGTAGAAAAAAGTCTCCATTTTTTTAATTTCCCTGAAAAAAAAATTTGTTTTCCTGACATTTCCCTGACTTAACTGACATGTGGCCACCCTGATTATGATAAAAGAATTCTAAGAATTATTTTTTAAAAAATATTTTAATGTAATTTTTTGAAAATAATTGAATTTCCTAAAAGAATTTTTGTATAAAAAACTAAAGTATTTTTTTTAAGAATTTTAATTAAAAATTTTCACAATGATTTTTTTTCCCAAAATGTTCAAAATAATTCTGAAAAATGTTAATGTTTGTATTACTTTTTGTACTTATGTATTTGAATTTACAGAATTATGTTTTTGAAAATATTGAAAATAATTATTGAATGTTAAAAATTTATAATAAAAAAAATTCTAAGAATTACTTTTTCAAAAAAAATTTTAGTATAATTTTTTAGAAGCTAGTTTTCATAAATTTATACTTGATGATTTTTCATTAAATTCAATTATTTTCATAAAATTTTCAATTAAATTTCTTCAAAAGTTGATTTTCAAAAATTGTAATAATAATACTTGAAAAAAATCAATTATTTTCTATTAAATTTTACAAAATTTCAATTATTACAAATCTTTTTAATTGTATATTTCGAAAATTTAATTAGAAAATTTATTCATAAATAATTTTTGAAAGATTTGTCTATATTTATTTTTTTGCATTAGAAAAATCGAAATAATTTTCAATTTATACTAAAAATGTGGTATTTTGTTGCAATATTTGGAAGAAAAGTCTAAAAAGTCGCAATTTTTGAAAATAGTTCGAAAAAAGTTGCATTTCTGGAAAATAGTCGGAAAAAGTCGAAAAAGTGATAATATCCGAGGCTGGCTGATTAATTATAAATAAAAATAAATTTTTTAAATATTTTTCTAAAAATTTATTTTAAGTAATTAGAAATATTTTGTTGTTAAAAAAATAATGTATATATTTTAGAAATCACACCTTTCTTAAGTATGGAAGAACGAGAAAGATTGGATCTATAGGTGTTGATAAATGCATTTTTCCATCTGATTTAACGTGTTCGTCTATAAACCACGATCTTTTGTTTTCATCGAAAGTTATCACTTCCTGAATTGTAGTATCGCCAGGACCAAATACAAACATTGCTGGTTGATTTGATGATGGATGTCTCAATTTAACCATATCAGGTTGCTTTCCATCCGTATTTTCCATGCCATCTGTGAAAATTCATTTATTTATTTAATTCCATTGATTAATAAAAATATAGACATTATTTCTTACTCCCAAAACCTATCAGAACCACAGTTTTCTATAAATTTCAATTTTCAATGAATTTCATTAGAAATTTGAAAGATTACTTAGGTTTTTAAAAATTTTGATAATTCAAATTCTTCTGAAATTTATTAAATTTTTTAATATATATTTAATTAATTATTAAAAATAGTGGATTTATAGACGAATTTTACTCAAAAAAAAATTTTTTAAATTGAATTTTGGAAAAATGATAAATTATTGCAAAAATTCAATTATTTTCAAAAGTAATCAAATTCTTTTTCAAAATTCAATTATTTTTTAAATTTTTAATAAAATTCTAGCCAAAATTAAATTTTTTAAAAAAATTTTTGGCAAAATTTCAATTATTTTCAAAAATTTTCCTCAATTTCATAAGAATTCTATTATTTACAAATTTTTTATAAATTTCTTCGCAATAACTTAATTATTTTTAATAAATAATAAAATTTTTTACAGGGATTGAATTATTTTCATAAATAATAAAATTCTTTTTAGGAATTCAATTATTTTCATAAATAAAACTCATCTCAGAATTTCAATTATTTTTAATACAATTATAGTCAAATTCCTCGAAAAATGTAAACTTAACAATTTTATTAAAAATCGTCTAAAGAAATTAACAATATAAAAAAGTTTTCATAAAATTCTTTATGAGAATTCAATTTTAAGAAACATTTAATTATTCAATAAATTATTAATTTTTGCATTTAAAGAATTGAATTCTCGTAGAATTTTCTAATAAAAATTGATTTCAAAATGAATTTCAGTTAAAATTTAAAATTTGAATATTTATTATTCAAATTATTCAAATATTCAAATAATATTTGAATATTAAAAGCATTAGAGCATAAATTTTAAGAAATAATTGAATTTTTAAAAGGTTTCAAATAAAATTCTTTGAAAATTTTAATTTTTCATTTACTTATAATCAACAATTCTGTACAATTAATTATTTTGAAAAAGTTTAATTGAATTCTTTTTAGAAATTATTTGAAGTGTTTATTTTTTAATACGTATTCAATTGAAGAATTTCTGACTAATTGAAATTTCGTAAAAGTAATTTGTAAACAAATGGATTTGAAAATTCTCAAAGAAATTTTTTCAAAAATTATTAAAGATAATTGATTTAAAGAAGAATTTCATTTTGAAATTCTAGAAAATAATAATTGAATTAAAAATGATGAAAATAATTTTGAAAAAATTACAGTAAAAATATTATTCCTATTTTATAAAATAATGATCTTATCACTCGCTTATCTTTAATTTCTTCATTTTTTATAATAAATATTCTTATAAATTGTTAAATTTCAAAAAGGTTTGAATTTGAAATTTTTGAAAATCTTGATTCCTGTGAAAAAATAATAATGATTAAATATTTATTTAGAAAAGAAGTTATTGATGTTTTCGAATAATTTTACAATCGTTTTTAACAAATAGAAAGTTTGTAAATATTTTTTCCAAAATAATTTTAAAATTTCTTAAACAAAATTTGATTTATATAACATTTTTTTTTACTTAAAACTTGTACTTTGTTTATGAATTATAATTGAGAAGCAGAAAATGTGAAAAAAAATTTTTCTACTTTCTAATTTTAATTTTCCAACAAGTTTTTAGTTTTTTTTTTTTTTTTTAGAAAAAAGGAAAAAATAGCTGCATTATTTCGATTTGTCAAACAATTAAGTTTTTTATATTAAAAAAAGGATAATACCTATTTTGCAGTATTTACATTTGCTAATTACCTGAAACGTTTGTTACAAAATGCTAATTTTTTTAGCAACAAAGAAATAATGAATAATAACATGAATCATATTTTTAGATTAATAAAAATATTTTTGAATTATTTGAAAAATAAAGATAATATTATTAAGATAAAAAGTAGTAAAATAAATAAAGAAAAATATTATCTATCAAAAAATATATAAAAAAAACAAAAGCATGCACAAAAGTCTAACTTCAAGAGTGAACAGAATGGACAGAATACGATTATTATAGTTAAAAAAAATAAATTAAATATACAAAATAAAGAGAAGCAAAGAAATTGCCTATTCGTAAAAAATAACAAAAACGAATATTCATTTGTTTTGATTGTTTTTTATTACGACATTTTCAATTATGTCGCATTTGGTAAATAAGACAAAAAATGATTTATTACAATTAATAATTAGAAATTGATTTAATTTCTTGTTTACATTACCTTTCATAAGAAAAACCCAAGTATTGGCTCCTGGATGAGAGTTCGCGGTCTTGACGCACTTTTTCGGAGACGCTTTAACGCGCGGCATCTTCACAAGAATATGTTTATTTTTTTTCTCAACAATAAAATTCACTTTGGCAAAAAAAGTAATTTAAGATTTTCTGCGTCTAAAAAAATATCACCACGAAAATTTTGTCTAATAAGGAACAAAATAATCAACTAGTCAGCCATTTTTTGGCAACAAGAACCGGGCGGATGTTATATATCAGGCGTCTATTTTATATGACAAAAGCAAAAAATTTTAAATAAATATCTAACCGGCATCACATTTTCCCCCGGAGACACTTGTAAAAGTTCGATAAAAATGCGTCATCAGCCAATATTGCACTTTACATAAAAATTTTTGTCAATAGAAAATAAAGAATCTTCGTTGACCGAGAATATTAATATTATTTTCTTATAAGATTTCTGAATATCGAGCTCTGGCGTAAAAGATTGTAACTAGATAATTTTTTTTTCCTTTGAAAATTGCTTCAATAAATGAAAGCGTATAGCGCAAGTCAAGATAGAAAATATTTCATATTCTTTATTATATATAGATAGATAGATAACTTGAGTCTTGATTTTAAAAATTCATCAATGAGTCAATGACTCAATAATCAAAGAATACGAATCTTTATTGTATTTTTGTTTTTTATTTATAAAAATTAGACTTTGGAAATATTATGTACTTTTTTAAATGTTTCTAAAAAGCATAATAAAAAAGTGTAAAGAAAAAATAAAGGAAATTTAAGAAATAAACAAACTTTCTTTATTAAATTTTTCGAAAACTATTAAATTCTTTTATTTTTTCCCCCTGGTTCTTGAATTTCTTTTCACACTCCTGGAAAACACAAGCGCACAAGAAAAACTAACAAGTGTCAGCTAGACGAACTACTTGGCTGTTTTAATCGAACGATTTGTGATTGTATTGAAAAAGTAAATCAAGAATTCTAGAGTTCAACAAATTTTCCGAATGACGTAGAAAAAATAAAGTTGACTTAAAAGGATTATTTTTTATGAGAAACAATTTTTTTTCGCATAAGGTAAATTTTATTTATTTTTCACTTTCTTTTTATTATAACCTATATTTTTCATGAAACTGTCAATATTATTGACAATTGTCTTCTTTTTTTCTACACGTATATATATATATATGCACATGCAAAAATGTGAGGAATTTTTTGTATTTTTATTTTATTTATTTCATTAATTCTTTTTTGTGCATATTCCATAAATTTATTTATAAATTCATTACGTAACTTTTATTATACATTTTACACAAATTTTTTTTTCTATGAAACCTGATTTATCTATGATAGTAATTTTTTATCCAATATACGGATAAGATTATACAAGAAACATTATTCCAGAGTGCAGATTATTGGTGTCGCATTAAAATAATAAACATTGATTCTATTTCATTAGAAACATCGTTTTATAAAATAATTGTCGGAGAATATTTTTTATACAAAAAAAAGCACAGTGAAGTAAGTATTAATTTATTATTTATTGAAAAATAATTTTAAATTTGAGTTTAATGTAAATATAAAATGTGAAAGAAATGTTTGATTGTTTAATTAGAATTGATTTTTTGGAAATATAGTGCAGTATTTAAAAAGTAAAACAAAGTTGCAGATATGTTCCAATGGACATACGAAGGTGTAAACAGTTCAATACCACGCAATCAAGGGCCAGAATGCGCTTATTATTTAAGTACGAAACGAAAAATAATTGAAACATTTTTTGTATCGTTATTTATATTATTTTGCCTATCGTGGGGCTTGAAACGAATGAAATTGCCAAAACGTGTACCTTATGTTAATCAAGATAGAACTGGTAAACATGTTTTATTGGTTTTAATGTCCCTTGTATTGGGAATGGAAATAGGATTTAAATTGACTAGTCGAACATTTATTTATTTTATGAATCCTTGTCATATGCACACATTAGTTCAGGTAAGAGAAACATTTACTTCTTTCTTTTAAATTCTAATTTTTTTTTGTATTTTCTTTTTACATATATTACAGACTTCGCACTCGATAATTAATTTAAAAAAAAGTAGCAAAAAGTAGAATTCAAACTAAACAAAGTAGTAAAAAAAGTAACTATCGAAAAATTAAACTTGACAAAAAAAAACTCGTTTTAGACACTTCACAAAACTGATAAAAATTCCATTCTATATTTTGTTTTCCTGACTTTTTCCTAATTTTCATCAAAAATATTTACTTTTTTCTTATCCTGTCAATAAATTGAATTCCTGCAACGAATTCTATTATTCATGAAAGAATTTAAATACATATTTATATAATTTAATTCTGGCGAAGAATTTTATAAAAATTTTGAAATAATTCATATCTTTCGAATAAATTTAAGCAAATTCTAATTTAAATAATTGAATTCCTATAAAAAATTTTTATTATTCATGAAAAGAATTGAATTCTTACAAAAGATTTTTACAACAAATTTTTTAAATAATTGCATTCTGTTTGAAAATTTTATAAAAATAGTAAATATTTAAAATCATTGAATTGCGAAAAGTTTTTAAAAATAATTAAATTTTACAAAGAATTCTATTAAAAATTTGACAATAATTGAATGTCTATGATGGATTTTATTAAAATTTTTTAATAATTGAATTAAATAATTGAATAAAATAATAATTGAATAATAATAATAATTGAACTAGGTCCGTAAATTCCCTAAAGGCCCGTAAATTTGTCCGTAAAAGTCAGTTTTTTTGCAAAAAGGTACGTAAAGTCCGTAATTTGATTGAGAAAAGACGAAAAGTTCGTAAATTGTACGATATAATATGGAGAATTTTAGAGAAATTACAAATAATTGCAGAAATTCAATTATTTTCAAAAGTAATAAAATTCTTCACAGAAATTCAATTAGGTACAAAATTTTTTTTAAATTCTCGTAAAAATTTCAATTAGGTACCATTAGAAATAATTAAATTCTTTATAAAAATTCGATTTTTTTCTAAAATTTTAATAAAATTCTTTGTAAAATTTCAATTATTTTCAAAAATTCAATGATTTTCAATATCTACTATTGTATTAAAAATTTTCCAAAAGAATTCAATTTAAAAAAAAAAATTAATAAAATTCTTCGCAAACATTTAATTATTTTCATAAAATAATAAAAATTTCACAGGAATTAAATTATTTACATATTTTTTTATAAATTTCTTCGCAATTATTAAATTATTTTCAAAAAAACAGCTGCCAAGTTGTAAATTTTTATAATTTTGGTGTTCATTTCATGAACACTTTGCTTCCTCATACATAGAAATAATAATAATTGAAATATAAGAATTAATTTTTATAAAAGAGTTAAGAATCATTAAATCTTGAACCAAAAAATATGTTTTTATATATTCTATAAGATAGTTATAATAGTTTAATAATTACACATAAGTTAATAAACAAGAATGTTGAAAAAATGATATTTTCCAAAATTTTTTTTATCTTTCAAATACCAATAATTTGATAATTTCTGACCGAATCAGGTTCAAGAATATGTTAATCGAAGCGTTTTTTAATGCTCTACAAGTTGGTAATGATACTTTTAAAGTTACTTTTATATTTTTCAACAAAATTTTCAAAAAAGTGTTATTTTCGAAAAATTTAGATTTTTAAAACTTTAATATCTCTGGCTAATATAGACGAAAAATGTTCAATGAAGGCTTAAAAGATGCGTCTGAAAAAACTGTACAAAACTAAAGGAAAACATTTATTGGTGTCCTAACGTTTTTTTTTAAGTTATGGCCAAAAAACGTTTTTTTACAAAATGAAAAATGCCAAAAAAATATAGTTAAACTTTATGAATCGGGCTGAAAATACTCTCATTTTATGTCCCCCGGGGAGACCTACAATTAAAAAAAAAATTAAGGCCTTTAGCTGTTTCTCGTTCTGAGATATTGAGGCAAATGTAATGTTAGTACACACACACACACACCGGGACAATTTTTTAAAATCCGCTTTTTGGACTTCTGAGATCAAATTACATAAAAATGTTATTTTATTTATTTATAACATTTATACAGCCAATACCCATTCGTGCATAAAGTACTAAAAAAATTAGGTATAATGAAAAAAAGTTTATAAATATGTCAAAAAATCACAATCGAAAATTTTGCTAATACAACCCTTCCTCTATGAGGAAGCAATAGTAAAATTTTTACAGGAATTCAATTATTTTCGTAAATTTTAACTAACAATTCTGGAAAAGTTACAAATTATTGGGGACCATTCAAGTATTACGTAAGCATTTAAGGGGGAGGGGGGGTCTAGCTATTGCTTATTTCCATTAGAAAAAATGGCGCTAATGCATATAAAAAATCTTACATGGGGGAGGGGGGGGGTCTAAAAACCTGAAAAATATGCTTACGTAATACTTGAATGGCCCCTTGCAGAAATTCAATTATTTTCAAGAGTAATAACATTCTTCGCAAAAATTAAATATTTTTCGAAAATAATAAATTCCTTCTTAGGGATTCAATTATTTACACAAATAATAAAACTCATCGCAGAATTTCAATTATTTTTAATACAATTTTAATCAAATTTCTTAAAAAGTGTAATTCTTATTAAAAATTTCACTAAAATTCGTCTAAAGAATTCAATTATTTAAGAATCTGTTGATAAAATTCTTTATGAAAATTGAATTTTAAGAAACATTCAATTATTCAATAAATTATTAATTTTTGTATTTAAATAATTGAATTCTAGTAAAATTTTCTAGTAAAAATTGATTTAAAAATGAATTTCAGTTAAAATTTTAGATAATAATTGAATATTAAGAGCAATATTATTACTTGGTCATCTTTAATTATAAAACATAAAAAATTTAATTTATAGTTTTAAGTAAAATGTTCTCTTATTTGACTCGGACTAATTATATTTTTGTCAGTAATTGGTCCGTAAAGTCCGTATTTTTAAATACTTTTACTGGTTCGAGCCCTGGAATTTTTTTAAATAATTGGATTTCCAAGAAGAAATTTATTACTTTTAAAAATAATTAAATTCTTGTGATGAATATTGTTATTTATGAAAATAATTGAATTTTGCAAAGATTTTTATTAAAATGCCCAAAATAATTGAATTTTCGGGAATAATTTTGTTATTTATCAAAATAATTGAATTCTTGGGAAGAATTTTATTAAAATCTAATTTTGTATAAAAATTTTGTTAAATAATTGATTTTTTCGAAATTTTTTTGAAAATGCTATTCTAAATTAATTGAATTCCTGTGGAAATTTTATTATTTATGAAAATAATGGAATTTTGGATAAATTTTATATTTTTTTAAAAAATTGAATTCTTTTGCGAAATTTTATGAAAATACTAGATATATGGAAAATAATTGAATTTCGAATATTTTTTGAAGATAATTGAATCGTTTTAAAGAATTTAATTATAAATTTTGAGAATACATAGTTTTTTGATTTCCAGTATTAGCGAATTTAAAGTAGTGGAAAAAAGTAGTAAATAGTAGGTTTTATTTGGTAGATGAGTGCGAAGCCTGATATTACTGTTTATTTTTTATAAATTTATATTTAATATTTTCTTTCCGAGACGAAAAAGAGTTTTACTTAATAAAAATAAATTAAATTATATGTGAGAAATAAAATTATATATATTTTTAATATTATTACTTAAATTATGTTAGAAATAATTTTTACAGATATATTTATTAGCAGCACCACCAAGTCCAATGGTAACAGCTGTATTTAGGGTACAAATTTATTATCTCAATGGACCGTTATTAGCTTTCTTATTCCCAGAGACTGATTCCCGATATGTGAGTTTTTAAAAATTTATTATTATTACTACAGGCCTCGGATATTACATCTTTTTCGACTTTTTTTAAAGAATGCGACTTTCGACAAATCTTTCAAAAATTTTTGAATAATTTTTTAAGATAATTCAATTTTTAAAATATACCTATAACTAAAAGAATTTTTGAATAATTGAAATTTTGTAAAATTTAATTGAAAGAAAATAATTGAATACATATACAAAAAATAATATTAAAATTTTTTAGAATTATTTTTAACATTTTAGAGAAAACAATCATGTTTAAAATTTCTAATTACAATTTTCCAAAAAATGTAATCAAATAGACGACTTTTTCGACTCTTGTATTTTTAATCGGTTAAGAATCGGCGAAATTTATTAATTATTAATATTATTATTATTATTATTATTATTATTATTATTATTTATTTATTTATTATTATTATTTATTATTTATTAATTTATTTATTTATTATTTTTTATTTTTTACGCCTTAAAGTCGAATCGAGGCCTGTAACTATTATTATTTAAATTAATGATGTGTTTGACTCTTTTCTGTTAATATTATTATTGTAAAAATAATAATAGTAATTTTAAATACTTATTTTCTTAACAATCTTTTCTTTCAGATATTTGCTGATAAAGCGTGTTATTACATCCAACATGGATTAATGATTGTGATTCCTTATTATTTATTAAGGCTAGGAGGTAAATTTAATAATCAAAATTAAATAATTATTCAATTCACAAACATTTTTATTTTATTATTAAATTTAATTAAACTAAAAATTAATATATTTAAAAATTTTAAATATGAAACTAAAAAATTATAAAATATATTAACAAAGTTTAAATTCAAATATAATTTTGTTCAAATTTTAAATTAACTAATTATATATATTTAACATTTTTAAATATAAAGTAAAAAATTATAAAATAAATCACAAACATTAAAATATAATTTAATTGTTTGAATATAGCAAGAAGTTAAACATATATAAGTATATAATTATAATGAACTAAATTCATTTTAGTAGAAAGTAATGTAATAAAAATATTTTTAATTTTACTAGGTACATACAGTTTTCTAATTTTATTTCGATTTTAATTTTAGGAGTTTATAATGTTGAATCTCTCACTGACATGAGTTGGCCAATATTTAGTTATGGTCTGAATCTCGTTTATCACTTTTGGATTTTACAACCAGCTGCTCTGGTAATGTTTACTTATTTTGTTAATATTGTTATTAATATTTATTTAAAACTCGCAGAAGGAAAGCTTTTCTTTTATAAATGAATTTAATTATATAAATATTAAATTTATATTAATAATCGTTGTGTTCCGGTAATCTTTTCGCAGAAAAAAATTAAATTTCTGCGAAGGATTTTATTACTTTTGAAAACAATTGAATTTTTGCAATAATTTGTAACTTTTTCGAAATTAAATTTTTTTAAAAAATGTTTTTAACTAAAATTTTTCTATAAATCCATTATTTTTAATAATTTTTTAAAAAGTTTTTTGAGAATTTTCAAATTCATTTGTTTTTAACTTAAATTCATTTTTAAATAAATTTTTATTAAGTAGAAAATTCTACTAGAATACAATTATTTAAATATAAAAATAAATAATTTATTGAATAATTGAATTTTTTATCAATTATTATTACATTTTTCGAGGAATTCGATTAAAATTTTATTAAAAATAATTGAAATTCTCCAATGAGTTTTATTATTTATGAAAATAATTGAGTTTCCAAAAAAGATTTTATTATGTACAAAAATAATAGAATGCCTGTAAAAATTTTATTATTTATAAAAATAATTCAATTATTGCGAAGAAATTTATAAAAAATTTCTAAATTGAATTCCTGTGAAATTTTCATTAGTTTATGAAAATAATTAAATGTTTGCGTAGAATTTTATTAAATTTTTTTTAAATAATTGAATTCTTTTGGAAAATTTTATTAAAATAGTAGATATTAAAAATCATTGAATTGAGGAAAACTTTGAAAATAATTGAATTTTTACAAAGAATTTTATTGAAATTTTTGAAAATAATTAAATTGTGGAGAAGAATTTTATTATTTATAAAGATAATTGAAAATTTGATGAGAATTTTTTAACATTTTTTATCATAATTGCATTTTTGCGAAGAATTTTATTACTTTTGAAAATAATTGAATTTTTGCAATCATTTGTAATTTCTCTAAAATTCTCCAAATAATATCGTAAAATTTACGAATTTTTCGTCCTTTTTCAATGAAATTTTAATGTGAATTAATAATAAAAATGTTTCTTTCAGCCAGTGCAAGTAAATTTAAATCACATGCTGTGTCCCGCAGTCTTGGATCCATTTGAAGGGCAATATTATCGTCTCTGGGCGACAACACATCAAGCCCTATTGTGCCCTGTTCTTGGGAAGGTATTTTGCCTGCTAGCAAACTTTTTTCTAACCAAATTCCCAGTGACAAAAGTGAAACCATCACTCGATTACCCAATATCACGAAAAGAAGACGATTCTACGAAAAGTGAATCTCAATTATTAAGTGATGGCGACATTAATGGACGCACTCATAATGATTAATTTTTCAAACTCACAAATGGAATTTATCTACATATATGAAAAAATTAACTCATCAATATTTATCAATTTTCAATCTTCTGTGATTTTTAAAATCTTTAATCACGTATAGAATTCGCTAGTTCATTGCGATTAAAAAAAAAATATTTTTTTAAATATATCTTAGACTTGTGGAAGAAAGAGTGAATATCTCTTTACTTTCTACAGCATTTACAGAAAAAAATCTATGTTTTATTTGTTTCGTTTAATATTTTAGCTAGTCAACATTGTTATGTAAATAATTGAAAATTGATGTAAAAAAACAAAAAGCCAGTATACACAAAGAACCTTTTTTAAAATGAATTATAAAAATCTTATAGATTCTAAGATTAAAAATTTAGATAAATGCAATTAATATTTAACAAAAATATCATCTTTCCGAGAAATTAATTTTCTGGAAACAGAACAAAATGTACCTTGAAAAGCATTATTTTTTCAAAGTAAACTCCTAGTTATATATAATACGTGTATAAAAAAAAGCCCATAAATGGATTATTTTCTCGTCAGAAAAATTTATAAATATTTAGAGCAAAAAATTTCAGGGAACAACGATAAGTGATGTTTAGTATAATTCTAATAATTGCATATTCTATGTTTGTTAGTAAAAGAAAAAAAATTATTTTACATTGCAATTTTTTTTTATTATTATTAATTTTCTCCACATTTATATTGATTTATCTTGCCAATTTCTAACTTAAGAGTTAGTAATATAAAGTAATCTTCCATACAAGAAAAAAAGTGTCAAGAGTAATCAATTTGTGGTAATATTTCACACTCGCTCTCTCTGTCTCTCTTACTATCTCTCTCTTTATGTATACGTATTATATTTATATATATACAGCGTTTATATATATAATTAATATACATATAATGTCATGCATTATGTATTTATCTTTTGGTGTTTTTTTCTTTATAAAAATTCTGTTTTTTATTTGTTTCGACAAAAAACACATTTATGTGATATTATTTCGCTTATTGAAATTATTATGAATTCTCAGATTTTAATCGACAAAAAAAATGTATTTTAGTTTTTAAGTATTTATTATATATAAATTATATATATACGTATATGTATATTACACCGTGAAATTATTTTAACTGTTTCGAATTGTTATTAATCGTAATCATTAAATCATATAATGGTAGAACGAATAAAAGGGAAAATAAATACGAAGTATTAAAAAAAATTCCATTTTTTCACACCTTTAAATTTTCGTTTTTTCATTTAATAAAAGCAATGAACTAAACTAAATTTTTAATCAATGTGAGCAATTGTGCTTTTCAAAAAATAAAAAAAAAATTTTTTTTTTTTGAAAAATTTTTAATAATTATAATGAAAATTTTTTTTTTTGAAAAATTTTTAATAATTATAATGAAATTTTTTTTTTCTAAAAAATTTATTTAAAAAGTACTATTTATACTGAGAAATTAAAAAGAAAAATTTTGAAAAAATATTGAAAACAACCGGAAAATTTTTTCAAAATTTTCAAAATCGTCTTCACTTTATCATACCTTATCCTTATATAGCTACAAGGAAAAAAAGTTTCAAAAAAACTGCTAACAAAGTCGAAAAATCGTCGATCATTTGACATGGAATTGTTCATGTATTAAAAATCATTGAATTCTTGAAACGAATTTTATCAAAAAATTTGAGAATAATTGAATTTTTCTTCGCAGAATTTTATTATTTATGAAAATAATTGAATTCTCGCGAAAAATTTTATTAAAATTTTAAAAAATCCTAATTAAATTCTTTTGAAGAATTTCTTTGATTTTTTTAAAAATAATAGAGTTTCTTTAATAATTTTAATTGAAAATTTTGAAAGTACTTCATTGAATTTTATAAACTATTTCTTTAAAGTTTTTAAAATAATCGAGATTCTTAATAATTGAAATTAAATATTTAATTATTGAATTTTATTAAAATTTTTAGAAAATAATTAAATTCTTCTTAGACTTTTATAACAATTTCTTAAAATAATTTAATTCATTCAAGGAATTTTATTAAAAGATAGAAAAATTCTTTCCAAGTTTAGATTCTATTAAAGGTTTTGACAATAATTGAATTCTTTCAAAAAATTTCTTTAATTCATTGATTATAATCGATTTTCTTAATAATTGTAATTAATAATTTTACTGTTAAAATTTTATTAAAATGATTTATAGAAAATTCAACTTTTTTAAATAATGTTATTAGACTTTTTGTAAATAATTAAATCCTTTTGATGAATTTCTTTGTGTTTTTTTTTAAATAATGTAGTTTTTTGAATAATTTTAATTGAAAATTTTTGAAAATATTTGAATTAATAAAGAATTTTTTTTAACTTTTTAAATTAATCGTTTTTGATAATTATAATGAATAATTTGATTTTTGAAGTTTATTAAAATTGTTTTGAAAATAATTGAATTTTTTCAAAGATTTTACTATTTTAAGAATCGGACAAGTGCGAGTTTCACTCGCATTAAGATCGAGGGTTCCGTACACCAAAATAAAACTCATTGTTTATAAAAAAATTATTTCAAAAATTCTTACAAAATTTGAAAAAAATAAAAAAAAAAAATAGTAATATATTTTTTTAAATTTCGAATAAATATTTTTATTATTTTATTTTATTAATAAATCTTTTTATTTTTTCTTTTATAGTACTTATCTTCGCCAATCACATTCTCTTTATTTTTTCTATAATTTGCACTTGAAAAAGAATATACAAGCTGAATCTTAACTCACCAGGTTTAAATTTATAAAAGTTAAAGTAGGGACAGTGTAATTTTTTCGAAAAATTCAAATTCTTGCCCTTCAATTTCGCAAATAACTCCGCCAATCAGGTTCGCTATATTTTTCCTGTAATCTGCACTTAAAACTGAAGATCCCTGCCGAATTTCAACTCACCAGGTTGAGATTTGTAAAAGTTAAGGGGGGGGGACAGGGTCATTTTTTGCAATTTTTTCAAAAAAATTCAATTTCTTTCCCTCCTAGTTCCCAAATATCTTCACCAATCAGGTTCGTTATATTTTTCCTGCAATCTGCACTTAAAACTGAAGATCCCTACCGAATTTCAGCTCATAAGGTTGAGATTTGTAAAAGTTAAGGGGGGGGGGGGCAGGGTCATTTTTTGCAACTTTTTCGATAAAATTGAATTTATTTTCCTCCTAGTTCGCAAATATGTTTGTCAATCGGGTTCGCTATATTTTTCCTGTAATCTGCACTTAAAACTGAAGATCCCTACCGAATTTCAGCTCACTAGGTTGAGATTTGTAGAAGTTAAGGGGGGGGGGGACAGCCCATTTTGCGTGGCTGGGACGGACACACGAGTGATTTCATAAGGGTTCCGTCAGTACACCTATGGTGTACGGAACCCTAAAAATAATTGAATTGTTTCGAAGGATTTATTATAATTTTGATGAAAATAATTGATTTTTTGCAAAAAATTTTATTATTTTTAAAAATAACTGAATTCTTCCGAAGAATGTTATTATTTATGGAAATAATTGAATTCTTCTGAAGAATTATATTAAAATTTTTGAAAATATAAAAATAATAATAATGTAATTTGCATAATAATAATAAATTGAATAGGACGTTGCATGTGCTAGCTTAACTTATATTTATTTCAAAATTTGAATTATTGAAATTTTTTAAGTAATAATTATTTAATAATTGCATTTTTTAAATTGTTGATTTTTATATTTTTTGTTATTCTTGTTTTCGTAAAATTAGTAATTTTAAGAAAAATGTGAAGGATTTAAAAGGAAAAATTCTATTTTATGAAACAAGCTTTATTTTTTTTTTTAGAAATATCACTATGTACATATTGTTCTGTACAAAAGTTTTAGAAAAATTAAATTGATAAAATCTACATGCGAGGAATAGAATTATTACCCGAAGAACGTATTTACATTAAAACGTACATTAATGTTTTGAAAATTGTCGACATATTAATTTTTTTTAATAAGTAATATCTCATTTAAAAAAATATTGTAATATACAATTATTAATGAATAAATGAAGATTATACTTTGATGTGGTTTGACACAAAAAAATAATCTTAAAAAGATCATAAGGAAGAACTTAATTTTAAATAATGAAAAACCAGGAGGTAAAATCTCATTGCTTTGAAATTAATCTTATTACACATAATAACCATGTTGAAGTCCACAACGTTGATCAACGAAAAAAAATTTTAAACTCAGTAAATTAATTAAAAATGACGCTGCAATATTGTCACAAAAATATTTCGAAATAAAAGATTGATGTTTATATTTTGATAATAATTATTTTGCAATTAAATATTAAATTAAAAATAATACTTGAATGCATTAAATAAATTTTTTTCGTTGACAAACGTTGTGGACTTCAACTTCGTCATAATATTCAGAGTAAGAATTAATTTTCTTACTCTATCTTTTAATTATTTATTATCTTTAACTTTCATTAAATTATTATTTCGTAATATTGACGTAAAATTCACGAATAATAATACCCTATTTTTGGAATGTATTTGATACTAAATAAATATCAAAAATTTTAATTGGAATATTTATATTGAATGCAAATTGCAATTTAGCAGATTACTTTTAAATGACTAGTTCTGCCAGTGCAATTGCAGGCAATAAAAGAGAAATAATAATAAATTCTCTTCAAGTTTTTTCATATATATATAAATATATAAAAAAAAGAAAAATAATTATCTAAATTTTTCTCAGTCTATTTACAAAGTCAATCACTTGTGGATTTATTTTAAGTGACTCTTTGGAATCTTGTCATTTTTGTAGTTAAAAAGAAAGGAAAATTACTTTAAATTAAAAAAAAGAAAAGAAAAATTGGAATTAAACAAATTGAAAATGTTACCCATCTAAAGGGGGACCTAAATATACCATTGAAACTTCTGTATTTCCATAAACGGCCGAGATCGACGGATATAATTTCTTGTCCGGAAGTCCTAAAATCGTTTAAGGAACTCAATTAAATTATTTATTATATAAAATAGTAAAGTTATTTTCTAAAATAATAAAATGTAATTATTACCTCTAAACGCTACGCCTAAAAATTCATAATTTCTCTCAAAGGAAAGTGTATTATCCTCGCAATCTAAAATTACTCTAATTCTTTCTCCAATCTGTAAATGAAAATAGATTTAATTTAAAATATAACTTATCTTTTACATTTTATGTGTAAATTAGGCTATTTTCCATTAACAGGTTCCATTAATAACAGGGATATTAACAGGGTTCCATTAACAGTATTTTCCATGAAGATATCGATCACTTCGAGTCTTCGACTCGAAGTGATCGCTTCCTTCATGTTTTATTTAATAATTTATATTAAAATATTAAAATAATTTATATTAAAATATAAGACTATTGTTTCTAAAACTTCTTTAAAATTATTTTCATCATTTAAATTCAATTATTATTTTCAAGAATTTTTAACTAAAATTCTTCTTTAAATCAATTATTTTTAATAATTTTTGAAAAAGTTCTTTGAGAATTTTCCAGATTTGTTTACAATTTAATTTTACGAAATTCCGATTATTCGCAAATTCTTCAATTAAATGTACATTAGAAAATAAAAATTTGAAATAATTTGAAAAAAATTTCGATTAAGGTCTTTGGAAAAAATTAGTTCCATAGAATTTTTAATTAAAAGTATGAAAAATTGAAATTTTCAAAGATTTTTATTCGGAACTTTTACAAAATTCAATTATTTCTATAAAAATTGCAATTATTAGTAACTTCTCCAAAATTCAATAATTATCTAAAACTCTAACTAAAATTAATTTTTAAATCAAGTCTCATTATAAAATTCTACGAGGATTCAATTTATTTAAATATGTACAAACAAAATTGAATAATTGAATGTTTCTTAAAATTTAATTCTTAATACATAATTTTTCAACAAATTTTTAAATAATTGAATTCTTTCGACGAATTTTAATAACATTTTTAAGAATATAATATACATTTTTCTAAGAATTCGATTAAAATTGTATTAAAAATAATTAAAATTCAGCAATGAGATTTATTATTTATAAAAATAATTGAATTATTGCGAGGAATTTTATAAAAAAAAGTTTCAAACAATTGGTTTATTCGAAAAAAATTATGCAAATTCTATTTTAAATAATTGAATTCTTGTGAAATTTTTATATTTTTGGAAAATAATTGAATGATATCAAAATTTTTATTTAATAATTAAATTCGGTACACGGTAATTCGCCCGAAAGTACCCGCCCGAATTTATTTGCCTGAATAGATATGCGCCTGAATGGTAATTCGCCCGAATGGTTTTGCCCGAATATAAATTCCCGAATCTTATTAATTTTCCCGAAAAAATAAAAGTTTAGGCAACGTACGTATATATGCAATGAAAGAAACAAAAGAGAGTTATTCAGTTATATGCAATGAAAGAAACAAAAGAGAGTTATTCAGTTGTTTGCTAACCATTTAAACGTCAAAATTGTAGTGTAAACATTGCCTTGTTTTCAAACGTACAAAATTTTCAAGTGTTGAAGTAAAATTTAATTTCTTGTGTCACAATGGATCAAAATTTAGAAGCACGTATTATCGGGAAGAAATTAACAATTAATGGCTTTATTTATGTAAGATCAAAACTAAAGTGACCATATGGAAATAGTGTCAATGCGGGACGTCCTCTTATTTATATCATTTAGTAAAAAAAAAAAAAGAAGGTCATTTGCCACAAGAAAAAAGGAACAGGGAATTTGTAGGAGTAAATTGGAGGGGAATTGAGACAGCGCGCGTCTTATGGCATTTACATATTTATATTATGCTTATTTTGTAACATTAAATCACATATTCTTCTGACAATTGAATTTTTCTTAAAATATCACGAAGTCTATCTCTCTCACTCTTATACGTTACTGTGCTAACCTGTAGATGCAGGATATTCTTAACTATTTTCCGGGATATGCAGGACATTTTATGTCAAATGCGGGACGTTTTGCGGGACAAAGGGATAAAATCAGGGACAGTCCCGCAGAATCCGGGACGTATGGTCACTTTAATCAAAACCGGCGAAACAGAACAGATTTTACTGGGATTGTCAAAAGGTTCGTTCAGGCCAATGTAAAGCACGGGCAATAACGATGCAGAGCGCTACGGAATTAATCGTATTAAAAGGTCCCAATGACCCGAAAGTATCCTCGCATACACATTCTCCTAATCAAGATCTTGTCAAAGCGGAGGAAGTTAAGGGGACATTCCAGTTCAAAACAGGCAAAAAGAAGGCTTTTTTAGTATATATTATTAAAATAACTATGACATTTATTTAAAAAATTTCTTTTACATGTAATAAATAATTTATTTAAGAATTTGTAAAAATTTTTTATTTTTATTTCAAAATGGCGGCGATATACGCCATTTTCGAAAATGCCCATTTTTGGTGGTAAGATCGATTCCAAACTTTCTAAAACAGATAAAACCAAAAACGAAGTGACATTCTCTTCGTTAGATAATTCTTTAGGTGTGGAACCTCAAAAAAGTGGAATTTTCTTCCCCCCCTTTTTTTTAGAGTACTTTTTCCCAAAAATAAGCAAAAAAAAGGTGTTTTTATTCAGAATTTCTCTTATAAAAAGAAGGGGAGTTGGAAATTTTCCAGTTTTTGAGGTTCCACTTATAGGCATGATGACGCTGAATCAAAAGCCGTTTGATTTTTTAAAATCGCTTCAGAAGAACTCGACATATCACTCTTACCAGATCAAGAAAAGACATTTTGAGAAAAACGCATTTAAAGATTTGTCCATAAGTTTCGAAATTTTTTTAAAAAAATCATCAGATTTGCTTGAAAATCTTTACTCGGGGGTTTTTGAGGTCGCTAATTACGAATATGGAATCAGATCAGGCCTCGAACTGCCTTTGGCATTGAAAATTACGTACTTTACGTACCAAAAAAGGAAAAATTAGTGACCAATTTACGTACCAAAATTTGTAATTTTTTATATAAAGTGCCAACTTTAAATCGCAAAATAGAATGATATAGTTTAAATAATTACATGGATTTCAATCAACATATTTTTATTAGTTTAGAAAATCTTAAAATTGAAATAATATTTTATATGTTCTTATGATAAAATTTTACTTAAGAACTGTAAATTAAGAAGTTTTTGAAATTCTTTAAGGGTTCATACCACTTTGTCAACTTCAAAAAATTAAATTTTTTTACGGATTTAGTTACTAGTTGAATCAGTAAATTTTTACATTATAAGTAACTCAATTCACATTTTTTCATGTTGTGTATTCTATTGTTAAATTTTAAATAATTAAACAATATTTTTTTTAATAAAACGACGTTTTCTATATAGTTAAAGAGTGTCTTTGTTAAACTATAAAAGACCTAAATCAATAAAATTTACATGGATCGTAAAAAAATTCTACAAAAAAGCTAAATTTTGAGGCATGAATAGTGGTATGAACCCTTTATTAACAAAATATGACTTTTGTTTTCGACCAATCGGAAATTGATTGATCGGAAAGTGAATGTGAATAAAAATAGAGAAGGCATAACTAAATGTTTATTCACAATCTGTATACATATTTTGATTTTTAGTCGAAATGGTCAAAATTACGTACTTTACGGACCTTTTGTCAACATTACGTACTTTTAGGTACCAAATTCAAAATTACGTACTTTTCCTTAATTTATGTACTCAGTTCGAGGCCTGTCAGATTTTTAAAATTCAAAATGGCGGATCCAATATGGCGGACATTTTTTTTTCAAAATCATTGAATTTGCTTGAAAATCGTTACGGGGGAGGTTTGGGGTTGCTGATTACGAATATGACATCATTTTTTCAAAATTAAAAATGGCGGATGCAATATAGTGGACGAAAAAAAAATTAAATAGAGCTGTGCAAAATTCGAACCGAACCGAGTTTAGTTCGGTTTTGGGGCGCCGAAATGTCGAATATTCGACATCCGAACTAGGCTAGTTCGAATGTCGAATATTCGACATTCGAACTAGGCTAACTCGAATGTCGGTTTTTCGACATTCGAACTGGGCTAGTTCGAATGTCGAATATTCGACATTCGAACTGGGCGATTGAAATGTCGAATTTTAGAATTCGACATTTTAGCGTACCAAATCCGAACAAAACTCGATTCGGTTCGAATTTTGTAGTAACTCGAATGTCGAATATTCGACATCCGTACTGGGATAGTTCGAATGTCGGTTTTTCGACATTCGAACTGGGCTAGTTCGAATGTCGAAAAACCGACATCCGAACTAAGCTAACTCGAATGTCGAATTTTCGACATTCGAACTAGGCGAAAAAATTCGAACAGTTCGGTTCGAATTATTTTGCACAGCTCTAAAATTAAAATTAAAAAATTGTCTTTTCCGCCATATTGGATCCGCCATTTTGAATTTTGAAAATTTGATATCTAATTTGTGATCAGCAACACCAAATACATTTTTGTTTGTCTTTTTTAAAAAATGCAAATAAGAAAACATTTAAATCATTCGATTGCTTATCCGCATACAAAAACATCTTTGACATGGCGAAGAATAAGGATGTATAACTTTTGTTTTACTTCGAATTTTGCAATAATAGTTTAGGAGCGTATTCTTGACTCTATAAGAAATCCGAAAATAAAAACAAAAAAAAATCGATTTTTTTGACATTTTGAACTGGAATGTCCCCTTAAGTTTAATTTAAAACGTGCAGCGGAAGAGCATCCAGAATGCCCTCCAGCGCAGGTATGATAAGATAGTGATATTCTCTTTTCATTTTTCATTCTATCAGTTCATTCCTTTTTTTCCATCAACAGATAATACGAGAACACTTATCCAATTTGACGCCCGCTGTTTTGGCAAAATTACCAGAGCTATTCATTTATAAAGATAATTGAAATGTTGACAATTTTTTTTTATTTTTTGAAAATAATTGAATTTTAGCCATGAATTTTATTAAAAATTTTGAAAATAATTGAATTCTTGTAATGAATACTATTATTTATGAAACAGGGTGTCTACTATTTTCGTTTAACAAAATTCCCGGTTATTTCCCGGTTTTTCCCGGCTATATCCTAATTTTTTCCCGGTTTTTTTTCTTATCAAATTTAAATTTAAATTTGATTTCAAACATAAATAAATCATTAAATTTTTTGAAAATAATGTTTTTTTCAGTAATTTTAATTAAAAACTTGGAAAATACTTGAATTAAACAAAGAATTTTTTCAAGTTTTTAAAAATAATCTTGTCTCTTTATAATTATAATTGAAAATTGGATTTTTCAATTTTATTAAAATTACATTGATAATAATTGAACTTCTGCAAAGAATTTTACTATTTATAAAAATAATTGAATCCTTCCAAAGAATGCTATTATTTATGAAAATAATTTAATTCTTGTGAAGAATTTTATTAAAATTTTTGAAAATAATAAGCAGCAATAATTAATTCTTTACTTAATATGTAATAAACATTTAATTTGCTCAAGAAATAAATAAATATCATTTATTTGAACATTCAGAAATTTGAAATGATAAAAATTTAAGAGAAGTTTAATAATTATAATTATTAAATAATAATAGAATAGTATAATTTTTAGAAGCAAAAAATTGATTTAAAACTGTAAGAGGGACTTTAAATTTTAAAAATAAAATTATAATTATGGTCACTAACTTCCCTTGATTATTTTCGAAAAATTTAAATAAAATTCTTTAAAAGAATTCAATTATTTTTCAAAAAAAGTAAAAAAATTTCAATGATTTGTTTAGAAAAATTCAATTATCTTGAAACAATAGAATTGAAAAATTACAACAATTTTATTTTTTAGACAAAAAAAATTTTGCGAAAGTTTAATTTTATTAAACAATTTTAAGTATGTATATTTTTTTAAAATAACTAATAAAAATTTTAATTATTAATCTTCGGAGTAAGAAACATGAATACATTAGAATTTTACTCTTTATAATATTCAATTATTAATCAATTATTAAATTAAAATACTTTGAAAATTCTATTTGTTAAAAAGTTTCTAATGAATTTCTTTAACAAATTTAATTACATATTTTCAGTCGAATTTCACAATATTTCTATTAACTCCATAATTTTTTTTAAATTTATTTACATAATATATTTGAATTGGTAACTGATTTTTTATCATCAAATTAATTATTTTTAACTAACTTAAATTTAGAGAACAGTATAAATATCTATAAAAATTGAAATAAAAATTGATTTTTTAAAAACAAATTAAAATAATAAAACTTTTTTAATTTTTTGTGAAAAAATTCCCGGTTCGGTATAAAATTCCCGGCTAATTCCCGGTTTTTCCCGGTCAAATAAAATTCCCGGTTTTCCCGGAATTCCCGGTTAGTAGACACCCTGATGAAAGTAATTAAATTTTACAATGAATTTTATTAAAAATCCTGAAAATAATTGAATTTTGTCCAAGAATTTTGCTATTCATTTATAAAGATAATTGAAATGTTGAAAATGTTGTTTTATTTTTTGAAAATATTAAATTTTATTAATTTTGAAATTTATTGAATTCTTCTGATGAATATTGTGATTTATGTAAATAATTGAACTTTGCAAAGAATTTTATAAAAATTCCTGAATATATAATTGAATTTTGACGAAGAATTTTGTTAAGCTATTTATAAAGATAATTGAAATGTTGACGAGATTTTTTTTTTAATTTTTGAAATTTGAATAGTTTATAAGGCAAGCAAAAAGACACAAAAATTTAAAATTTTCTTATAAATTCTAAACATTTAGTTTTCTCCAGTACTTTTAATAAAAATCCCTGACTTTTCCCTGACCAATTCTACTTTTCCTAACTTTTTCCTAAATTCCCTGATCTGTGGCAACCCTGATTTAAAATTTGTAATTAAAAAAAGTTGTTTAACGTCAAAAAATCAATTTACACACAAAAAGTAAAAGATAAATCATAATTATCATTTTAGTTTTTAAATCGTTCAATTTAATTACCTGATATTTAGGAGCATTATTGAGTGAAGGGTAATTTCCTAATGCATCTCCATTGTGTAAGAGATGATTGTCGACGATATTCCAACCCCATGAATGCTCATCAGAGCCAAGAAGAGAAACATAACCGTGGCACAAAAGTGAAGCCTCTTTGGTTGCAATTCCTATAACTGCAACTGTTCCCAGAGGACCTTCCCATATTACTTCCCATGCGTGTCTTCCATGCCGAAAACCTATTTTACCTCTTCCTGCATCCGTACTTTGTGCAACGGGATTTCTGCAAAGGGAAAAAAACAAATTCAAAATATATTTTAAAAAAATATCATTTTAGGGTGGTCAGAAGTTTCGGTTTATCAATTTCCCTGACAAAATAATTTTTGAAAGATAATAGTTTTTTAAATTGAAAAATTTCCAGACAATTGTGGGAAAGTCTTTTTAAAATAATTAAATTTTTAAAAAATCAAAATAATCCAATTTTTGAAAAATTTTAATTCATGGTTGCCACAAAATCTAGATTTCAAAATTCCAGGCTTTTTCCAGGTTTTCCAGGTTAAAAATATTAAAAATTCCAGGTTAAAATTTAGGAATTATTTGTGATGAAAAAACAAGTATTTTACAAAACTGCATTTTTATGTTTATTTTTCTGAAAGTGATACTTTTGATATTCGATTTTTCAATATATTTTTTAAAAATTATATGGTTTTTTCTATTGAAACTACTTTATTTCATACTCAATAGTAAGAATTTAAGTTGCGCAAAATTAATTTGAAAATAATAAAGTCTTTCTTCTTTGAATTTTACTCGGGCCAATATGTAAAATTTGAATATTTATAAAAGCAATAATCAAAAATAAAAGCAATCAGACCATTAACTTTATTCTAATGTGCATTCACATTTTTTTAGAATATTTTTAATGTATAAAAACATTATTAATCATCGTGAAGTAATTTTAACTTAAACGGAAGACAAAATTTAAACATTTTTATCACATATAAAACGGAGGTCAAAAAATTTTTAAAATGCACATAATGATAGAAAAAACATTGTATTTTCTGGCACTATTTTTAAAAAATTTCTAAGAGTTTAAAAAAACCATAAAAATTTAGTTTTCGTATAGAACTCCTATTGGAGACATGTTAAAAAGACTTTAAAGATGAAATTATTTTAGCCATTGTATAAATTCAGTTAAATAAAATTGTTTAATTTTTTTAATGATAAGTAAGTGTAAATTTTTTCTATGAAAATGGTTAATAATATTATCAGAGAGTAGATTTTATAAAATTAATCGAGATATCAAAAATGTCACTTTCAGAAGAATCAGCCATAATTAGCACATTGAAGTCATGTCTAAATTAAATAATTTCCATCTTCAAACTTTGTTCAAAATCTTGAACAAAAAGCAACTGGTAACAAAAAATTTTGACAATCGTAATACTAATAAAGATATAAAATCCTATTTTTCACAGATTTAGTCAATAATTAAAAAGAAAAATTAAATTAATTTAATTTAGTCAATAATTAAAAAAAAATTAAATTAATTTAAAGAGAAGATAACATGGAAAAGGAAAATTGCATGTTAACATTTTTAAAGAAAAATAACATGTTGAATGAAATTTTTCTTAATATCTTTCATTAACCCAAAAAAATTCCAGAAATTCGTTCAAATTCCATGCTATTTCCAGGTTGTCCATACTCTTTTTCAATTTCCATGCTATTTCCAGGTTTTCCAGGTTTTCCAGGTTGTGTGGCAACCATGTAATTATAAATATGACCGATTTCTCCGAAATTTTAATATGCAAGCAGGCCTCGGATCGACTTTAACGAGCAAAAAAAGTCGCTTTAGTCGATTAAAAATAGAAAAAAAAGTCGAAACAGTCGTTTATTTAATTTAGTGTTGTCACAAAAATTTTATTTTGTATTTCCCTGATTCTTCACTAATTTCTAAATTCAATTTCTAATCAAAACTTGTATAATTTTGCTAAATAAATATTTAAATACTTCTTATTTCATTTTTCACAGGAAATAAAATTTAAAAAATTTCAACTTCTGAAATTTAATAATTTCTAAAAACTGAAACTATAACCCTTCCAAAAATTCAATTATCTTCTACAATTTTTAACTAAACATGAAGCTGAAGTCTGCAACGTTTTTAAAAACGAAAAATCAAAAAAGAATTCTTTTCCAAGTTAAATTCATCTCTAATTTTCATGTTTCTTAATTTTTAAGAAATTAATTGTTGCTTAAGATACAATTATTAAAAATTAACATGATTTAGAATCAAAAATAAAAAAACCGTCCCTTTATTTTTTCGTTTTCGTTTTTAAAAACGTTGCGGACTTCAGTATCATAACTAAACTTCATCTTTATCTATATTCATTTTTAATAATTTTCCGAAAGTTTTTCGAGAATTCAATTATTTAAATACAAAAATTCAATTTTTTATAATAATTGAAACTGTCCAGACCATTTTTCTTTTTACAGATATTAAGGTAGAATATTTTCAAAAAATTTAATAAAGAAATTCGTATAATGAACTTTTTAAAAATATTTCTAAATAATTTTTAAAAGACAATAGTTTTACAATTACAACATGCAATTAAAAAATGTCCAAAAATTGAAATTTGGTAAAATGTTTTAAAAAATAATTTACCCAATAATTAAAATTTAGTAAAATCTTTAAAAAATAATTGAAATTTAATAAAATCTTTTAAAAATAATTAAGTTTTTAAAAAATAATCAAATTTTTAAAGAATTTTAATCATTTTATAAATGATTTCTCAAAAATTCTAAAATAGTAAATTTAAAAAATTTTTAATTTACTTTGTTTGAAGGTAATTGAATCTTAAAAAATTATGATAAAACAATTCTAAGAATTAGTTTTTTGTAAATATTGTAATGTAATTTTTCGAAAATAATTGAAGAATTTTTGTATAATTAAAAAAAAAATAATTTTTTAAAAAATTTTAATTAAAAATTTTAAATATGTCTATTTTCTCCAAAATGTTAAAAATAATTCTAAAAAATTTTAATGTTATTATTTTGTGTATGTATTTAAATTTTCGAAAATATTGAAAATATTGAAAATAATTGAATTTTAAAAAATTAGAACGAAATAATTCAGAGAATTACTTTTTTCAAAACTAAACTATTTTAATTGTATATTTCAAAAATTTAATTTGAAAAATTATTTAAAAATAAATTTTCAAAGATTTGTCTATAGTTATGCTTTTCACACTATAAAAATCGAAATATGTAAGTTGCATTTTATACTAAAAATATGGTACTTTGTCGCAAAATTTGGAAGAAATGTCGAAAAAGTCACAATTTTTTATATAATAATATCTGAGGCCTTTGCAAGTCTAAAAAAGTAAAGTTTTAATTAATTGAATTTTTAAAAGAACTTTAGTATAATTAAAAAACTTAATTAATTTTTTGATGAATTTTAATTAAAAATTTTGATCATGGTTTTTTCTCCAAAATGTTAAAAATAATTCTAAAATATTATTTTTTGTATGTATTTAAATTTTCGGAAATATGTAATTAAAAATAATTAAAATATTGAATTTTAAAAAATTAGAAGTTAATTTTCATTAGGTTTCATTTTTAAGTTTACATTTAAAGATTTTTCATTAATCAAATTTTGAATAATTCAATTATTTTGAAAATTTGAAATTAAAATTCTTCAAAAGTTGATTTTCAAAAATTGTAACAAAATACTTGAAAAAAATTAATTATTTTCAATTAAATTTTACAAAATTTCAATTATTCAAAAAGATTTTTATTATCGACATATTTGAAAAATTTAATTGTCTTAAAAAAAGATTTAAAAACAATTTTTGAAAGATTTGTTTCTAGGTATTTTTCGCACTATAAAAATCGAAATAAGTTGCATTTTATACTAAAAAATGTGGTATTTTGTTGCAATATTTGGAAGAAAAGTGGAAAAAAGTCCCAAGTTTTTAATGTAAATCGAAAAAAGTCTTAATTTTCTCGGTATAAATAATAAAGTAATCGTTTTCGAGAAAACTTCAAATATTTTCAACAAAGAAAAAAAATATTAATTTAAAGAAATACTGAAAGAGAATTCCAGTGTTTCTTCGTTAAGGACACAAAGATACTTATTTTTCAAATATTTATAAAAAAGTACTATTCTCATTTACTATAATAAAAACAAACAATAAAATATTTATTACGTTCAAAATGAATAAAATTTATTGATCTATTTCTCAAATTTTATTAAAATAATTATAATTTTATTAAAAAATCATTTATAAAGTTTCAAAATTTCTAATTTATGATTTTATTTTTTATTGCTGTCAGTAATTTTTTGAAAATATTTATGATATATTTATACTTGAAAAATGTAGCAGAAAAAACGAAAATAATCAATACGTGGTAACATAACCTCAAATGTCAAAATGTTTACTTTTTGTAAATGTTATAAAATTATAATCTAACATTCTAACTGCAAATTTACTTTAATATTTCAATGATACGATTCTATTTAACGTAAAGTTAAAATGAAGGCAATTAGAAATTTTCTAGAAAATGAGAAATGAGTTTCTTAATAAATTAGAGAGAGAAAATTTGTGCCAAAATCATTTTAAAATATTGATAATTATATTATTAAATAAACTAAACATATGACTTTCCTAGAGAAAGTAACCTGCTTTTAATGAATTTTTTTCTTAATGATAATAAACCTTTAATTAAAATAGAAAATTATATGTATAAAAACCAAAGTAATCAATACATGTCAACATAACCCCAAACGTCAAAAACTCATAAATTATACGAAATTCAAAGAAATAAACATTTTATTCGAAAATCAACTAATATTCTAATGACACTTATTCTACTTGTTAACTCAATTGAAGACAATTGATAAACTTTAATAGAAAAATGATTTCCTTCAGCAAAATGATATTTGGCTTATTCGCAAAAGTAGAATTTACATTTTCCCACCTGTGCAATGTAAAACCATTTGATTTGATGAAAATATTCCTTGAGCAATCATTTGGATTCCAGGCATGACGAAAGGCTCGTAATTTTGATTTATATGTTGGTACAGATGACAGTAAACCCGAACTAAGTACTTCCTGACCCAATTCACGGATACAATGCAATCGCCAAACGTCATTATTTTCATCACAAAGTATTCTACACCAATTTTTACACACCAAAGAACAATTTCTTAATGATGGAAGATTTAAAAATGAAAATATCAGTTCTAAAACAGGATCTGGTAAGCGGAATATTATATCATCCATTTTGCCGGTCATCGCGACAAAAAATGATGATAGAAGCGCGCAGAGTGATTATAGCGGAAGTTACTGGAACGAGAAAACAGAAACAAGAATTGAATATGCGCGGGCTAATTTCAATTCTCATAATTCCAAAATGGCGTATTCTACTTTTCCGGTTAAGAAATATTTTTAACAAGAAGACTTCTTGATTTTTAATTGAAAAAAAATGTCAATTCTGTTCGCTCGCGGACAAAGTGTTGCCGCGATACGAGACGAGGCGATAATTTCAACTGTCTCGTCTTGTCTCGTTATTGTAGGGCAAATTATCGTCTCGTGTTTCGAAAATATTACACATTATTGTCTCGTCTCGAGTGTCGAGAATGCTACACATTCTCGTTTTCTCTCGTCTTTTTTCTGTCTTTTTCAGCTTTTTTATAGAAGTATTGTAAAAAATTTGACGTGTTTGCACATTACTGAAAAATGACTTGACGATTAAGGTGAGATTTGGTAGTCTTTCAGGTATTAGTCTGGTTTAAAATAATTTTAGCCATATTGGAATCAGGGTTGCACACGTAATATACGTCACGTAAATTACATGGGTTTTTTTACGTATATTACCTCAAAAATTTTAAACACAATGCATTTTATTGTGGTGGGAGGTAAAATACGTATTTTATCCTTTTCCTTTCTAAAAAAATGCAAAGCAGAAAAAGCTCGAATTGAAAAAAGTCGAACTCGAAAAGTATCGAAGCAAGAAATAAGCATAGAGAATAAAAAAGAACATAGAAAGCGCGCCTCACACTCTAAATCCTTTCTAAAAAAATGCAAAGCAGAAAAAGCTCGAATTGAAAAAAGTCGAACTCGAAAAGTATCGAAGCAAGAAATAAGCATAGAGAATAAAAAAGAACATAGAAAGCGCACCTCACACTCTAAATCCTTTCTAAAAAAATGCAAAGCAGAAAAAGCTCGAATTGAAAAAAGTCGAACTCGAAAAGTATCGAAGCAAGAAATAAGCATAGAGAATAAAAAAGAACATAGAAAGCGCACCTCACACTCTAAATCCTTTCTAAAAAAATGCAAAGCAGAAAAAGCTCGAATTGAAAAAAGTCGAACTCGAAAAGTATCGAAGCAAGAAATAAGCATAGAGAATAAAAAAGAACATCGAAAGCGCACCTCACACTCTAAATGTAAACGAAATAGATGGAGCTGTCTTGTTTATCTCAAGAAAAATTTATAAATAAAATTATTTTATTTATAAATAAAATGAAATGAAGGCCGTCTGAGGCGCTAGTACAAATGTAAAAAACTCATGTAATTTACGTAAAAAACTTAAAGTTACGCGTAACTTTACATCCCTGATTGGAATAAAAAATTTTAAGCTGAACAAATAGTTACAATTTATTTTCAAATAATCAAAAATGCAAATTTTTTTATTTTGCATTAAAAAAATGTTTTTGTCTCAAATAACTGATTACTTGTTTTGTTTATTATCAAATATCAAATGCTCTTGTGTCTTCATTCTATTGGTTCCAGTGCTCATTAAAAAAAACACTGAAAAATGAATTAAATTTCAACTTTTAGTTGAAAAAGAGTGTATTTACTAAATATTATGTATAAAAAAATATAATTCATATAAAATATTTATAATTTCTTATATTTTGTTTAAAAAAACTATTAAATGCAACGTAATATAAAAGATTTTAGTATACATATATCTATCATATTTTATATATATTAATCGTAACTATATTTTCAGAATAAAACTTTGCCATTTAAAAAAAATTCTCGTCTCTCGTCTTGTATCGTTTTAGCGATAATTAAAAAAATACTGTCTCGTCTCGTCTCGAGTCAAAGTTCTCTCGTCTCGCCTCTCGCCATTATCGCGGCAACACTAGACAAGACGGGGGCGCATGATTATTCCCCAAATGTCATTTTTCCGAAATGTCATTTTACCGAACTGCACTTTTGCGAATAGTCAATTTTGCGAAAAGCCAATTTTTCGAAATCTCACTTTTGCGAATTGTCATTTTTTCGAAAAGCTATTTTTGCGAATTGTCATTTTTGCGAATAGCAATTTTTACGAATTGTCAATTTTCCGAAAAGTTATTTTTGCGAATCGCTATTTTTACGAATTGTCAATTTTCCGAAAAGTCATTTTTGCGAATTGTCATTTTTACGAAAAGACATTTTTGTGAAATGTCATTTTTGCGAAAAGAGATTTTTCTGAAATGTCATTTTTACGATTAGTCATTTTTGCGAATTGACATTTTTGCGAATTGTCATTTTTGAGAAATGTCATTATTGCGAATTGTCACTTTTGCGATTTGTCACTTTTTCGAAAACTCATTTTTGCGAATTGTCATTTTTACGAAAAGACATTTTTGTAAAATGTCATTTTTGCGAATAGTCATTTTTACGAATTACCATTTTTGCGAATTGTCAACTTTCCGAAAAGTCATTTTTGCGAATCGCCATTTTTACGAATTGTCAAATTTCCGAAAAGTCATTTTTGCGAATTGTCATTTTTGCGAAAAATACAATAGAAACTTGTAGGTATCTATAAATTCACTATTGTATTTTTCGCAAAAATGACAATTCGCAAAAATGACTTTTCGGAAATTTGACAATTCGTAAAAATGGCGATTCGCAAAAATGACGTTTCGGAAAATTGACAATTCGTAAAAATATCGATTCGCAAATATAGCTTTTCGCAAAAATAACAATTCGTAAAAATGGCGATTCGCAAAAGTAACAATTCGCAAAAGTGACATTTCTTAAAAATGACAATTCGCAAAAATGGCAATTCGTAAAAATGACTTTTCGCAAAAATGGCTCTTCGCAAAAATGACATTTCACAAAAATGTCTTTTCGTAAAAATGACAATTCGCAAAAATGAGTTTTCGAAAAATTGACAAATCGTAAAAATGGCGATTCGCAAAAATGACTTTTCGGAAAATTGACAAATCGTAAAAATAGCGATTCGCAAAAATTACTTTTCGGAAAATTGACAATTCGCAAAAATGACAATTCGCAAAAATAGATTTTCGTAAAAATGACAATTCGCAAAAGTGACATTTCGCAAAATTGGCTTTTCGCAAAAATGACTATTCGCAAAAGTGCAGTTCGGTAAAATGACATTTCGGAAAAATGACATTTGGGGAATAATCATGCGTCCCGACAAGACGATTTCTGCAGTGTAACGTGAAAGGGCTTAGGGGGTTAAGTGTGCAAAAACTGCCCCCGCATCTATTTTTCTCAAATTTGGCCCATATATTACTATCCATATGACTATAACTTTCTGCAATTTTGAACTTAAAATTCGCTTTTTTGGGGGAGTTATGGAGGGGGAAAGCAAAATCAAAAAACTTATTTTTCTCGAAAACTACTAAACCGATTTTAATGAAATTTTAAGAGGTTGTAGATATAGATAAGACGATTTTAGAAAAAAAAATTAAAATTTTTTTTTCACTTTCTCTTTTGTTGCAAAAAGTACCTTATAATGTCCCCTTTAACATATATTTTTTCCACATTTTTTAAAAATATAGTTTTCGAGTAAAATGTCAAAAACCATGGTAATGCTATTTGTTACGTATACGGTAATGCACATATACATATGGGCAATTTCATGTGATAGGGTATAGCCAAATAAGTATGGAAAAAGTGACCCGAATATATTTTTCCCATTCATTCCTACTCACTTAAAAATAACTTTTTGAAATTTTTAACTCAAAATTTTGAGTTTTTTTGGAACTTATGGAGAGGAAAAAATCGATAAACGCATTTTTCTCAAAAACTACTGTATGCATTTTAATCAGCTTTGGATATGTTGAAAAGACAATTAAAGAGATTCCAAAAAAAATTTCAAATTATTTTTTCAAAAAATTCCAAAAATCTTTTTTTTGAAAATTTCAAAATAAAATTTTTTTGAAATTTTCAAAATAAAATTTGTTTAAATCTATTAAAGTGAAATTTTTATGTATTTTCTCATTTCATTCTCTTATGTCATCTACTTAATAAAAAAATTTTGCTTGACATGATTTCAGGGTGTGTCACGGTAAATAACTCAAAAACCATACCCGGTACATTTTTATGTTGTATGTAAATGGTTAATTAATTAATTATTTGTTTAATCCCAAATTAATATTTAGGGGTTTTCTGAATACAAGTCTGAAGTCGATGTTAAAAAAAATTATTTCCAAAGAAAAATCCAAAAATTTTTATTTTGGCATTTAAAATTTTTTTCTTTTTTGATCGTTGAAGCGGTACATCACATTTTTTTTATTTAACTTTTTTAACAGTCTTACTTATCAAAGAATAATGGCCTAGATGATTTTAGAGTGCGACACGGTAAAAAAAACTCAAAAAATCCTAAAATTTGATTTTAAAATTTTCCAAATTTTTTTGTTTGTCTAAAAATATTTTTTATAGTAACATTAGATTTGTATTTAGCAACCTCAATAACCCACTAGTAATAAGTTGCAAAAATATTTGACAGGTTTTTTAACATTAACCATTTACATACAACATAAAAATGTACTGGGTATGGTTTTTGAGTTATTTACCGTTACACACCCTGAAATCATGTCAAGCAAAATTTTTTTATTAAGTAGATGACATAAGAGAATGAAATGAGAAAATACATAAAAATGTCACTTTAATAAATTTCAACAAATTTTTTTTTTGAAAATTTCAAAAAAATTTTATTTTGAAATTTTCAAAAAAAAAGATTTTTGGAATTTTTTGAAAAAATAATTTGAAATTTTTTTTGGAATCTCTTTAATTGTCTTTTCAACATATACAAAGCTGATTAAAATGCATACAGTAGTTTTTGAGAAAAATGCGTTTTTCGATTTCTTCCTCTCCATAAGTTCCAAAAAACTCAAAACTTTGAGTTAAAAATTTCAAAAAGTTATTTTTAAGTGGGTAGGAATGAATGGGAAAAATATATTCGGGTCACTTTTTCCATACTTATTTGTCTATACCCTATCACATGAAATTGTCCATATGTATATGTGCATTACCGTATACGTGACAAATAGCATGACCATGGTTTTTGACATTTTACTCAAAAACTATATTTTTAAAAAATTTGGAAAAAATATATGTTAAAGGGGACATTATAAGGTACTTTTTGCAACAAAAGAGAAAGTGAAAAAAAAATTTTAATTTTTTTTTCTAAAATCGTCTTATCTATATCTACAACCTCTTAAAATTTCATTAAAATCGGTTTAGTAGTTTTCGAGAAAAATAAGTTTTTTGATTTTGCTTTCCCCCTCCATAACTTCCCAAAAAAGCGAATTTTGAGTTCAAAATTACAGAAAGTTATAGTCATATGGATAGTAATATATGGGCCAAATTTGAGAAAAATAGATGCGGGGGCAGTTTTTGCACACTTAACCCCTTAAGCCCTTTGTATTCATTTGTTGTATTTGGGAAGTTAGATTTGTCCAATTAAATGTTTCAAATGGTCTACCCGCATGTATAGTCGGAAAATTCGAGAACACAACTTATCAATGGAGATTAAAATAAACATACGTGATAAGATTTTAACTTGATCATTTATAATTATTAGGTATGAGACAGAAAAGAAAAACAACTCATCTATCTTACAATCAGTTCTTTCACTAGATGGAGAATTTTTATATGTATTAAATAATTTACTCAAAGCGAAAACAGTAAATTGTTAAAATTGTATGAATTATTAGGCATATAAATAAGATTTAATATGAACTTTATAAAATTTACATAAAATAAAAATACATTTTTTTAGTTTATTTTTTTGTATCAGAGTCACTATCACTGTACGGATGAAGCAGGTATACTTATCCTTCTTTGTTCCATTTTTGAATGTACTTCTGGTCTACAAACCTATAGGATTTTCACTTGCACGGAATGACAATTATTCTTTCTGCATAATTTTAACAAAAAGTAATTTAAGTCAGGGTGTCTAGCGTCCGGGAAAAACGGGAAAACCGGGAATTTAGTTCGACTGGGAAAACCCGGGAAATTCCCGAGAATTGAAAAAAATATCCGGGAATTTTTGGAAATTTTCTCTAATTCATTAAAATCTATAAAAAAAATTTCAATTTAAGGTAGTTCTCCGGCTGCTGCTCTTTTAAAAATTGATTTTCGATAGATTTTCTTCAAATTTTGAGGAAATATTTCTTCAGATGCCTTTTAAATGTGATAGAAACTTCAAAACCTTTTGCCATGTCAAAAAACGAGATATTGTGGTTGACATTTTTTATTTTTAACATAAACGCATGGAAAAGTGAAAGTTTGAACTTGAATAAGTCAAAATTTAGCATCGCAAAGGGTTTTGAAATTTTTACCACATTTAAAGGGCACCAAAAGAAACATTTCCTCAAAATTTGAAGAAAATAAATTTTTACAAGAGTAGAAGCCAGAGAACTACCTTCAGTCTTATATTTTTCAAAAATGAAAAAAACATATATTATAAGTATATGTATAGGCAATTTCACGTTAAATTTCAGTCCACATTTTCAATTAGGACGAAAATATATTATTGTAAATCTATTTTTTCATTTTTTATAGGTAACCAAATTTTTGGATTTTTAAAAGTAGACTCTAAAATCTATAACTCTAAAACTATTGAATTTAGAAAACTTATCTAAAGGTACACTCTCACCTCACTGCCTGCCTGCCTGCGCAGGCAGGCGCCATAAGAGTGAGAGAGAAAAAACATTTAATTTGAATTTTCTTACTCTCTTACTCCTATGTGTTACCATGTCAACCTGCAGGCAGGCAGGCAGGCAGTAGGAGCTGTGCTAGCGCCTTAATACATACTTACAAATAATAAGGATAGTTTGCAAAAAATATTTTGGTCCCCCTATAGAATAGAAAAATAAAGGATACGTATACCTTTTTTCTAAAAGGAATAAATAAAATATAAAGTAAAGAAGAAGAAAAAGAAGGAAATCTTTACTTTTCTATACTTTATTATACTTGGCTTAAAATGAAAAAGGAGTTATACACTCCATATACTTGTGACGTAGAATTGACTGTATATTATTATTATTTATATAATTGTTGCATACATTTTTAACATTTTAAAGTCTTCAATTAAAAGTTTAATTATAAATCCTAATATTTTTAACTTATTGCAGTTGAACATCAGTGACTTTTAATGTAAATATCTAAAAGAAGACATAAATGCCATTGGGTATTGCAAAATAATTCAGAAATAATCATTTATCCACAAATATAAAAAAAATAATTGCAATTTCTATTATTTGAACTTTTGATTATCTGAACCAGATCCTGCCTGAATTAGTTCGTATAATTCAGTTTCCACTGTATTTAAAAAATTATGAAATTTCAATAGTATAGTCATGAATGTCTTAAAAATAAATCCGGGAATAATTTATAGCGAATTCGGTTATCTGCTCCGAGAGCGATCTTGCTCGGTGTAGGAGTATAGTTTACTCTGCTCTCAAAAAGCTGTGCTCTACTCTGAGGCAATCTATGACGTCATGAACACTGGCAAAGTTCGACTGTTTTTGGAGCAGGAGCACAACATGAACTGCTATGGTGTAAAGCATACACTGCTCGTTTGGCGCGAAGTTTAAATTTAATTAAACTTATATTATATAATATTATATTTATTATATTATATATATTATTATACATTATATTATGCAATATATTTTCTTCTTAAATGTAAAATTATTTTACTTAAAATTAAATATTTTATGATGTATACATAAATAATATTTTTAAAAGCAAAAAATTTGATATTTTTATTAGAATTTTAAAATCTTATTCGGTCAATGTTTTGATATAGCAGAATTGTTAATCACAAAATTATCGAATAATATTTCTGATATAAATTTTGTTTACATTATTTGACATTTTGAACTACTAACAACAACAATAATAAAATAAGTGAAAAGGTTATTTCTTTGAGACCAAATAATTACTTTATAATGAGTATTTTTATTTAAATATTAAAAATATTGAAAATTATTTACTGTTTTTATTAAATATTAAAATATTGAATGTTAGTCTTTCTCTAAATACAAAATTCATTATAAAAAACATAATTCGTCTTCACTACTATCGCTAGAGGTGTCAATTAAATCTGTTAGAAGTGAAATTTTTAAATTTGCCGCTTCTCTTGACATTTTTTTAAACTGCACTAACAAAATTGTGGGAGCAAATTTTGTTGCACCTTTCGATCCTTGAGAGTGCACACTTCTTAATTCGAACACAAATAACGATCTGCGCCGGAGCAGTGCTGCCAAAACGAATACTCGAAACGATCTGCGCCGGAGCAGTGCTGCTAAAGCGAATACTCCAAACGATCTGCACTAGAGCACATTTGTCAAACCGAACATGCTACTCCTGCTCTGGAGCACTCCGAGAGTGCTCCGGTGCAGATAACCGAATTCGCTATTAGTTTTAGGTCCGGGAAATCCGGGATTTTGCCGGGAATTTGAAAATCATAATTCGCTAGACACCCTGTTTAAGAGGAAAAAGAAAATTTGGAACCGCGTTTCTGGATATATTTAAAAATAATCTTTCGGATTTTGGTAATTTAGAAAATATTCTTGTAAATTCTTAAATGATTTTTAACTACAAAAGGAACATATTTTGTACAATTATGATAGAAAGTAAATTTTAATCACAAGAAATTATTGAATTTGTGCGTTAAACGCTAACCTATTTTTCACATTGCGATTACATTCTTTAAGTAAGCATCGTCAATTATTAACAGCCATTTTATAATTCAATAATTGTAAATTCTAGTTCAACAAGTATTAAATATTTCTTTGTCGTGACTCAGTTTTAAATTTTTCCATGGAATTTGAAATCTAATTCCAAATTTTAAGCACAATTTAAAATGAAAGCTGTAATTAAACTACGGGTTTAAATAAAAAACTGAGTTCCAACTGGAAATTGAAATCTACAATTCAGAATCAAAATTCTGAATTAAATGTTCCGTTTTATAAAAATGCTATGAAAATCACTTTTGAAATTGACTTTCCAAGAGGAAAAATATATTTACAGCCATTTTCCTATTTTCTTTAAGTCTACTTTCTCAAAATTGATTTAAAGTACAGGAATAGCTTTGGAATGTAAAAGAAAAATGGTATTTTTTCTTAAATTAATGTTCGTAAGTCTCGCGAAAGGAATGGTTTACGTCTTGCTTTGTTTTTGAGATTTCTCCCCATCTCTTACTTTTTCGGTTTTAACGTTCACTTTTTCTTCTGTAACTTTCTTGGGAGGCTTCTTTGTCTCCTCGAGGATGATTTTGTCATTTTTTGCTTTCGAAGTTGAAGCAAGTGACGGGAAAGCTTCTTTTAATGGAATTCGAGCAACGAAATCATTAAATGGTGAACCAATGAACAAATAATCTTTGTGAATGAATGCAGAACTTATACCAGTTACTTTACCATCAGTTCCATAAGCGACATCGATAATTTTTCCATTAGAATCTATTCGTAATATTACTGAATTATGAGAACCCAAACTGTTGACACTCGAAAAATGTCCAATTGAGTGAATAATTTTTTCTATGCATTCATTCGGATAGTAAGTTTGTACAAGTTTGAAAGGAGCTTCGATAGAGTACAACAATCTTACTAAGAGTTTCCGGATATTTGGATGAGGTGTCAGAGATTGGCTGATTTGAGGATTTTGCGAATCAGCGTAGGCAGCAAGTGTTATGAAAAATCCACCCTGTCCATCGCTATCTATATTGTCGGGCATACCAGGAAGTCCGTCGATAAATAATTCTTTTTTCCCTGCCTTTGGTCCCTTTAAGTTGTACTTGACAACACGAGAAATTGCAGTTTCAGCTACAAGAACGAAACTTTCATCGTCGCTTAAAATCACACCGTTTCCGAATCCAAGATTCTCCACAAGTATTTCATTTCTCTTTGTTTTAGCGTTATATCGTAGAAGCCTTGAAATCAATAAACATATTTATTTTAAACATAAAATTTATATCATTAAAATTTTATTATTAAACAGGGTTGCCACAGGTCAGGGAAAAGTCAGGGATTTTTATTAAAAGTACTGAAGAAAATTAAATTTTTAGAATTCATAAGAAAATTCTGAATTTGTTTGTCTTATTTGTTTGTCTCATAAACTACATAACTACCACGAATTCTAATTTTTTCTAATTCTAACAAGAATTAATTTTTAATATAATTTAAGTAATTCAAAAGTTTTAATGCAATTATCTTGATACATAACAAAATTCTTCGAAGGAATTCAATTATTTTTAAAAAATTTAACGAACATTTCGTCAAGAATTCAATTATCTTTACAAATAGCACAATTTTTAGACAAAAATTAAATTATTTTCAATATTTACTATTTTCATAAAATTTATAAAAAGATTTAAATATTGAAAAAATTTTTTGATAAAATTCTACGAAAACATTAAATTATTTTCATAAATAATAAAATTTCATTTAACAATTCAATTATTTTCATCGCAGAATTTCATCACATTTTTAATACAATTTTAAATAAATTCCTTGAAAAATGCAATTATTCTTAAAAATTTTACTAAAACTTTTCTAAAGAATTCAATTTATATTCAATAAAATAATTCTAATATTTTTATAAATAACTTTTAATTAGAAAATCAATTATTTTAAGGAATTTTAATAAAATTCTTTTCCAAAATTCAAGTATTTTGATAAATTTCAAAATTCTTCACAAGAATTCAATTCTTTTGAAAAGTAATAAAATACTTTGCAGAAATTAAATTATTTTCAAAATTTTATTAAAATTCTTGTCAAGAATTAAATGATCTTTAATTGAATTCATGCGAAGAATTTTGGTAAATTTTGTTTAAATAATTGAAATTTTCCCAAGAATTTTATTAAAATTTTTGACAGTAATTTAATCCTTGGGAAAATTCCAATTATTTAAACAAAATTCAATAAAATTCTTCGCATAAATTCAATTATTTTCATAAATTATTATTTAAACTGATCTAAGGAATTCAATTATTTTTTAAAATTTTAATAAAGTTCTTCAAAAAGTTTTCAATTATTTTCAAAACTTGTTATAAAATTCTTTAATAAAATAAATTTCAGTAAAATTTTAATTAAGTTCCTCAAAGAAAATTAAATGTTTTCAAAAGTTGTTAATAAAATTCTTCGTAAAAATTAAATTTTAAGAAACATTAAATTATTGAATAAATTAGGTATTTATCATTATATTTAAATAATTGATTTGAAAATTCTCAAAGAACTTTTTCAAAAAATATTAAAAATAATTGATTTAAAGAAGAATTTTAGGTAAAAATTCTAGAAAATGTTAATTAAGTTGAAATGATGAAAATTATTTTGAAGAAGTTACAGTAAAAATATGCTTATAATATAAAATAATAATTTTGTCACTCGGACATCTTTAATTGTCATAAAACATAAAGAAATTAAGAAAATCTTAATTAAAAACAATTAAATTAATTATTATTATAAAATAATATCTAATGATTAAATATTTATTTAAAAAAGAAGTTATTGATGTTTTTGAATAATTTTACTTTTGAAGATATTTGTAAATAAATGTAGAACATCGTTCTTAGTATCTAATCATTTTTAAAGTGAATCAGAATATTCTTTAGGGTCAGGGAAAAAGTCAAAATTCTGTCTAGAAATCAGAGAAAAACAAAATTCAATTTTTGTGGCAACCCTGTTAAAATAAAATCTTTCGAGTTTGGTTAAAAGTTGCCTGATTGTGGCTTACATTTCAAAAACTTACTTGAAAAAACGTTTATTTTAAGCAAAGTAAATGAACTATTATAATTTTTAATTAATTATTATAATCTTTGATAAATTTAATTAAGAGAAACTGAAAGAAAATTATTAAAAATAAATGTTGCATTATCATAAAATAGTTTTTTGTATGAAAGATATAATGAATAATAAAAAAAAATAAATAATAATAAAACCATAATAAATTACCTTCCACTTGGGTCCGCAAGGAATGTGTAAACTCCATCATGAAGAGAAAATTCGGTGCTAGAATCTGTCCAATAAATATCTCCATTACTTGCTACATCCAATGAGTTAATAATTTTTGGAATTTTGCTATCAATTGGTGTATTAATGTCAACAATTTTTTCATATTTTCCTGAAGTCACATCAAGTTTGAAAATTCCATAATAAGCATCAGCTACGAAAAGTTGACCATTTTTATCGAATCTCATACCTAAAGGTCTACCACAAATATTTTCTTGCCAATGACCATCTAGAAAAATGTACCACAATTACAATTTAAATATTCACTAGAATTAAACATTAAAAAGAATCAATTATTTTGGTTTTCAGACATTTTTTATGAAACAACCTTTAATTTTTAGTATAATTTATTTGCTTTTTGCTTCCTCATGAGGAAGCTTTGGATTCGTGACGATTTTCAATTTTTCAAAAGAAGGTTATATGGACTCATTTTCATCTAAAACATACATATGTTTTAGATGAAAATGAGTCCATATAACCTTCTACTATTCTTAAGTTATATTATACTATATAACCTTCTATTCAATTCTGAGCAAATGTCCAGATGTATGTGTGTGTATGTCACAAAAATTGTGTACAAATTATCTCAGACAAATTTTGATGGATTGTCCTGAAATTTTGCAGGTTTATTGCAGTCATTAATACCTAAAATCTGACACAAGGATTTTGGAAAATATCTACAAAATTTTTTTTATACAATTTTTTTAAAATTCAGAAATAGTACATTGTACAACTAGTGGCGAAAGTGTGATTTTTCGAGAGTGAAGTTTCATTCTTTCACCACGAGTTGTGCACTACGTTTTCTCCAACGCCTTGCGAGGAAAGGTTTCTTCGTGAGTTTCGTATAATTTTAATTTAACGTGTGCTTATGTTTAATACAATAAAAGACGAATGTTTTGAGTGGGGAAGAAGTTAGATACAAAATAAATCTCGGTCAAAGAACAAGAAAAAAGAATAAATTCATGATTTACTTTCGCCACGCCAAATTTACTTTCGCCACGCTGAATTTACTTTCGCCACGCCAAATTTTACTTTCGCCACGCTCTTCAGAGCAGTTGAGAAAAGTTCTACTTTCGCCACACTTTTCTACCAAGAAAAGTACTCCTTTCAGAGCAAGTGTTGGAGAAAATTTTTTTTTTGTATTTTTTGAAATAATTTTTTTATTTGTTAACATTTTCATTAATTATTCTCAAAATTACATTCCTGACAAGAAAACGAATCGATTGATGTTTACAAAGTATATATATATTTTATTAAAATTTATAAAATTAATAAATAATTTTCTTTTTCACAAAAAATTAGAATTTTTTAATTTTTAAAATTTTGTACGTGAATTACGTCACGAATTTCTATTTATATATTGAGGAAGCTAAATGGTCATGAAATGAACAACTTGTTTTTAGTTACTTTAGATTGACTTTAAAAGATAATTTCCTTATTTTTAAAATAAATTCTACTTGTTATACAGAATAATTTATTTTCTTAATGTTACAGAAACAATAAAATCAGTATGTATAAATAATTCCAGACTTCGCACTCGATAATTAATTTTTAAAAAAGCAGCAAAAACTAGCTTTCAAACTAAAAAAGTAGTAAAAAAGTAGCTATCGAAAAATTAAATTTGACGACAAAAAAAACTCGTTTTAGACACTTCATAAAACTGACAAAAATTCCATTCTATATTTTATTTTTCTGACTTTTTCCTAATTTTCACCAAAAATATTTACTTCTTTCTTATCCTGCTAATAAATTGAATTCCTGCAACGAATTATATTATTTATGAAAGAATTTAAATACATGTTTATTAAAATAATTTAATTTTTGCGAAGAATTTTATAACAATGTTTAAATAATTGATTTCTTTCAACTATAATTTTAAGCAAATTCTTATTTAAATAATTGAATTCCTGAGAAATTTTTATTATTCAAGAAAAAAATTGAATTCTTTCGGAGATTTTCTCAAAATATTTTTAAATAATTGAATCCTACTGTTTGGAAATTTTATGAAAATAGTAGATATTGAAAATCATTGAATTGCGAAAAGTTTTTAAAAATAATTAAATTTTACAAAGAATTCTATTAAAAATTTGACAATAATTGAATGTATGTGATGCATTTTATTAAATTATTTTTGAAAATAATTGAATTCCTAAAAAGTATTTTATTATATTTATGAAAATAATTGAATTCTTGCGAACGATTTTATTTTATTTTTTTTAAATAATTAAATTTCAATGAAGAATTTTATTACTTTTAAAAAGTAATTAAATTCCTGTAATGAAAATTGTTATTTTTGAAAATAATTGCATTTTGCAAAGAATTTTATTAAAATGCTTCAAAATAATTGAATTTTCGGGAATAATTTTGTTATTTATGGACATAATTGAATTCTTTCAAAGAATTATTTATGTAAATAATTGAATTCTTGGGAGGAATTTTATTAAAATGTAAAAGAATAATATTGAATTATTTTTAAAAAATTTAATTAAAATTGTATTTAAAATAATTGATTTCTTTCGAAAAATTTTGTTAAAACATTTAAAAATAATTGAATTCCTGTGATAAATATTGTTATTTATGAAAATAATTTAATTTTCCAAAGAATTTTATTAAAATGCCTCAAAATAATTGAATTTTCGGGAATAATTTTGTTATTCATCAACATAATTGAATTCTTTCAAAGAATTATTTATGTAAATAATTGAATTCTTGGGAAGAATTTTATTAAAATGTAAAAGAATAATTGAATTATTTTTAAAAAATGTAATTAAAATTGTATTTAAAATAACTGATTTCTTTCGAAACATTTTTTTAAATATTTGAAAATAATTGAATTCCTGTGAAAAATTCTAATATTTTTGTAAATAATTGAATACTTCCAAAGAATTTAAAAAAACGTTTTTTTAAATAATTGATTTTTTCGAGGAATTGATATTAAATTTTTAAGAATAATTACATTTTTTCAGCAATTCCTGTAAAATTGTATTAAAAATAATTGAAATCGTACGACGAGTTTTATTATTTATGAAAATAATTGAATTCTTGCTTAGAATTATATCAAAACTTTTTTTAAAAAATTGAATTTACATGAAAAATGTTATATTATTACTAAAAGTAATTGAATTATTGTGAAGAATTGTATAAAAATTTTGTTAAATAATTGGTTTTTGCGAAATTTTATGAAAATACTAGATATTGAAAATAATTGAATTTCGAATATTTTTTGAAAATAATTAAAACGTTTTAAAGAATTATTTGATTATAATTTTTGAGAACAGTTTCTTGATTTCTAGTATTAGCGAATTTAAATTTTAAAGTAGTGGAAATTCTAAAAAAAAAACAGGAATAGTATCTTTTAGTGGCTGAAATTTAAAAAAAGTATCCAAATAGTTAATAGTAGCATAATGTAAAAAAAAGTATTAAACATCAGTAAGTTTTAGTAGTTGAGTGCAAAGCCTGTAATTCTTAATAAAATTGATTAAACATTTATGAAAATTCTTACCACATTCTTTTCCAAATTTCGCAATCGGAGATACCTCTTGGTTTTCCTTTATTTCTACTACATAACCGCCACTGATTCCGGTGTAAAGTTTACCTTTGTATGATGTAAATGCCTCTGGTCCGTGTAATTTACCTTTCATTATTATTTCTGCATTATTTAATCGATTATTTAATCCCAAATTGCCTTCTAATTCCTTCGGAGTTGTTATTCTGTATTCAAGGAACGTAAAAGATACAAATATTATTTTGACATGAAAATTACTAAGTAATTCCTGAAAGACTTTAATTTATAAAATTCTTATCACACTAATATTAAAATAATAAAAAATTATTCATACACAATGTATCTTCATGTGGAATTATTGTTATTTTTTAAACAATAGTAAAAATAAATTAAGTATTGAAGTCAATGTATAAGGGGCATTCCAGGCCAAATTGGAAATTATTTTGCTTTTGCATCTCAATTTTTTTTTCTTTTAATACTCTTTGAAATGAGCTACCTTGATTTTTTCAAATTTTTTCATAAAGCGGTTCAGGAGATACAGATTTTTGAAAGATGACGTTTTTTACGTAAATTTTTGTTTTAAATGCTTATAACTCGGTCAAAAATTGATCAAATTGAACGTTTTTATAATGAAAAGTTTTGTTTTCACGCGTAGATTTTAATGAAAATATTTAAAAAAATTTTTTAAATAATTTACGATAAGATTTAAAAATTTTTAAAATAAAATTTCATTTTTAACAATGTATATATTGATATATTTTTTCAAAATTTTTTGTAAGAAACTAACACTAAATTAACAATTTTTAAGCCTTGTCCGATCGTGGGCAAACGATGGGATCTATTTCTTTAAAAATTTTTAATTTTTATATACACAGTGAAAACGGTAGGCCTAACTTGGCTTGGAGAGAATCAATCTAAAAACACATTTGCTGTGAAAAATTTGTGTGATTTTATCAAATGGCAAGTTAGTCATTTGGCCACCACTGTGTATATAAAAATTAAAAATTTCAAAATAAATAGATCCCATCGTTTGCCCACGATCGGACAAGGCTTAAAAATTGTTAATTTAGTGCTAGTTTCTTACAAAAAATTTTGAAAAAAATTGATCAATACATACATTGTTAAAAATAAAATTTTATTTAAAAATTTTTTAAATCTTATCGTAAATTGTTTAAAAATTTTTTGAAAATATTTTTATTAAAAACTACGCGTGAAAACGAAACTTTCCATTATAAAAACGTCCAATTTGATCAATTTTTAACCGAGTTATAAGCATTTAAAAAAAAATTTACGTAAAAAACGTCATTTTTCAAAAATCTGTATCTCCTGAACCGCTTTATGAAATAATTTGAAAAAAATCAAGGTAGCTCATTTCAAAGAGTACTAAAAGAAAAAAAATGTTTAAAAAATATTTCAGTTGCAAAAGCAAAATAATTTCCGATTTGGCCTGGAATCCCCATAAATAATCATCAAGAAATTAAAAAACTTGATAAATTATGAAATAATTACTCACGTATATTCTGTAAATTTAGCCTCGGGAGGATAACCAGGGGCAAATGTAAGAATGGCGAAAATCACTCCGATATAAATAATTCCGGCTCCAATTGATTTTAAATAACCCATCTTGTAAAAAAACTGAATTCTCTTAACAGGTAAGAAAATTTTACTGTCAAAGAAAACTGTAAACTCGTAACGTTTTTTATAATCACATATATATATATATAGATAGATATAAAGAGGACCTCTGTTGATGAACGTCAGTTGAAGTAACTTAACTCTAGTTAGAATTTCTGATTCAAAGAAACCTGTTACCGCTATATCACGGATATCACGGGTCAGTTCTTCATTCTTCGAGGTCAATGGACTGTCTCAAGAATTGTACACGTATTCGATTTCTTTTAAGGTCAAGAACATCCTGTTATATCTTATATATTTCTTGTTTATTTCGAGTCGTGACAGACAATTTTTATAGTTAAAAAAAGAAATGTATGTGCATAATTATTTATCGCGTGTATCAGCTGCAAAAAATAAACCTCAATCAACCAATGAATGTGTTATGTTGAAGATGCGTCGTGTCATGGTTAGGTTCCAAGATCAAGGACAAAAATAATGAGAATGTAGAAAATTATGAAAGTGTAATTGTGCGGTAAAGTGTAATTGTCAACAATCTAAAAACATATTATTCATACAATTAATACTATATTCATAAGAAAATTATTTGTTTTAATAAATATATAATATATTTCAATTTAATTTAATGTCATCGCTGTCTATTGTCTATTATTATTTTATGAACGATTATATACAAAATTTGAAAAATAAAATATTGGATTTAAAAATAATCCTTTTCACATAATAACACTAGGTAACAATAAAAAAATTTATTTATCTGTATGAATTCTAAATTTCCAATTCACTTCAATTCTTCTAAAAAAATAAAAAAGACAGGTTATAATTTTGCGGGAAAAGTTTGAAATAACCTCAAGTCCGCCATATTGAACGTGTAATTTACAGTGTTTTACAGTTCGTTACGTAAACTTTGGATAATATTTGTCTATTGTGAACTCGACCTAAACCTAATAAGGCTATTCAAGTTCGGTGGGGGAAAATTCAAGATGGATGCTAACTGGTGCACCAACATTGTATAGAAATAGAAAGTGTATGGGATAGAGTCTAATTTTTTAAATATCTCGCTTAAACGAAATTTTTAACCATAAGTTTATTAGGATTTTATGTTTCATTTTTAAAGAACTATTTTTTGCAATAATAAAAATCGATTTTATTTTTTTATTGATTTTATTATTGCAAAAAATAGTTCTTTAAAAATGAAACATAAAATCCTAATAAACTTATGGTTAAAAATTTCGTTTAAGCGAGATATTTAAAAAATTAGACTCTATCCCATACACTTTCTATACAATGTTTGTGCACCAGTTAGCATCCATCTTGAATTTTCCCCCACCCAACTTGAATAGCCTTATATTGAAGGCCAACGCAGAATAGATCTGTAACCGGAACCGCAATCATAAGCGTAACCGTAAGAATGAGTTAAAGAAGGATAGGTATATTGTTTATCCTTCTCTAACTCATTCTTACGCTTACGGTTACGATTGCGGTTCCGGTTACAGATCTATTCTGCGTTGGCCTTTAGATGAATCCACATATACCAAATTGAATTACACGAATGACTATTACGTCGAATCCACAACCTCAGAATCTGTATTGTTAGGAATTTATTTTTATCGAATTTTAAATGTAAGGAAATTTTATTTTCTGGAATTAACATTTTACCGAAAATGAATATGAGAGAATAATTTATGATCGAATCGACATGTGCTGTAATTATAAATTATCATAATTTCTGTTTGTCTGAATTTTAACATATAACCTAATTTTAAATGTTAGAATTCTTAAAGTTTGTACCTAAGGAAGATGGAAACGAAATGTAATATAGAGTAAAGGCATTTTCATAGAATTAGTTTTGAGGATAATAATTATATAAACGAATAATAAAGAAATCTATTTTCAAATGTAAATAATAACTGTTGAAACGAATTTGTTTTTCTAGATTTATAATCTGACATAATTTCTATTAGCACAAAAACATAATTAACAGAATTTAGAATGGTCGATTTTTCATTGTGCCGAAAGTTGAAATAGTCGAAATTAAATTAAACCGAATTTTATTTTAAAATTGACCAATCAAAATTTTCTTGATAATTTCTGAAAATTTTGATTGGTCAATTTTAAAATAAAATTCGGTTTAATTTAATTTTGACTATTTCAACTTTCGGCACAATGAAAAATCGACCATTCTAAATTCTGTTAATTATGTTTTTGTGCAAATAGAAATTATGTCAGATTATAAATCTAGAAAAACAAATTCGTTTCAACAGTTATTATTTACATTTGAAAATAGATTTCTTTATTATTCGTGTATTTATAATTATTATCCTCAAAACTAATTCTATGAAAATGCCTTTACTCTATATTACATTTCGGTTCCATCTTCCTTACAAACTTTAAGAATTCTAACCATTCTAACATTTAAAATTAGGTTATGTTAAAATTCAGACAAACAGAAATTTGTGAATTCGACGTAATAGTCATTCCTGTAATTTACGGAGTAATAATAAGGAGACTGTACTACCAGTGAGATACCGTGCCAAATGTCTGCCTTGGTTCACTGAGTAGTAAAGACTTCTCAAAAATAAAGCGCATGCGCAGTTTGCAACTATCTTCGTCAGTCTTGAAAGAACGATGAGAGAGATCATTATTTTGACTACGTGCGAGTTAGAAAGTGTGGTTATGTTTTATTGTTGACAACAGCAACTATACGGGGAAATCAAGATTTAAATAAGAAAAAATATTAATTAACAAACTGCAAAGTAAGAGTAAGTACAATATATTATAATATTAATAATTTGTAATATAGTTGTGAGTAGATATTAATAAAAAGATTATTTTTGTCGAACCGGAGTAATTCTTTTCCTTGTATGATAAAGTGAATGAATACAATATAATATAATGCTATAATGCTAATATAATTAATATCTACTCACACATTTCCTATATTACAATTTATTAATATCATTTAATAGTATAATATGTATTGTCAACAGTAAAACATAACCACACTTTCTAACTCGCACGTCAAAATAATGATCTCTCTCATCGTTCTTTCAAGAGTGACGAAGATAGTTGCAAACTGCACATGCGCGTTATTTTTGAAAAGTCATTACTACTCAGTGAACCAAGGCAGAAATCTGGCACCAGTTTGACTAGGGGATACGCTGGAGAGCAGTCTCCTTATTATTACTCCGTGCTGTAATTCAATTTGGTGGTAAGTTCTCAAATGCGCCACTGGACAAATGCGCCACCGGTCAAATGCGCCACGGATCAATTGCGCCACTGGACAAAAGCCCCACATTTGTCATATTTGAGGAAAGTGAAAAGTTTGTTCGAGAGATGGAGCTAGGTGTTCTTGGTGTAGAAATTTGTCAAGTGAATTCAATTTATTGTCAATTTCGCTCCGTATAGTGAAAATAAATTTAAGTGAATGGTTAATTAAATGGAAATTAATTAATTGTTCTATATCAATTGCGGATAACATTTTTTAAGTAAGTTGCTGTTTTTATTTTATATTAATAATAATAATAATAATAAATATTATTATTATTGTTTAAAGAAATGTGGAAATTTTTTTTAATAACTAATTTATGAAACATTTTATTTTTAAATCGTTTTTATTTATATTTTTTCTTTGGAATAATTTAATAATTGCTTTAATTTAATAATAAGATTTCTTTATATTTTCAAAAGATCTTTATTTTTATAGAATTATGTATTTTAATTAAATAACGAGATTAAGAATTCTTTGTTGTATTATAGTTAATTTTACTTACCTAATTATAAATTAATTGCCTTTATTTTAAATTTAGAAAGTACTTAATTTTTCTTGAAGACTAATAAAATATAATTTATTAACAATTGTAATATTGAATATAATTTTCTAATATGAATTTCATATTTAATTAATTTTTTAAATTATATAACGTAAAAGTTTTTCTGAATTCACGTTCATACTTTTAGAAATGATAAGACTTCTTACAAAGTTTCAAATATTACGGAAGTTTAGAAAAATTATTCCAATTTTTATTTTATAATTAATGGTATTTTTTTTATATTGAAAACAGTAATATTTTAAAAAGTAATATTTTTTTGGAAACGTTTAATATATAAAAAAGCAGGCTTCGCACTGACGTACTAAAATCTATACTATTTAATCCTTTTTTTGTCAAATTTCTGACACTAAAAGCTACTTTTTTCCAAATTACATTAGTTTCAATCCTCTAATGATTGAAAAAAAAATTATTCTCAATCAATTTTTTGTGATTCGAAAATGAAAATTTATAATTGTTATTGAAAATTCTTTTAAACAATTGTAAATTGAAGAATGTTCGCAATATTTTTAAAAGATTAAATTACCATGTATTGATGCGCAAAACTCCAAGGATTAATTTAAAAAAAGACAAATCAGTAATCACCAATATTATAGAAATTGTGTAGAATTTTCTGCCAAAATGCAGCCGAAAATCGACTTTTAATCTTAAAAATCCGCTTGAAAGCGTGAAGTTTCTAACAAAACAAGAGAAGATCTTATTTATATATTCATTTGCAATTTTATTTTTCCTGGAACTCGAGTCGATTTTCGTCTGCATTTTGGCATTAAAATAATTTTTTTGCCAATAAATTTATATTCTTAATTTTATTACAATTTTTATACTCACTTTTTAATTTTTCTATAGTTATTAATATAATCTTTCTACAATTTTTCTATAATTTTTCCATAGAATAATGCAATTTGTAATTGTTTTTGTTTATTATTTTTGAGAGATAGGATAGATATTAATTTCGCAGTAATAGAGGGGTAAATAATATTCAATACCATTGTCAAATAACACAGGCACACAAAAAAAAATAAAAAAGTCAAAACCCAGAGGTTACACCCCCCTATCCCCATGTTTTTGGGGTCGCTGAAACCGAATATGACCATGAAAAATTTTTTTCGTCGGCTATTTTCCCGCTACCACCCCCTTACACCTGCTCCCTGGGGTTGGAATTTCAGTTTTAAAAAAGTGGACAAGGGTGTCTATTCCTATGTTTTTTGGGTCGCTAACACCAAAAAAGACTACCAAAAACAAATTCTTCCCTCCCTTAACCCCCTACAACCCCCTTAACAACCCCAGGGTGTGGGGTCGAAATTCGAATTTTCGCGAAAAGTCGATTGCGGTGTCTAAACCAACGTTTTTTGATTCGCTAAAACCAAAAAAGACTACCAAAATCAAATCCTTTCCACTCTCAACCTCCTACAACCCCCTTCAATAATTTTTGATAATTAATATTTAATTTTCAATTTCCCAAAAATCGGTCCGTTTTATTTTAAAAAAATTATTGCAGGGGGTAGTAGGGGGTTGAGGGTGTAAAGGATTTGATTTTGGTAGTCTTTTTTGGTTTTAGCGACCCAAAAAACATAGGAATTGACACCCTTGTCCACTTTTTTAAAACTGAAATTCCAACCCCAGGGAGCAGGTGTAAGGGGGTGGTAGCGGGAAAATGGCCGACGAAAAAAATTTTTCATGGTCATATTCGGTTTCAGCGACCCCAAAAACATGGGGATAGGGGGGTGTAACCTCTGGGTTTTGACTTTTTTATTTTTTTTGTGTGCCTGTGTTATTTGACAATGGTATTGAATATTATTTACCCCTCTATTACTGCGAAATTAATATCTATCCTATCTCTCAAAAATAATAAACAAAAACAATTACAAATTGCATTATTCTATGGAAAAATTATAGAAAAATTGTAGAAAGATTATATTAATAACTATAGAAAAATTAAAAAGTGAGTATAAAAATTGTAATAAAATTAAGAATATAAATTTATTGGCAAAAAAATTATTTTAATGCCAAAATGCAGACGAAAATCGACTCGAGTTCCAGGAAAAATAAAATTGCAAATGAATATATAAATAAGATCTTCTCTTGTTTTGTTAGAAACTTCACGCTTTCAAGCGGATTTTTAAGATTAAAAGTCGATTTTCGGCTGCATTTTGGCAGAAAATTCTACACAATTTCTATAATATTGGTGATTACTGATTTGTCTTTTTTTAAATTAATCCTTGGAGTTTTGCGCATCAATACATGGTAATTTAATCTTTTAAAAATATTGCGAACATTCTTCAATTTACAATTGTTTAAAAGAATTTTCAATAACAATTATAAATTTTCATTTTCGAATCACAAAAAATTGATTGAGAATAATTTTTTTTTCAATCATTAGAGGATTGAAACTAATGTAATTTGGAAAAAAGTAGCTTTTAGTGTCAGAAATTTGACAAAAAAAGGATTAAATAGTATAGATTTTAGTACGTCAGTGCGAAGCCTGCTTTTTTATATATTAAACGTTTCCAAAAAAATATTACTTTTTAAAATATTACTGTTTTCAATATAAAAAAAATACCATTAATTATAAAATAAAAATTGGAATAATTTTTCTAAACTTCCGTAATATTTGAAACTTTGTAAGAAGTCTTATCATTTCTAAAAGTATGAACGTGAATTCAGAAAAACTTTTACGTTATATAATTTAAAAAATTAATTAAATATGAAATTCATATTAGAAAATTATATTCAATATTACAATTGTTAATAAATTATATTTTATTAGTCTTCAAGAAAAATTAAGTACTTTCTAAATTTAAAATAAAGGCAATTAATTTATAATTAGGTAAGTAAAATTAACTATAATACAACAAAGAATTCTTAATCTCGTTATTTAATTAAAATACATAATTCTATAAAAATAAAGATCTTTTGAAAATATAAAGAAATCTTATTATTAAATTAAAGCAATTATTAAATTATTCCAAAGAAAAAATATAAATAAAAACGATTTAAAAATAAAATGTTTCATAAATTAGTTATTAAAAAAAATTTCCACATTTCTTTAAACAATAATAATAATATTTATTATTATTATTATTATTAATATAAAATAAAAACAGCAACTTACTTAAAAAATGTTATCCGCAATTGATATAGAACAATTAATTAATTTCCATTTAATTAACCATTCACTTAAATTTATTTTCACTATACGGAGCGAAATTGACAATAAATTGAATTCACTTGACAAATTTCTACACCAAGAACACCTAGCTCCATCTCTCGAACAAACTTTTCACTTTCCTCAAATATGACAAATGTGGGGCTTTTGTCCAGTGGCGCAATTGATCCGTGGCGCATTTGACCGGTGGCGCATTTGTCCAGTGGCGCATTTGAGAACTTACCGGTATATGGATTCATCTCCTTATATTGCCTTCAGCATCTTTGGCTACCCTACCCTGCAAGCTTCTGTAGTAACTGTAGCAAACTATAGTTTGTTCCACTTATCACCTGTCATTATTTAAGTGAAATCTATTATTTACAATCAGGATATTTATTTTTTTAAAGCATCATATTTTAAAATTTTACAAAATCAAAATGTTAACAGTTAATGTTGATGCTGGTGATTCATTGAAAGCAGTTTTTACTTCATATGATCCATTAACAGTTTCTCAAATTTGGGATCAAATTGAACAAACAAATGTAAGTATATTTTATTTCTATTAAAATTCAACACTTATAATAACAATTCTAATTCTATTGATTTGCATAACAAGAACAAATTTTGAAATCTGGATATTATAAATAACGTCTTATTATTAAATATTGATAGGACATGAAATGCGCATATTTTGTAAACATAACCTAAATTGACAAAATTACAGGAATAGGAAATTTAATTATGAAATGATTTGGAGAGATTGTTAACTTTTTCCTTTAATAAATAATATTATTATTAATAGTTTTTTCTAGAAAAACAAAAATTCTAATACAAAACCTTCAATTTTTTCCATTTCTGACAATAATTTCTTTCTAAATAACTTAATTCTTGAAGTACTATCATAAAATTATTACTTAGAAATTATTTAATGAATAATTTTATTTATACATTTCAAAATTAATTGAATTTTAAAAGAGTTGCGTTTACAATTTTCATAAATAGATGAACTTCAAAAGATTTTAATTTGAAATTTTGTAAAATTTCAATTTTAAATGAATTTAATTAAAAATTTTAAAACACCTAGATTTAAAAAAAATTTTAATAACTAAAATTCTTCTGAAATTAGTTAAATTTTTAAATAAATAGGTAGGGGAGACTGGGGCGAAAAGTTAAATTTTGCATAAATGATTTTTTTTAGACAATATAATCCGCTTAGATGCAAATATTTATACATCAATATTGTAGGGCAACTTGTCCCCTACCACTTTCAATAAAAAAGTTTCTGATATTTTCGCATACAATACATGTTTTGTCCTTTTTTGAAAATTTTGTTTTTTTAACTTTTCGCCCCATGCTGGGGCGAAAAGTTAAATGGCTGGGGCAAAAAGTTAAATTATATTTTACTAAAAATATATTATATTATTATATTATTATATTATTATTATATTTTTACTAAAACTATTTTCTGATAGGTGTTAAGTAGTAGATAAGTTAAAGTATACGTAAACAAGTAATTTAGTTAATAAAAGATCTTTGTTTACTTAACAAAAGCTTTAGAATAGTTATAAAGTTAATAAATTGAAATTTCAAAAGAAAAAAATTTTTTTGGTTTATTTCACGTGAGCGGTCTTGTTTTTTGATAGAGTACTTGCCTAATGTCAAATAAATCATTTTTAAACAAATAAACCCAAAAAAACGAAAAATAAAAAAAATTTTTTTAATAACATGTAAAAATACATTTAACTTTTCGCCCCACCCATTATTTAACTTTTCGCCCCAGGGTGCGTTTTTGGCTTTAACAACAAATATAAAAAATCTGACTAAAGATATTTAGCAAATACCTTTATAGGTATCTCTTCAGGGGACCCAAATAATGAAGTAAAAAAATCGCGGTGAGAATAAATGCAAAAAATATACTTAAAAGTTGATATTTTCTTTTACGAAAAAATTTTCAAAAGTAGGGTGAAAAAAAATTTAAATATGGACACCACAAAAATTAGCAAAATGTCACATAACTCCAGACATTTATTTAGGGTGATAACACCCTTCTATAATTAAAATTGCAATGCTCTAACTATTTCTGTTCGAAAGATAATGAATTTTAACTGTTTTCACAATTTAACTTTTCGCCCCAGTCTCCCCTATATTTAATTGACTGTTAAAAATAATGGATTTATAGAAGAATTTTAATTAAAAACACTTAAAAAATGAATTTTAAAGTAATTACAAATGATTGCAGAAATGCAATTATTTTTCAAAAGTAGGGGAGAGTCTCCAGTTGTGAGACGGGTTTCATTTTTGACCCGTAAATTGTAAACGGGTAAACGAAATTGTTAATAAAATACACCGTTCGAAAGGTAACAGAAATACGCAACTTTTATTAAAAGAAAGTATAGTGTTTCGATGAACTCAAAAAGTTTTACGATACATTTTCCGAGCACATCGCTTTTTTCAAAAAAAAAAAATGTCTCCAGTTGTGAGACACTCATTAAAAATTGCTAAAATTTAATAAGTTTGACATAAAACGTTATGTTTAGTAGAAATAATTAAATATATTAATAATCTCTTATTATATTAAGTTGAAGAACGACCGACCGACCGACCGACCGACCCTAGCCGTATATATATGTATATCTTTTAAAAATAATATTAACACAAATGTATACATATTCACAATGTCACGCATGCGCAGTAGTGTTCTGTCAATGTTACGCATGCGCAGTAGTGTTCTGTCAATGTTACGCATGCGCAGTAGTGTTCTATCACTGTTACGCATGCGCAGTAGTGTTCTGTCAATATTACACATGCGCATTAGTGTTCTATCACTGTTACGCATGCGCAGTAGTGTTCTGTCAATATTACACATGCGCAGTAGTGTTCTGACAATATTACACATGCGCAGTAGTGTTCTATTAGTGCCACGCATGCGCAGTAGTGTTCTGTCAATATTACACATGCGCAGTAGTGTTCTGTCAATATTAGGCATGCGCAGTAGTGTTCTGTCAATATTAGGCATGCGCAGTAGTGTTCTGTCAATATTACGCATGCGCAGTAGTGTTCTTTAAATATCAGGCATGCGCAGTAGTGTTCTATGAATATCAGGCATGCGCAGTAGTGTTCTATCAATGTCAGGCATGCGCACTATTGTTCTATGAATGTCAGGCATGCACAGTAGTGTTCTATCAATGTGAGGAATGCGCAGTAGTGTTCTATGAATATCAGGCATGCGCAGTAGTGTTCTATGAATATCAAGCATGCGCGCATAACACCCACACATGTATACTCACACATATACACTAATCACATGTACATGTATACTCACACATGTTCATAAATTACATACACATGTATACTGCTCATATGCAGATATAAACTCCTACATATACACAAATCACATATATGTATAGATTTAATAAACGATTGATAATATAAATTGTTGAATTTTTTAAGGTTCGTTGATGCACGTAGTGTCTGTTGAAATTTTTTTAAATATACGTAAATACCTCACTCGCTAATGCTGCGCTGTCTGTGTTGTAATGGAACTTATTTATTTACTTGTGTATTTACTTATTTATTTCAGGGTTGCCACAAGACATCGATTTTAAAATTCCATGACTTTTCCAGGTTTTCCAGACCATTTCTTAAAAAATTCCAAACCAGAAATAAAATTGTTTTGGTATGTTTTTAGCTAATTACGACAAAAAGTATAAAATCCTTTAAGTAAATTGTTAACAAAATAAGTTATTAATTTTTAATTTCATTATTAACAAAAAATTAAGTAGGTTATTTGAGATACGCTCCGAAGAAAGATGAGGAGCAAATCTTTTTAAATTTAAAAATTTAGTTAAGTTTAGAATTTTTCACAATTATTAAACCAGTATTTTAAAAAGCATTTTAATAACATTTTATGAAACTGAAGTTACCTACGTTTATTCAATGACAATTTTTTCTTTGCTAATTATTTATTTTAATGTTAGAAGCCTTTTAAAAAATTTTAAAAGATCGAAGTCGGGGAAATTATTAATTTTGATTTTTTACACAGATTTTCGAAAAATCCATATATTATTTAAACAAAATTATTATTTCCTCACCTCATAAGCAATTTTTTCTTTTACAAATTATTTATTTTAATGTGACAAGTCATTTAAAAAAATTGTAAGAGGATCTAAGGAAGGCAAGGAAATTAGTGATTTTTAATTATTTTTTCGTAGATTTTCCAAATATCCCGAAATTTTAACTAAATTATTATTTCCTTGCTTCAGAAGCAATTTTTTTCGATTGCAATTTTTTAAAGGGCTTCTTACATTAAAAAACAATTAGCAAAAGAAAAAATTTTCATTGCATAAAAGTTGGTAGCTTCAGTTTCATAACATTTTGGGGTTTCTAAAATGTATTAATTTAAAAATTATTTAAATTAAGATAGAGACCAAAAGAAACTAAAATTTAGAAATGCCATATTGATTTCAATTGTAAGCACTAAATTTAAAATCAAAAAGTTGTATGTCAACTTGAAAACTTGAAATTTTTACGACTCAAACACAAAAAATTGAGCTTTTAGTATCAGGCTTTATAAAATTCCCTGACAATTCCAGATTTTTCAGGTTTTCCATGACTGAAAAAAAATTCCATGACAATTCCGGGTTTCCCAGGTTTTCCAGGTCCGTGGCAACCCTGTATTTGTTTGGCAGACATCAACAATAATTTTTTAAATGGATAATCAGTGAAAAATGACTTATATTTCTGTAAGTTAGTGTTTCACTTCGATCCGCGAATTTCATTTTTTCGAGCGATTATTTGGTTATCGTCTTTGGTTTTCAAACGATCATCTTGTTTATTCTTTTGTTAATTGTCAAATCGTATCGTCTAATTTTCTAATTGTCATCGACCGAACTTCTCGACTGCTTCTCGACTTTCCCATAACTGACAACTAAAAATAATACAATAATAACCTATTTTTTGAAAAAAATCGATATCCAAAAACATTTAAATTCTTTTTTATTAATTCTATTAAAAACTAAAATTAAATTCATTTTAGTGAATTAAAATTATTATATCAAGTTAAAAATTAATTCAAGGTGTCTAGTGAATTATTATTTTTAAATTCCCGGACCAAAAATAAATATTCCCGGATTGATTTTTTAAAACAGCAATTACTATAAAATTTAAATATTAATACTTTTAATAAAGAAATTTTTAAGAAAATCAATTTTAAAAAGTCAATAGACATCTTTATTTAGAGAAATATATATAATATTACTTGTTATATATTACTTAATAAATCTATAACATTGTAATAGTTGGATCTAAATTTAAAATTAACCTACTTTTTTATTTTTCTATTAGTTGGGCTTTTTTGCGGAGTATTATTATTATTTTTAATTGTGTATTTAAATAATAAAAATTAAAAATAATTATTTTTAATTTTTATTATTAAAAAAAAAAAGTTGTCTGTTCATTGAACAAGACCTACATGTCTTATAGTATTTTGGCCCCCTGAATACGAATATGAAGTCAGAATTGCTCCATCACCCTCTGTTTTCTT